CAATGCCTCCGACAACGGGGCCCTGGCCAAGTTCAAGCGACACCAGACAACCTCGGCGATGGCGAAGAAGGCCGAAGATGGCGATATCAACCCTTTCAGTGGCAGACCTTTTTCCAGCAAATACTTTTCAATCCTGAAGACCCGTCGCGATTTGCCCGTCCATGCGCAACGGTGAGTGCTGCCCGACAGCCATTCTGGGAAGAAAGATGTACTGACCACTTTATTCCAGTGACGAGTTCCTACAACTTTACCAACAGTCCCAGATTCTTGTCTTCGTCGGTGAGACTGGTTCCGGAAAGACTACGCAGATCCCACAATTTGTCCTCTACGATGATCTCCCCCAAACTCAGGGCAAAATGGTCGCTTGTACACAGCCCCGACGTGTGGCTGCCATGTCCGTCGCCCAGCGTGTGGCAGCTGAGATGGACGTCAAGCTTGGAGAGGAAGTCGGTTACAGTATCCGTTTCGAAGATATGACCGGCCCGAAGACTATCATGAAGTACATGACTGATGGTATGCTTCTTCGTGAGGCTATGAACGATCCCGACCTCAATCGTTACAGCACAATCATGCTCGATGAGGCTCACGAGAGAACCATGGCGACTGATATCCTAATGGGTCTTCTGAAGGAAGTTGTGGTGCGTCGGCCTGACTTGAAGATTATTATCATGTCTGCTACTCTGGATGCGCAAAAGTTCCAGCGCTACTTCATGGATGCACCCCTTCTCGCAGTCCCCGGTCGTACCCACCCTGTCGAGATCTTCTACACCCCCGAGCCTGAGCAAGATTACGTCGAGGCTGCAGTTCGGACTGTGCTGCAAATCCACGCCACCGAGGGTGAGGGAGATATTCTTCTCTTCTTGACTGGTGAGGAAGAGATTGAGGATGCTTCGCGGAAAATCGCGCTCGAGGGAGATGAGATGGTTCGCGAAGCCGACGCCGGTCCTCTCAAGGTCTACCCTTTGTACGGTAGTCTTCCTCCTCACATGCAACAGCGCATCTTCGACCCTGCGCCACCTCCTCGCCGGCCAGGTGGCCGCCCCGGGCGCAAGGTCATCGTCTCCACCAACATCGCCGAAACATCTCTAACCATCGATGGTATCGTGTACGTTGTGGACCCCGGATTCTCCAAGCAAAAGATTTACAACCCCCGCATTCGTGTCGAGTCACTCCTTGTTTCCCCCATTTCCAAGGCCTCCGCGCAGCAGCGAGCTGGTCGTGCCGGTCGTACACGTCCCGGAAAGTGCTTCCGTCTCTACACCGAGGGCGCATTCAAGAAGGAATTGATCGAGTCGACTTACCCCGAGATTCTTCGGTCAAACTTGTCATCGACGGTGCTGGAATTGAAGAAGCTTGGCGTTGACGATCTCGTCCACTTCGATTTGATGGACCCCCCTGCGCCAGAGACCCTGATGAGAGCATTGGAAGAACTGAACTATTTGGCCTGTCTAGACGATGATGGAAACCTTACTCAGCTGGGCCGTCTGGCCTCCGACTTCCCTCTCGACCCTGCCCTTGCTGTTATGTTGATCAGCTCTCCCGAATTCTACTGCTCTAATGAAATCCTTTCCATCACCGCCCTTCTGTCTGTGCCGCAGGTCTTCGTTCGTCCTCCTGCCCAGCGCAAGCGTGCCGACGAGATGAAGAACCTGTTCGCCCACCCCGACGGAGACCACTTGACAATGCTTAACGTCTACCACGCCTACCGAGGCAGTGTCGCCCAGGCAAACCCCAAGCAGTGGTGCCACGACCACTTCCTCTCCCAGCGTGCTCTCCAGTCCGCTGATAACGTCCGCTCCCAGCTGCTCCGCATCATGGAGCGCCAGGATCTCGAGATGGTCTCCACTCCCTTCGAGGACAAGAAGTACTACGAGAACATCCGCCGTGCCCTCTGCGCCGGTTTCTTCATGCAAGTCGCCAAGAAGGACACTGGCGGCAAGAGCCAATACCTTACCATCAAGGATAACCAGAATGTGCTCCTGCACCCGTCCACTGTCTTAGCTCACGAGGCCGAGTGGGTCTTGTATAACGAATTCGTTCTCACTACCAAGAACTACATCCGTACTGTCACTGCCGTCAAGCCAGAATGGCTTTTGGTATGTTCTCCACTCCTCTCCTAAAATCACTGTACATATTACTAACTCTTTTCCAGGATATCGCCCCTACATACTACGATATCAGCAGCTTCCCCAAGGGTGACATCCGCTCTGCCCTTACTCGGGCCGCTGATCGCCTCGCGCACAAGGAGAAGATCCGTGCTGAGAAGCGCCGCTAGACCATTTGTTTCTGTTCAGCCTAAAAATTACGCATGATACGCTTGTTTGTCGCACCGTTTCCTTTTCATCACGATGTCAATACATTGAATAGAACATTTTTTCTTCATTTTTGCCATACCATACATACTACGAGAGTTTTTAGGGATCATCCATCCATCACCACAACCGGTATTTTAGCTGGCAAAAAATCGGTTACCCGGGCATAGATTTATTGCGTTATGCATTTCTACATTTTACAGCTAATTATCCTTATCCTTCAATAAACTATAGCACGGATGAAAAAGGTATAGATAAGGAAATATGCGAGATGACTCCTAGAAAGACCTCGGAAAAGACCAAGACCACTAGAGAATATTCTAAAAAAAAAGGCTGTATAAGGAGCTGATTGAAAGGCGTTATGTATGCCCTATTGGAAATAAATGTAGTCATTTAATATATAAAGGAATCTCCTCTGTCTCGACTGGACAGCCAGTGCCCATGTTGTAATTTCTAATTTCTAACCGGCGTCAGAGATAATGGCTTAAATGCCAAATAGCATATTTGCGTAATAAAGCAATCCATTATTTTAGCAAATGATTCGAAAGCAAACTAGAGGGCATTCTAAATCTTTCTCATGAGCGAACCCGTTTTATTCGCTGCCACCGGGACAGCTGGGGCTTCAATTCCAACGGGCAAAAAAAGCAATTTGCCAAAAATATAGCATAGGCCGACTTGCGCTCTTTCACCCTAGTTTCGAGATCTTTACTCATCTCCCGTTTTTGTTTGTCTGGGAGCTCGAACCCTCGAAAGCCGATACAGCAGCCGCACTCTACAGTGCAATGGCCTCTGCCTTTCTTCCTTTTGGACAGATGCCTCTGTTCACAACATCCACATTCCCGACTACAACATCCGCCTCGATCGGAACAATCTTGGACCATTTCTTCGCGCATAAACCATTTAGCATCACGCCTGAGGCTATTATAGGCGTCTTTGAACATTGACTGAAACCTGTACTCCGCTTTGTAAAGCGCGTGCTCCTTTCTTGGATATTGCGCTTGAGCCCTTTCAAGCTGCTTCTTTGTGTTTTCAAATTCGGTCCCATCAGACTTCCCATCAGATTCTATAGCCATGGCCTTTTCTAAGGCCATAACCTTGTGATGTAACCATTCCTCGCGCTGAGTTAGTTCACGTAGAGCGTGCTCGGCAAGAAATAACTCGGTGAGTTTGGGCCAAAGGACGTTGTCTGACCTGTATTGCAGCAAGTGTTTATCCCTCTCGTGGAAGGTAAAGGTTTCGTACGCAGGTCTATCGAAGAACGCCATAATCCTATCGTGTGTGAACAATCTACAAGGTTAGTATGAGTTGAAGGCAAGGAAGATTCAGTGGTATGTACCTCTATGATGAGACAGACTAAATGTAGAATAAGAATTTTCAGTAGAATAGGTGAAGATATTAAAGCAGAAGGAATGTGAAACGAGACATAGAAAAGAAGTTCCCTTCGTCACTAGGCCGCCGCTCAAAATAGATTAGTGGGCGTTTGCACGTGTAATATTCAATTATGACGCAAACATGAGAACCGAAGACCTCAAGTCTCAGGCACCCCGAAGGATGAGAAGTAGATGCAACATATAACTTCGGGGATTACAGGGGTGGACACGATGGACAAAATACAGGATATTCCCAGGTAGGTTATATAGATTATATAACAAAACAAGGGTTCCATGATTAGGAATTCAGAGTGAATTGGAATTATATGCAAATGACATTCATAATTATATATGTTGGACATTAGACCATCACGTTGGTCGAATGCCGTTCGAAGAGTTGCAGACAGATCTGTTCAGTGAACCAGACAGTTGTGTGATACCAGCAAGTTTCCAATGATAAGAGGTATAGTATACTTACCAAGACGGGCTCTGACAGTTCAATTGCCGGGAATATGCGATATACTGTCTACTCTTGTGATGAATATGCAGGTACAATAATACATTCATTTTCTGCCAAAATAATTGAATGAGCGAACAAGTATTGCAGAGAAGCTAGGATTACCCGACTACGTTCAAATATGCAGTTTTTTTCTTTTTTGTTCTCCTTTTTACAGAATGCTTTTGGCGGGAAGTCACACGGTTCAAAGAGGAAGGAACGGCCTAATGAAGTTAATTCACTCCAAAACTAAAAGCCATTTCATGTTTTCTCTGATCTTTCACACATTTTTCAGATCGAAGTGAAACAGATCGCACTGCCGTGGAGATGAGGTCAAAATAAGGTCGGCTGTCAACCAACAACCCGCCAGTCATCGTGAAGCGGCGGAGATCAAGTGTGAGAATATCTTGAATATCTTCATTTTGATTGGTCAGGGCCTATAACCTAAGGCTGTCAATTTATCTCATCCATGGTTCAATTGTTACAACTCGACTGTATGATCAAAACAGCTTCAATTTACTCTTGTTGATCTTTCAACCTGTGAAAGGATTAACCTCAATTTGAACTGAAATTTTGAAATGCTTCCTATGTATATATGTATAGACTCAAGATCCATGAAAAACCAACTAGGGATCAAAGGATATATCGATTTGAAGCAAGAGTGAGATCAAACCAAGCTATACACTTTAATTTTAAGCGAAGTTACAGCTGTGATCCGAAGGACGGGGTGCACCTGCCTTGAGGTATATAAGTAAACCAATTTCCCCTAGATTACGGGCCTCCAAATCATACACTACCTCATAACGCAAGCAACCTTGAAATATGTCTACAAACATGACATATCCCGTCTGTCCTGTTGGTTGCAGGGACCCGGACGCCTGGAAGGGCCAGCTTATCGCTGGCATGAGTACCCTGGATGCGCTTGTTTTGGTTTTGGGGGCCGTGATGTGGATTGTCCGGTATGTATAGTCTGATTTGCTCTCTGTTGCTGTGTCCATCGTTCTAATAGACATATGCGTAGGTTCAATGCCGGGCAAGCCCGGTTGGGGCACCCCCAGAGCATGATGACCGAGGAGTACCTCGAACGGAAGAAGAAGTGTCCGTGGTGGAAGGTCTGGGCCGAGAAGGGTGAGTAACTTGGGGAGCGCTTGAGGAAGTGTGGGTCTTGGGAAACATGCCCATACTAACCAAGACCGTCTCTTTAGCCAGCAAGAACCTCTCCCTCCAACGCAAGAACGCTCCCCCCTGCCCGGCAACACCACTCAGGCCGAAAAAAAAAAGAAGTGGATTCCTCCTCCCAGACCGGCGAACCCGGCGAGATCAAGGCCGAGGAGGAAAAGCAGAACCACTCCCCTCGCCTGCCAATATTGTGCGATAACCACTTGGCTGTGCTGCCCGGTTGGGGGGACATCCCCCACGTTCAAAGGACAGACTCTGGGTCTTGGGTGGAGTTCATCGCGCCGCCAGCCCGACGATGTTGACGCTGACGTCCTGTCCAACATCAAGAAAGCCCTCAAGGGCAAGGACCGTGGATAAGAGGAAACAAAAGAAATCCCTCGTGTTGCTTTTGGTCTTTTCGTTCTAACCACCTACCCCGGAACCGACCGGGATGGTGGATACGCCCATCTTTTTCCTCGGGCAGGCCGACCCCCCTGCTGCTCAAACAGTACGGATGTACTGAGGTTTGGGTTTTGGTTCTGTTTGGACTTGGATTTGTATTTGGTTTGGTTTGGCTTGGTGTTGGGTTGGTCTTGGTTTCTGTTGGTTTCGTCTCGGTTTTTTCTTTTGTGCTGTTGTTTTGGGGTTTCTATCTATATACCCATGGTCCGTCCCCAGGGCCTCGCTGGAGTTTTATTCTGATTAACCATTATTTATGGAATTCTGATTCCTGGAGTTTCTTTTTCGTGTTTGTTTCTATGTGTCAGAGGAGACTACGTCGAAAGTGTATGGTTCAATGTAAAAGAGTTGAGAAAGGTAAGTAACTCTTAAGCTATGAAACCTGACACTGTCTACTACGAAGACTTATATTTAGGACTCAAGGTCCAAAACTTCATACAAATCCAGATATCTCCATATCCAAATTTCAATGCACAGAGGCTCGGCTTAGTCTACAGTAACGAAACCATGAAGTTTTCTTCCAAAAATCAATTGTGTGCACGGCCAACGCCTTGGGCTCGTTAATACATACAGGGCGGATTGCCCAAGGTGTTTTGTATGCTCTATTGGAAACAAATGTAGTCATTTAATATACAAAAAAATCTCTTCCCATCTCGACTGGACAGTCAGTGCCCATGATTGGAGAGATAAAAAGAAAACAGAATCCACATCTCAGTTGGCAAATAATGCGGACTCAGCACCATGAGCTGTGCTTTCCATTGATGGTTGATCTGCGCTGGTTTCTCGCCGTCTGTTACGCTTGTTTGGTTTCCGTAAAGACGAAGCTGCCGTAGATCTGGCGAGGCTGATCCTAGTGGAAGTTCTAGTGAAATTGCGACTGAGTTGTGGGGTTTGGGGTTGCGAGTTCTTGAGAGATATGATGGTTTCGGCGGATGGAGGGAGGGTTTCTTCGGTGGTCGGATTGTGGGAGTCTTTCGTGGAGGGGTCGGAGATGTGGTGTTTGCGAAGCTCATAGATAAGTTCGCGGAGTTGGGCAACCTCGCCCTTGAGAGTGGAAATGTCCTCGTTGATTGTGTTGCCAGCAGGTGATTGTCCCTCGGAGGCAGGCGTTCGGCCACGGCCAATGGCAGTAAAAAGAGCATTATCTGCATGTTGATCGGCCAGCTTGGCATTGCGTTGGGCGAAGGTATTCTCTGCCGGCACCTCAATTTGGCTTAAATATGCCCCGAAGGTGTTTCCAAAGTCGTAACACTTCTGCCACAAGGGGCGGTCAATATTCTCCTTTGGTGTTTGCTTGGCAGCCTTAGACCACCGCTTGGGATCAGCATGGACGAAAGGTCCCGAGTCCGACTGTCGTGATAAGAGTCTTGGATCAAAGCCACTGTGAACGGCGGCTCTCACCAATGCATCTGATGCATCTTGTCGGTCACATGAGTCGCACAGGCCGACCATTCGCCCAAGCAACCTCTCAACTGAATCGACACGGTGGTCCGTTGATGACAAGAGGTAGGTGACGGCTCGTTTCAAAACGTTCACACCCTTATCCCAGTCTCGTCGGAGGCTGTAGAACCGTAGATATGTGAAGAGTGTTTCCCAACTATCAAAGAAACCTCCACCCCGTGCAGCTTGAAGCCAAGCGTCGGCTCGATCGGGTTGGTCGAAGCGTAATGCGGCGCCTATCAAGGCGGCGTAGATGACTGGATTGCTGCTGTTTAAAGATGGAACGATGAGGTCCATACCATTGACCGTTCGGTGCTTATAAACTCCCCTGCTCCCTAGGTTGACGGAGTAGCCTTCTCCGCCGAGCATTTTCAAGAACAAATCGAAGTCCTTGAGATTTTTCGATTTTCTGAAGAAGGTGATGATTGTGATCACGAGCGAAGGGTTGAGGAAGAACCGATTCGGCAGTAATGTCCGCAGAAGTAGCTCGACGAGGTCATTTTGGCGTGTCTGGCCAAACGCCATGATCATGAGCCGGAAAGCTGTGGGTCGATCCGGGTCCCTTGAGCTCAGGATGTTGTTGGATATCCGCATAAGTAGTTCCTGGAGAGACATCTGCTGGCTCGTGTAGACTTGAATGTCGTCGGTGAGTTCGGCATCAAGGGTCTCGCGCTCTCTTTGCATCTCGCCCAATTGACTTGCGGCATAGTCCTGCGTGATATCACTATATGTAGAGTGTCTGTTCGTTTTCAATGTGTTCATTCGATGGCGAAGATGATTCAGCTCCTCTAGGAGCTGCGAGACGTTTACCTGGGGAGTCTCGAAATCCGCCCCGTAGTTCATTGAGACGCCCGAATAACGATGTGCGATGGCCGGTCGTAACAAAATCCGGATAGCGAATTGCCTTAAGGCAAGTTTTTGAATGGCCTTGAGACGAAGATCATCCTCCAAGACCCAGCTAGGTAATGTTTCCTGCGGAAGGAAGATCTCGCTCTCATCCTGCTCATCGATTGTGTGTTCGTCCTCCTCAGCTGGCTGGCTTTCCACCATCCGAGCCCCGACCGCGTTGAACCGTGTTCGTTCTGTGTGAAAGGCCCTTATTCTGTTGAAGCTGGTTGGTGATTGAATTCTGAGAGGGAAGCGAGCAACAGTGCCGAATCCCCTCCCTTGTATTAAGCGACTGAGTCCTCGGTCTTCTCTTCGTGATTGTAATGACGCCAAAATGCGCTCCTCCTCGTCCACCAATTCGCTCACTTCGGCCTTCACGGCGGCAATCTTTTCGTCCCAGTCATGTCGTCGGCGATCCTTCACGCTTGCATCGGCAATAGCGGCGGCTGCGAAAATGCTGCCGTAAAGTGCGGTAACGGAGTTTCCAATTCGAAGTCGTCTCTTACTGGCGGTTGCTGCCCGCGAAGTAACGCCGTTGGCAGTAGTGCTTAAACACCCGACACAGCGGCAGGACGACTGCTTCGAAACAGTACGGGACCATAAACCCTGCATTCTCAGGGCATTGCTATCGCACAGTGATCCAAAGGGTAATATTGCAAACTAATAATCAATTGGACTCCTCCCGGAGCCCCGTCGCAAGTAGGGGTATGGAGATAGATGGGTAACATGCAATGCAGCAAAATAATCTTCAAGGTTGCACTTTCCGCAAATGCTCGGGTCATCATGCAAACATTGCAAACTACCTAAGACCACCATATCTCCTGGACACCGTTGAACGTCCAATAGCTTCAAATCGATCTGTTGTTTTAATTTCTTGAACGAATATATTTCTTACGATACACAATGGTCAATAAATTGTTCGGTTTCGCCGCCGGGGTGCTTGCGTTAAGCGGGCTTGCCAACGCCCATGGCTCGCATTCCAATGACCAAGCTGCCTCAGATGATTGGGCCACGAGACACATGATGGGTAAGGATGTTGATGTCCCAATGGAGAAGTTGATGTTTGCTAAATTTGTTGTATCCAGAGGAACACCACATTGAATCGTTTGACCCGACCTCATTCTTCATCCTCCACGACTACGATGGCTCAGGGACATGGACACCTGACGAAGTGCGCAAGACATACGGCCTCAACGACGAATCCAATGCCGGTGTCAGTGAAGAAAAGAAACAAGATGCTGTGCGCGCCGTGTTCGACCTTTTCGACACCGGAAACACTGGGTCTATTGACCGGGAGGACTGGTTGGCGGGGATTGCTGCGGGTAGACGGCTGCCCGATCTCGGCTATGGCCCCGGACACCATGGTGACCTCGAGTATGAGTATGAGATCCATCACTTTGAGAAGTACCACGGCGATGATACCACGGAGGCGGACTTGACCCACCCCGAGGATATTGAGCATTTCCGCAAGCATGACGAGGAAGAGGATGCTGCTATTGCACTCGAAAAGCTGGAGCAGATTCAAGTTATCGAGGGCAATATTCCTCAGAAGTTCCGCCGGAATTTTTAGACTGCTGAGCTCACGGTTCCATGCTTCTTTTCTATGTACATACGCGCTTATACATGTCATCTTTCATCAATTTGAGCGGGCCTCGCGGTTCATCCAACACATCCCCCTCTAATGGGATATTTTAAGATCCCTCTGCATATAATAATTCCAAGAGTGAATATATCAGAAGCCAAGCCAGCTATTCAAAACCTTGAATTTGGAAGAAGCGGATATAATGATAAATAGCCAGCCATGAAATGAAGCAGACCCGCCAATACACCATGTACAAGATGGGAACTCATGACTGAAGGCGCGGGAGGAGAGGATTGAGACGCTAAAAGCTCAGAGAGAGAGGGATACTTCACGGCAAAAGGCGCCAGTCAACGCCAATACTGAACACAAGGAAACAATGGAAAAAGGCATTGAGAGAACAAGGAATTGCTAAGAGCTGAACTATCCCTTATACTTTGATTTGTCTTCCGGGGACTTGGCGCTCAGTACTCCGCAGTATAGCCCAGCCTATCGTTTGAATCAACGACTCTGTGGTATTTGTTAGCATTGAAATGAGCCTACCTAGCTTGAGAATTTTCAAACTTACGAGTATTGCTTCGTCAAAGTCCCTTCTCCGCCCTTCGACAGATCAATATTGAAAACGTAGAAATTACCATCACTAGTGACAACCATGACTTGAGGGGTATTGTTACTCATGGCGACCACACTCCTCATCGGTCCGGGGCCTGTATTTCCGCCAGGACCTGGATTCGATCGCGGCAATTTGATCCAAGCAAAGTCACGCGCTGGCTCCCACATCTCACTGACTCCCTTCGGAAGGTATCCGCCCACCCTAGCGGCAACTGCGCCGCCGACGTTTTGAGAGGTTCGGCGAAGGATCCCCATCAAAGTGCCGTTGTGCTTCCGTAAAGAAGGATCCAAGCCAGCATCGCTGCCCGTCTCGTCCTCTTCGAGTGAATATCCATAGTTATTTGGCGGAGAGTCATGGTCCCGACCTGGAGACTGCGATGAAGAGCCGTCTGGCGATGGTCCTTGGTGGGTCAACTTGAAGATGTGGACGGTCTCGGTGGACGAAGAGACGCATAGGAGTGTGGACGTGGTGTTGAAGGACATGCTGTAAATTCGTGATGGCATGGAGCCACGTCGAAACTGGTACAGCTTGTGGCCATCTGGAACTGAGAAAATGCGGATGATGGTTCCTTTATCTGAGGCAGTAGCAAGTAAAGTCCCATCACTATTCAGCGCAATGAGTGCCAGAGGAGAGCGATGGGCTTCGATGACGTTGATGGCTTCTAGCTTAACGGCATCGAAGATTAGAACATCCCCAGTCGTGGGAGATACATGCGTTGTTCCAGGGGGCGCATGTGCTGGTGTGTTTGCAGCTGCAGGGGCCTTTTGTGGAAGAGGATATGCCATGTAACAATTCTCTGAGGATGGTGCAAGGGCACAAATTGCTGTTGATTTGTCAGAACTGGGCAAAAAATAGCTTGAAAGGGGAAGAAGAAAAATCAGACGCAAGAGCTCTGTACCGTTGGGGTTTGGTGAAGTATCAATGGTGGACAAAAGCTTCATGGTCTGGATATCATAAAGATAGATCTGATCCTCAAGGACAATAACAAGTCGCTTGCGATTCAGCTTCACTGCGAGAACTGTTGTTGGAAACGTTAATTCACATATTGTGCACTGTCGCTATTCCAAATATTAGTTCCGCGTCTTATATGAAGTGTCGATAATGACAAGATACCTTGGTATTTTGAATCTGTAAGCGTCTTGGTGATAAGATAAGTGCTACAAGAGAGGTTGAGAATAGCATCTCAATGACAGCAATATTTCCCTCTTTGGCTTCATAGCTCTTGGCAAAGGGTTCAGTTGTGAAGATCTGAAATCCCTTAGATGTTGCTATAAATGCGGTCAGTGGACATGCAACAGAAACGGTTCCGCAAAAAGACTCACCCACAGCCAGGTAGCTGTAGTCCTGGTTAAATGTCACGAAATTCATGGCCATTTTTAGAAATTTTCAGGATAAATGAAATCAATGAGATTGATACAAGGTAACCTTGGGAACTCTCGGAAGTCGGAGATGTACCCCGCTTAGGGCGAGATTGAGACGACGCCGAACTAGCAACTCTTTGCCCGTCACTGGCCACTGCGTAACATATCTTGGACTTAGAGCAAAGCGATATGCTTCAAAGGCGATGACGTGGAGAAGAGAGGATATGATATCCGCGAAGTCTTTGAGAAACTCGTCACAAGCGAGAGGTTTGCGCTTGGGCCACACCTTGATTGCCCACCGCCTACAAATCTATCATATCAACCCATCGCCATTCATTTTCAAGGTTTCTTTTACTTCACTCTCTAGTTTATTTTGGCCTAGTTTTCACATCAGGGCCGAACGATTGGGGTGATAAAAAGGGGTTGTTATCGTGGAGACTTAAAAGTTGTGTAAGCAGCTGTCTCCTTTGGTCACAGACTCCTTACTTCCATAAGACGAGATATACTCACTCCTAACATAAGTGACGTAGAGATCGTCTACTACGATCTTAAGCCCCACCCATTTCGCTATTTTGTCTACTCCAATATGTGACTCTGGTCTGGCTATATATAAGAGCCGTTTTACGCGGTTCGTGCTTCTTTCCACCTTATCCCTGCTGCCTACTCCGTATTATTATCATTCTTACTCCGGTGACATTCTATAGCTTAATTATGCTAGCTATAATATCACGAAAAAAGAATGTCCAGAAAAATACATGGATGAAAAGACATCTAAGAAAATATCCAAAAACGACCTCAGGGTATTATATATATAACGTCCCTAGTATCCATGGAGATTAAGTAAACAGCTCCTGTAGGCATCCCGTCTATCTCCATATTGACTAGTGTTAGTTAATATAATAAATGAACATCCTTATCAGACAAGTGGGTCACGTATATTCTTCCTCGATGTGTTGTGGCTACCAGCGCAGTGAAGAATAAAGAAGCTTGATAATGTTGGTTTGGGTTAACCCATATGAGGTACTTGCGCCATGTGGACTTAACAATTCAGTCACGGCTAGTCACAGAGCCAGTCCCTAGTTCACCGACCAATCGCTCACACAAATGGTGTCACAACACCCAATATTCCAACACCCGTAGCCCAACGTCTGGGAAAATGCAAAGACCGGTTAGGTTTCCTGGGCATGAACTGAATCTGCCGCGCGTCACCAATAAAGACTGGACAGTTCTCGAAAATTTCAATCTGGACCCGTGTACCAACCCGTGGAAGGAATACCTCGCAAGCGCGAAGAAAATAAGGTACGGCAGCTACCCGCCTCACACGACAGAGTCCCTTATGCACAGGACTGAAACAACCCCGATTAGGTCGCTGTTCATGTCGCCCAATTGAAGAAATTGGGCTTCTCGTTGAGGACGTTTGATTGATGGTTTAAGACTATGTCCAAGTCAGATAGGCAGCAGTCAAGGCCGTTAGTCAATTTGCCTGTACCTATGCAGATTATCACCTGATGAATGTGGCGCAGATCACACCTAATATACATAGCCCCCTATGCAGACACTAGACCCGGTCACCATGTGGCTTTATTAGTTTGTGGAATGAACCCGCTAGTTGGGTAGCAAACGGTCATGTAAGCTAGAGATCCTAACTGGGCCGGTGACAGCCAACGTGTTGTGTCAGATCCCAGACAAGGAACAGCCTAGTTATTTTGTTTCCGCCTAATGATATGCAGTTTCTGCACGTTCCGACTGGCGCATAGAGTACGCATATCCTCAAATTCCAGTGCAGGCTAGATCGCGTCTACTCCAGACACACCACCAGTCATATCCATGCCATCCCGCTGGTAATACAGAGCGTGTTGTATGTCAAGTCAGAAGTGAGAGTTATAAAGACAGCCTTAAGCAAGTTGACAAAAAGACGTATGCATCCAGTCGCGATGTCTAGGTATAGCCGAGATCTGCAGACCTGGGGGAAATCGAGGAAGATCTGCAGGAAGTTGCCCGATCTTTCTCAAGACGCGCTCCGCCTGACACAGCCTACTTTTGTCTGCGACTATTGGGTCGGGAATCGCAGATGGGTGACCAATGAGGGTTGGCATGGAAAGGTTCCCCTGTATGGTTGACATGTCAAGCGACACGCTAGGGGAAAGATAAGACTAAAATCCTGTTGTGCCACCCTTACACCTCGACCTAGGTATACCTGCCTTATACATACAACATAGACTTGTTGTTAGGCGCTGGACGGTGTTAGGTAGGGAGTACTCGGTTTGACCCTCGGGAATCTTGGGCACCTGCATTGAGACATGCTTATCACAAGATCCATTTTCTGCCGGGACTGGCTATTGGCGGGTTTGGGTATCTGTTTACTATTGGGCATATTCCGAGGCTATATCGAACGTTTGTCTCCCCACCTCGAGTGGATCGCAGTGGCGATCCGGGGTTTATTCCCTGTACATGATACATTGAATCCATGTACTTCTCAAAACGGGAGTATATGGATTTCCTGGTTTTCATTACTGAAACATATCTGAAAGTTTCTTAAAAGTTGAGACCAGTAATATATGGATTCATGTATTTTCAGATGATACTTAACATCTGGAAATTGGAATTTCAAGTAACTTATGATGTATCTCACCCATGGTTCCATAGTTGGCAAATTGACTTTTCTTGTTCCATGGACACGAAATGACTCGATATCCGGCTGGCAGGGCCTTCTTATCCGAGGTGGATACAGCGGGGGTGATAAGTTCTTTGTTCCCCGAAATTTGTTGAAGGCGTGGAGAAGTCCCCCCCTCCCTCCCCCAGACGCACAGACAAGGCCGTAGTCTGGGCCGAGAATATCAAATCTCATCGTCATCGGGGTCTGCCCTATGGCATGATTGGTCACATCAAATGTTAGTGCGTGGTCGCCAATTCTTAGGCCGAAAATGTGTTTTGAGGGGGTGACCCGAGAGAAAAAAAAAGATGGTCAGAATCCCTGTCCGAAAGGAAGGAGGGAAGAGGTTTAGAATCGGTATCTGATGTAGATTATATACATACAAAGTACGGAGTACATAATTATAGGTTGGGCGGATAATATAACCCAGACCCGCGGTGGAGCGTGTGGATACTTAGGGAATCTGGGACCGAGAATGACGATAGTAAGTGATGATGATGAGATAGTTAAATGCATACATGTATTTACAAATGTATCAACAATAGAATTCACTTGGGTACATAATATACAATGTACAATGTACACTTAGTTCTCGTCCCACATTATCTTTTCCCCTCCCCCCTTCGCTCTCCACTTCACTTCCCATTTCTCTTCTTGATTTTATCTCAAGTCTCTGTTTATCTCTCATTCCTTCATCCCTTGCCTTTATCTTTGGTATTGTATGGTCCCCCTTAACCTCGCATTCTTCTTATTTAATTTCAATGTTTCGCTGTTCACAGTCGTGCCACCTGCGACGCGCTCCAGGAAACTCTGCTAACTGTTTTGCAGTTGTGCCTGCGATCACTCGCGACTCAGATTGCCATTGCTTTGAGCACTCTTGACCACATCTCAACTGCAAATGATGTAATCGTCTTGTGGTTCGGGTCTCAACAGTGTTGCAATTGCAAGTGACATTTACCATCTTTATCACAATATTACCACTTTTCAACCACGCATCTTGTCCGTCATGGCCACTGTGCTAGTTCAGCAGCAGGCGCTGCACCACTCGACCCCTCCTCCTTCTCCGATCCCCCCAGCCTTGACCGTAAACCGACGATCGAGTCCTATCCCTAACAGACATATTCCGGTATGCCCCACGGGCCCTATTCCAGCACCTCAACCTACCTCTGCATCCCGGCCCAGTGAGCAGCCATCCTCGCTCTTGTATCCTCCAGATGAGAAAATGCGCATTGGACGACTGTCCGCCCCCGCCGTGTACGCCATCGACGGAGCCAAATTGGCAGCTGCGCTCGCCCACCAAGCATCACAACCTTTACCCGACGCATCTCAGATGTTTCCTTGGCTCCATGGACTGCATCATGACAACCATCTGCAGCTAGGATTCTTTTCAAGTCGCAAGCGCCATGCTCGTCGCACTCCGAAATGCTGGCGAAGCATCCTTGTGGTAAAACTGGGAGGTGACTTGACCAAGTCACGGATCAAGGGTGCAGTAAGCGCCCATGAGGTGCTGGCACCTTCCGCACACTTCCTGATGGCCGATCCTCCCGAGGGATTCTCCGTCCGAAATTTCCAAATACAGACCGCGAAACTGGCTGCGATGTCGGATATTGTTATTTATGCGGAAGATGATGACAGTCATTGTGGACTTGTTGAGCTAGCCAACCAGTTTGCCAAGGCGCAACAGTTGTGGCGAAAGAAAATGGACCCCCTGGAGGAGCGACCGACATACAACACCTTTATTCTTGCAGGTTCGTTATGTTACCTCAGTCCGATCCATGGAGCATCAATTGATATATTTTCCCAGACAAATTTGCCAACGTTGCAGAAAAACAACCAGAGATCATTGCGATCGATGCGGAAGGTCAACCGACCGGCCAAACTATGGATTTCGGTAACTTCATACAACCCTCGGCGCGCCCGAACTTGATGCTAACAAATTGGTAGTCCAATGGGAGCGATTGGAAATGACAACGATGTCCCGGGCATCTGAGATTTCGTCTAATGTTTGGCTCGCGTCTACCCCGGACTACTTCCATACGACTAGAGCTCTGGAGTCGCAAAAGGAAGAGGGCTATGACCTGTTGATTGAAGCATGCGACATGGCCAACATCCCTGGTCCGCGGTTCCTCGCCATGCTTGACAAACAGATAGAGGCAGGTCCACAGCGCTTGGAGTTCCCCTCATCGGGATCTCTTGTGCTTCCATCGGGGAACACCCGAGAGGTTGAGGACATTGTCAACACCATCAGGTGGATCTATTATCTCGCGCATCCCGACACTTCATCAGAAGAACTGGACCCCGACGGAGATATCGCAATGACCAAGTCCAGTGGAAAACCCCGCAAGGTCCTTATCCACTGTGCGGATGGTTATACCGAAAGCTCGCTGTTGGCAGTGGCGTACTTTATGTTCGCAGAAGGCGTGCCCGCTCATGAAGCTTGGCTTCGACTGCATTGCGATAAGAAACGCAATTTCTTCGCGTATTCGACCGACGTTGCTTTTCTATGCCACATCCAAGGACGTCTCTTGCAAGAAAGCCCCGCAACCCAGTCGACGGATCTCTCGGAAATATGGGATCCCAATTGGTTCCACAACATGGACGGCTCCTTCCCCAGCCGTGTCCTGCCGTATTTGTATCTAGGCAATCTGACTCACGCGAATAACCCGGAGCTTCTGTGGGAGCTTGGGATCAAGCGTGTGCTTAGTATTGGCGAAGCTGTCAATTGGTCCGACGCCGACCGCGCCAGCTGGGGAGCGGATAATTTGATGTACATTGACAATGTCCAAGACAATGGCATTGACCCTTTATGTCAAGAGTACGATCGTTGTTTGGACTTTATTGGTAAGTCTGAATGTTTTCCTCTACTGCTGTTTCAATTGCTAAGTTGTGCACAGAAAAAGGAAAGCGCCAGGGCACAGCCACATTGGTTCATTGTCGTGTTGGTGTTTCTAGATCGGCAAGTATTTGCATCGCTGAAGTCATGGCGTCCAAAAATCTTTCGTTCCCGCGTGCATAGTGAGTTTTATTTCTATTGAAGTCGTTTAGCTGGACCGACGATGCTAACTCATGACAGCTGTTTTGTCCGCGCAAGGCGACTTAATGTCATAATCCAACCTCATCTTCGCTTTGTGTAAGTCTTTGTGTTCTTCTACCCTTACATCCAACAAAGAAGATTTGCTCACACTTAGCCACAGCTATGAACTCCTTCAATGGGAAGAGTATCAAATGAAAAAACGAGGCGAGCCCATCAAGCGAGAGCTTGAATGGACCACTGTTGCGCGTGAGATAGCTCTGCTCAACAAGCCATATTCGAGGCACTAAACCAGACTCGGGATCTAAGGCCCGTCCCTAATCCACGCGATCAGGATTGGAAGGACGGGCCACTGGATACCACAAAATGGCCGTTCCTGCTACAAGCACAAACGCTAAAACCACTCACATCACAATTCACATCACTTCTCTACCTACTGCTGGCCTCCCTGAGGGTCAGCACTCGACTTCCACCATGGCCCGAACACCAACCCTATTTCCTTAAGACCTGTTTTCGCCATCTCATCCATGCGATATACTCTACATTATGATACAATGACTTTGCACGATTATACGAACAAGGGATGATTTCTTGATCTTTGGCGCTCGGCGTTTTGAAGACCTCAGGGGACATGGGAGATATTGCTCCCACCATCCATACTGCAATGATTTTCTGCTGGTTCTGTTCGACCCGATCTTGTTTCTTCTTAGCCAGCTCCATATTGTTGATTTTACCTCTTGATTTCGCCCTATTCTGTATTTTTTTATTCTCGATTTTTTATTTTCAGCCACTGATTTTATCTTGTTTCGTCCAACAGTCCAGAATTTACACTGTTATTTCTGCCCGTGTCCTTTCCCTAGATTTCTCACGGTACATCTCACCCTGTCTGAGGTTATTTCTCCATGGGCAAACCAACTGGCACCGCGGACATTGTGTCAATTGCCCATCCCCTTGGGACTGGTCTTCGACACCACTGTATGAGACCGATTAGGGGTACTCAGTGGAAATAGGCATTGCACCATATCCGTAAATCTTTTAGAATATCCAGAGGTTCAGATTGCAGCTCTCCTATCACGATATTGAAAACGGTGAACCCAAGGGAGCATATAACTTTAGGGCGATAATGTATGGCCTAACAGACTAGCGTAAGGAACTGGAGTATATATGCATGCAACTTTCCTTTCAAGGCATTCGTCCATCACATCCATTAACCGGCCTTCTTTTTCCAAAAAATACAGATCTTCCTTACGGAGGAGGGTTCGCCACCCATATAAAAGGGATCACCTATATGAAAGTATATAAATAAACAAACACCTTTACTAGATAGGCCGCACATTAAGTGCGAGAAGCAAGAGAGATACGTGGTCCAGATTTCTTGTTCTGGATAGCCAGGAAGATGATACCCTCTTCGTCTCCTGAATTGCTAGAGGATCGGGAGCAAATTGGTGGCATGGCGGGTGGTTGATTGTGTAACGTATTCAGTAAGCGGGTGGTCCATGTAAGTCGGTGGTCCACCCCGAAACACATAGTAAATGCGATATTTACTACACTTATATCTCAACAACCAACGTCTTTGTTTTATTTAATTACTTGCCGATAGCTACCGATAAGCATTCTTAGTATTATATATCAATTTCGAATAAATCGAAAACTTGCATTATTGCGGTATCGAAAATTACACGGCAAAAAGTCTAGAGTGTATATAAACCTCACTCACAAGTTTACTAAATTTTCTTTAAACTCCCTAGAGTGTAGAGATAGCATATAAAAAGCATTCAGCTACAAGGAAAAGCCCACACAGACCATCGTTGCTCGAGATATCAAATTGTAATTTATCGCATTTACTATGTGTTTTGGGGTGGACCACTGGCTTACATGGACCACCCGCTTACCGAATACGTTAAGTGTTAATTTATGAACGCGTTTCGGTCTCAAGATAAAGAAAGCCAGCCAAGCCATCCATGGACAAAAAAGAAAACCCAAAAAAGGTACTCCGATAGGGGGAATCGAACCCCCGGCTGCCGTGTGAGAGACGGCGATGTTAGCCACTACACCATATCGGAGGGGGACTGCGAATTACTACTTGTAGTTTAATGTGTCCACTTGTGGTTTAGCGCTCTTTTATCCTTGTGCGTCTCTGTGCGTGGTTCTATATAATCCCTCCCATATTGGTCGGCGTTCGAACCTGATCTTGATAGAGACCGGCTAGCATTTGGTCGAAGTTGAAATTAACATGACTATTTTAACATAACGGCAGTTAACTTAAATAGCTCTTATACAAAAAACTCGAAAGCCGTGGTCAGCCACGGATTTCAGACAACGGTTTCGCAAACCGCGAGATTTCTCCTCAATGGTCGCCCCATGATGAGCCAGCCCGTCGTCTATACATTTTTTCCCTATGGATATTGAACAGGTCTATTTTGAGGAGTTCCATAAACTGTTAATGCATTATGTCTTATGGGCATATTTTGGAGGCTAGTATAGACTACAACGTGACCAAAAAGTAGATGCCCCATCTCTTGGTATAAATATAAACATCAAGAAGGGCGGGGTCTACCCGCTTGGGCGGATATTGAACCGAACTGGAGCGGTAAAGGATCGTTGAGGGTCGATCCACTTGCCGATCAATCGTCCTCGATGATAAGATGGGTAGAGGGATCATAGGCCCTGTTCTATTCTAGGAAAACATAGCTTTATGTGTTTTCTGCATAGAAAGGTTTGTATCACGAGAGGCTCCTTCCCTTCCCTCCAAAACAAGGGCGATAAAACGCTTAAAGAGGCAGAATTTGAATAAACTAGTTTGGATAATTTGCATTGTTTACATAATCACCCCTTCAATAGTTATATTGGGACACCAAGGCTCCTTCACATCTCATCTTCACAACATGACATCTATCTTACGGATTCTTTCTTCCCGTACTCTTCAACTATTCTAAGCAATGTGGTTTCCATTAGATATCATATTTGGATCGATCTTCAAGGCCTTGCAAGGTCGGACACAACATGCTAGTGACTCTGAAGCGACGTCTTCTCCACCAACTCCAGCAATTGTAAGTTATAAGGGCCATTTGTTGGCTTTGTTGATTCCTAATGGTACTAGGATTACACGTTAAATACCCTGTGTACTTTCCACGTTGGTTGTATATCTACTTCGTAGGCGAAATCGCCCGACTTTTTGACCAATATAAAGAGTCCTACGTACTATTGGCCTAATTTACGCGATATAGCGTCGTTGACGGGGATATTATATGCCCTACCAATATGCAGGAGCACCTTTTTGCCGACAGTGAAATGCTTTGGTTGGTATCGTCGATCGTAGTACTCCTTCATACGCATTGCCAACGGCTGACTGAAAGTTTCCCAACGACGTTGTCGTCTCCATGAAAATAAAACAAAGCAAAGGTGATCAGCAAAGAAAAAGTTCAAAAAGTTCCAAGTAAATTGCAGAAGTCGTCATTGTCTTCCATAATGTCCTCACAACACGGTATGTTCAGTCGTCGTAGCTTTTGCAGTTCGGTCGACAATGTCGTTCTCTTTGTCTGCGTCAGAGTGGGAGCGGCCATAAGAGGGGGTGCAAGCCGCGCGGACGTCATTAAGAGTATTCTCCAAGATAACACTCTTATATTGCTCTCGTAGGACTTCGCGGGCGACCATGTTTTACACCATATCGTCGCAGTCTTCGTGGGCCATCAGATTCTCCTCGTACCGAGCCAGCGTACGCTAGGCTTCCGCCGTGCTAAGGTGACGGTCGCTGTTTGTGATGGTGATAAGTTTGTGTAGAATTGCTCCGATCAATTCACCGTCCTCGACTAGGCCCGACGAGTACCTGAGCATATCTCGGGGTTTGTGCGTTGTAGTGGTAGTTTTCGTGGTGGACGTCGTAGCCTAAGGGCTACCTCATATGACGAAATTATTATAAACGTCCTTTTCGTCTTCGCAATAGCTGTGAATAGCCTACGATGGCCTGTCTGTCAATGACTTCATCTGCCTGATAAGTCTGGTAGCCTAACGATAAAATGATTGTCACCTGTTGAGCTACTAAGCCGAATTGGGACATACCTATTCAGGCGACGGGGCAATCTATTCAGGTGACGGGACAACTAAGCCTCTGACTTAGCCTCTGGAGTTCCTCTCCTTTATAAACTCTTTCCCTCTTAAACCACCGCCATCTCCCTTTGTCCTATCCATCAAAACTTTCATCTCATACATCCCAAAATCCATCATGCCATCTAAATACAACCTTCGACAGAAGTTTATTGATCTGATATTTAGATCGGACAGGCGTGAAGTCGAAGAAATATCCCAGATTGCGCAAGACTTCCTTGACGGGAATCTCACACACGACGAATTCAGAGAGAAGTATGGCAAGACAAAGGCGGCCAAAAAAAAGCTGCCGTCGCTGGCAGCTCATGACCTTACAATGCAGCAAGTCGGACAAATTCTCAACCTCAAACCAGCCAGCAGGGACGACGAGCTCGCCAACGTCCCATCATGTCCGATTCCGACGGAGCTCCAGAGTGTCATGAAAAAGGTTGACGCCGCCCGCTCAGACAGTCCGATGAACGAAGCAACCAGTCGTTGGACGCTCGACCTTCTACTCATATATGCGCATGACATCGTGACATGTGGCCAGCCCGACGCCGGCCAAGCGATTGCCATTCAGACAGAGCGCCACTGGGTGCTTCCTGTTAAGTTTGAGAAGCGGGACATGAACCTAGTCGGAAAACCAGACTATGCAGTCTGGTACGGCAATCCCAACGACACCGCAGTGAACGTTGTCGTTGTGGAGGCAAAGGGGGAGGGTAATGCTAGTAAGGGAATGTCCCAATGCCTTACCTATATGGGTTAGTATCTCTTAGTATGAATGATATTGCTTGCACTACCTAGATTCTAATCGGTTTAAAGGCATGGTGCACCGACTTCGACGACAAGAAAAGAAACAAAACTGTACCGTGTACGGTATGGCGGCGGACTCGCAATGTTTTTTTTTCCTTAAGATCAACGAAAGATCAAAGGTTATTTTCTTTATTTCCTAGCGAATTGCCTTTGTCTAACACTCGAATAGTGGTCTGCTTTTTCGGTTATCGCCGCCGACGGCAAGTATGCCAAAGTTCTTGGCCTGCTTGTCTACCTTCTGCGGAAGGCAAGGGAGGCATCTCCCACCCATTCAAAGGAGTCCTCCGCCCAAACTCATACGAAGGGGTCATCCCGAGGCTCACTCTATGCAAGTGAAGATTGCATAATGGGCAATATGTGATAAAAAAATTTGTAGCCTCGCTCTGGTCTTACGTTCTTGATTTTAAGTGGATGATTTGCTCTGGGCCTCGCGTCTTTGCTTTTGCTGTAACTTGAATGAATGAAGAAGGAAAAGCTATCTATAATCGCTAATTAGTATTGAGATAACTAGCACTAGTCCTCATCAGTTCTAGGGAAACCCGGTCTATACGGAAACACCACGAGTATCACCTGAAACACCACACATCACTATGGCCTTTCCGCTGCCCCCCTAGATTACACCATATCGGAAGAGAACTGTGAATTACGGTCATATTTGTAGTTATATTTGTCCACCCATGGTTTAGCGCTCTTGTCCTTGTGCGTCCCTGTGCGTGGTTCTATATAATCTATCCTATCGCCCCCTCGAATTCTCGCTGTATTTTGCCCGCCCGCTTTTCCTTCCTCCTCGTCTTTGTCCTTGCTCTGCAAGTGAGCCATTTTTTCTATTCGTTCAGACCACCGAGCTCCTAAGCTCCGCCACCACCTTTCCTCGTGTGACTCGTCAGCTCTTCTGCAATCCCGCCACTACTATCTATGCTGCCCACCTTAGCTCCGACGATAGCGCTCGAGATGAGAATGCCTTCTACTCGCCCTATAATATTCTGGGATATCTAGCGGGGCTGTAAAATGCCTATGGGCTGACACCACGCGAGAACCCACGACCTTGGCTAAGTTGACACTACTGATTGGTGACTAGCATGTCCGTAACAACATGCAACAGATCGTGTAACTCGTAATAGGTTGAATCGCTAAGGTGATCTGTGGTTCACGTTTAGAAAATATAAGTATGAACTCCTCGAATCTCGTAAGAAAACCCTTAATCTATTGAAAACGAGCCTAATCTCTAGTTAATCGCTATAGATAGGATGTGAGTTATAATCCTCATGTGAACCAGATAGCCTTTGAAGATAGAGCTAACTTGGATGGCTATGGATAGGTTGTGGGTGGTTTCCCTTTGATAAAAACTAGATATCGGTAGAAGATAGGACTAACCACAATGACTGTGGATAGCTTGTGAGTGATAAACCTTGATGTGCACTAGATAGCGGTTGACGATAGGACTAACCGCAATGTTTTTGGATAACCTGTCAGTGATAATCTATGATGTGAATCATCGTTTAAAGACAGAACCACCCGCAATGGATATGGATAGGATGTGAGTGATGACCCTTCATATGAACCAGATGTCGATTAAAGACACCAGGGCATATATCTTCTATTCGCAGCTTATAAGTAAAAGCTCAATTCCGATTGCTGTATCCTCCAGCCACTGAATTGGCGATTTACTGAACGCTAGTGGAAAGGTATGGATGGAAGGTAATTATCGAACACCTATGTTTTGCCTTGGTGCGGGTTTTCCCTATTGAGTTACGTTCCCCCACACCGTAATGCAAATGCAAAGGAAATATAAACATTCACTAGTTTTAACTCCTTTATAGTAGTTTCCCTGTCGGATTTCCTGAATACCTACTCTCTTTCGACAAGGCTATGCGTAACGTCGCGATAAAAGGATAAATTATTAATATAATAACTGTAGTGTGATCGTATTGAACCATAAATGATGGCTGGAAAGCATAAATCAACATCCTAAACGGTTCATAACATTACAGACCATGCGGGAACGAACCTTTCAAAGCTGTTCCCACCAAGTGTGCAGGTTCCTGCATTCCAGCACCAAAGGGATATGGAATTCTTCTCACCGAATTACGGCCCCGCCATAAACATCTGCCAGACATCCATCAGCTTATCGAACAGTTCTGGCTTGACGAGCGCCTGCAATGCATATCTTCTTCCGGTTTTCTCAGGTGCTTCACTCGCAACAAATCCCGACAGATCTTGATCTCCTTCCATGGGAGCATCGTATACCATCGAACCCTCTGCAGTCTCACCTTGGTACTCTGCCCACGGTTTCTCCCCATTAACGAACGTGATAAGGTCCGCGGCAAATCGTTCGGCACAGCGCCGCTGCCCGTTTGAGAGGTACTCCGAGTAATTTTGCAGCACAAATGCAATATCAAGAATATGTGTGGCATGACCCTTCCACGGTCCATCCCAGGGGTTGGGGCAGTTGAAACGATACTGCAGAGCCTCCGTCCCTGGGACAGAGGACAAGCTCCATGCCTTGGTAAATGACTGTGCTGCTACGGCAAAACACACGTCGTTGCCAAAGTTTAAAACGTTTTTCGTCGATTCGGGGGTGTTGGAAGTAGAACTTGGATCCAGATCGTATGCTGCGGCGATAGCTGGTGCAATGTTTGGATCCACATTTTCAAATGCAGTGGATAAACACTTGACGAGTGTTTGAGGAAATATATCGGTTCTTGCTCCCAGACGAGGAGCGAGAGCCATTGCCTAGTGAAGTTAGGATGTTGATTAGTATGATTTCCTGGGCAGAAAGCTTATGGGGATAATTTACATCCATTTGACAATCACCCATAATGAGTCGCTTGCAATGCTGGATTCCTGGGAAAAGCATTTTCACCCCAGCATCATCAGCCATGGTTTTGAAAGTAGTGACCTCGGGAATGAAGTCGCTGTCCACCATGGGTCCGAGAGGAATATGGCGTCCAACTTTGGCCGTCAGTCCGCTCATCGGGACCTCAAGGATCTTTTGAACCTGCTCTGCAGGTGACAGATCTTGGATTCCAAATATATCCACAATCCTGGCGAAGGATTTCTCCAGCAGTTCCGGTGTGCGGGCACGTAGCAGCGATGTCCCACTCATTCCGATGAGTTGATTGAACAAAACCTCATCAGAGTGAAGGTGAAAGCACCCGGATGCTATTTGAATCAGCGACTGATGCCTGAAATTCAAAGGCTCTGAAACGGAACAACGCACCACCTCCTGCGCTCTCTCCAATAAACGTCACCCGGTTAGGATCGCCCCCAAAGCCACTGATATGGCGCTTGATCCAGAGGAACGCCAGTCGCTGATCGTCCAAGCCGTTGTTAGGCTTATACCCGGCTGCTTTCATAGCAGCAGAATGGAGAAAGCCGGAGACTCCAAGACGGTAACTGCTCCATATCAGCAAATGTTCAAGGAAGCACCGGGATGAGACCTACTTGACTGCAACAACAATCATCGGCTTCTTCAACTCAACACTCTGGTTGGTAATCCGAGCAAGGTCATATTGGGGATACGAGCTACTACCAGTGGCAAAGGCACCGCCATGAACCATGACCAGTACCGGCAACGAGCCAGCATCCTTCACATTGGGGACTGCAATATTCAGAGTCAAACACTCTGTGTCGGACTGGGGGTATTCCGGGAAAGGCAGCGAGTGCTGAAGTAGAGTTTGCTCCCATGCACATCCATTTGCAGGACTCAGGGGAATTGGTCTATATATATATATATATATATATTGATTAGCTGGCCGTAAGAGGAAGGTTATCTCAAACGTACCCTAGTTTTGTAGCATCGAGCACTCCATCTTTATTGAAATAGCTACTATTGTATGTCTCAAGGAGCACCCCTCGAGAGAAACGATCCTTTAAAGTTGCATACTGTACACCGAGATACTGGACAACCGTAGGTACCTTATTCAGTCCCTTGATGGGACCGATCGTTAGGTGCTGTTTTGTTTGGTACGACATCGCGTCCAAAGCAGAAAATCTGGTGGTAGATTGAACTCTTCGATATCTGCAAAAGAATGAAGAAGGTGGTTAGTCCGTTTTTCAACTGAGAATTACACCCGCATCTCCGTTCTGAAACCGAGGACCGATTCTGGGGCACCGCGTTGATATGCCGCCTTAAACCCGCACAGGCTGAATCATCCCGCCGCTATCCCCGACGCCCAGATGATGTCGATGCACAAAAAATGTGATCTTGATTTAAGACCAGGAGATGATCCACAGGAGAAAAGTCTCCGTCTCAGAAGCGCTTTGAATCATTTGCCAGTACTTGTCAAGATGACCACTACCGACAAGCTGATCAGCCCCTCCTGTATCGGCCACTTCGGCCTGCGCACCACCCCGGAAAATTTCGAGGAGATGGTGAAATGGCACATGGATTTCTTCGGTGGTACCATCACTCTCCGTAACCAAAAGGCTCCCTTCATCGCCTACGATGACGAGCACCACCGTCTGGTCATCGTCAACGACCCGAGCCACCGGCACATCGACGACCGGAAGACTGCCGTGGGAATATATCACATTGCGTTCACACTAGACAGTCTCTCCGATCTAGTGAAGAGCTACGAACAGAAAAAAAGGATCAGAGGCTACCAAAGGAAGAAGATAACTTTGGTGTAAATATCTTGCGTAAAGCCGTTTGGCCTGAGGGGAAAAGTCGACCTGCGGAGTCGCTATGCCGGGAATTCTATGCTGCTCCGCTGAGCTTGTACCTTCAGAGGAATGGTCATACTGTAGGTAAGAGGGCAAAGCTTCACGCCATTCCATGATCTTGGTATCCAGACTTAACAGGGAATGAATATCTGGGCCTCTGTCTAATGAATCATTAAGCTCCTCCCGGTCCAACACTTGTTTGAGTATATCTTTGGGTTACGGCCACCAAGCAAAACTTTTGTGTCGTCAACACTACGTATTACGCCGTCTCAATTGGGCCTCGGAGGGAAGTCAAATGCCTTGCAGTGCTGGGGGCACTTGACTAACTCCACCCATCTCAGCAGTTTCCTTATCAACCAACCATGACTATAGTCCATCACGACAACATGGAACCTTCATCAGAGCTTATTGGCTTTGAGGGAGCACCTCCGATCGAGAATCCCACTATGCCGGTTGCTGTTATTCCATGGAGCCCTCCATCTATTGATCCATTGCCAGAACTTGGGGATACCGAGAGAGCAAAGTTAATCGACAGACTGAGCAAGAAGGCAAAGGAAAGCGAGGCGGACTCAACATATTGGGCATGCCTCTGGTTGTCCGATATTGAATGCCTTCGAGAGATTCTCCGGGTGGCGGAATGTTCCCAATCCAGTGCGTCCTACTTGATGACAAACAAGGGTGCTTTCACTATGATCAGGGCTTGTGAGCTACTTCCACCTTTCATACCTCTTTCTAACCGACGGAAGTACTAACATTGAAACTCCTTAGGGAAAACAAGGCCGAGTATGATCGCGGGGCTGCCTGGGACACAAGGGAAGAGAAAGTTGGGGGAGGAGAGCCCGAAGCGAAAATTCAGTGCCAAAACAGCTGTGAGTCATCTAATTTGCATGGAGTGATGAATAATTTATGCACTAATACCATGACTAGTGTCTTGAGCGCCACGATTTCAGCTGTGAGATCACCAATTTCCCCCAGGTAGATGTGGCTCATATCTACCCGCTATCCATGAGGAAAGGTCAATCATCGGGAAACAACAAGAAGTGCACTGACACGTACGACGACTTCTGGAAAACGCTGCACATGTTCTGGGGCAAAGACCAAGTCGATGAATGGGAAGCCCGGTTAACGGGCCCATATGACACAGAGCTTTGCGAGAATTTGCTTTGCTTGTGCCCCAACGCTCACAGGCTTTGGGGGTCTTGTTACTTTGCCCTCCAGCCGCTCCATCTACGCGACGACGGTAAGGAGTTGATCACACGTTTCTACTGGCTGCCCGAGGTCACGCGACACAAGGTTCAGGTTCAGGACAAACCGAGTATTTCGCTTCATCCCCTCGCAGAATTACTCAATCTTCGTGTTGAGAATACTGACGGATCCGCACATAAGATGAATTCTGGTGATCTGGTCATTTTCCAAACCAAGGATCCAGAAAATCTGCCATTGCCATCATGGGATCTCCTCCAAATGCAATGGATTCTCCATAGGATCGGTGCCCTCAGTGGAGCAGTAAATGTCCCCATGAAGCCGTGGTATTGCGATAGTGAGGATGAGGGTTCCGACATGGGGTTCGAAGATGTTTTCGAGCCTTACCAGGATGAATACTTTGCTGAGCCTCACCATGCTGAACTTTCTGCCGGTGTGGAGTCCGAAGATGCTGTTGAACCCGATGAAGAAGATACGCAGTTACCCCCGATTCTTGGCCGTCCGTCTCGTTTTCAGTCTTCCTTCGAGATCAACCCAAATGCAGACTTCCCTCGCCGACGATCTCCCTCGAGTGAGAAGTCTCTATAAAAAATAGCTGTTCTTCCTTCCTTCCCGCATGCTATAGGCTCCGAAAACATTGCACCACATCACCCAACACCTGTGAAAGAAAGTGTCGTCGCCTCACGAGGAATGAAATATCGTCCTTGCCCATCTCGTGATAGCCTTGGCAATTATTATTTTGAGGAGCTAGACGAAGACGTGGAGTAGTTCCCGGGTGCTCTAGCTGTCCATTCGTAGAGGGATTGCCATTGAGGCTGCGTGTGATTATTCCTACCTGAATCGCTACCTTCAGTCGCTGGAGCGGGTTTACTCTTCTTATTCGTTATCCTTAACCATGTTTCTGCCCGTTACTTCGGCTCTGCGTTATTCTCGCTGTATGTCCATCACGCTTTGCTTTGTTTTTCCTCCGCGCCTTGTGTGGCGAGATGTATTATTGGTTAGGAATGTTTCCTTCAATTGAATCATAGTTTATGGTTCTACTTAACAAGCTATGAAGGGAGAGTGTGTTCTTAGGTCGACGTCTATAGCCTAGAAAGGCCCCTGTCTACAATCAGTATCCATTATTAGTGGAAGGGCCAAGGATATGCTGAAAGAAGCGGACAACCTAGTCGCCCTGCAAAACCCTGCCGATGAAGACATTCTTTCGAAGCTTCTGCAGGATCACTGGGATTTCCAGCGGCGCAGAGCTGTCGACCCACTCGACAGGACGACATTCTACAAGGCACGGCACATTACACGTATAGTTGCAACAATCAGTATCCTAACTGCTGCTATACTCTTGGTTACTGCCATAATCAGTCCTTAAGTTGCCACCAGTCCGACTACGAAGTTGTGTTTGGTGGTCGCCTATACATTCTTCTTTGCGCTCAGTATGTCCCTACTGACGAACGCAAAGAGAGCAGAAATATACGGTGCTGCGGCCGCATATGCGGCAGTATTAGTTGTTTTTATTTCGGGGAATTTAGGAGCCACACCAAGCTAAACAAACCACCAAAGAATCCGACAATCAATACAGAAGCCGAATTTCCGTTGCCAGGCTCTGGCTGTTAAGCAGGGTAACCGATTAGGTATCAACTACGACTTCTGTATTTTGTTCAAGAAGGATGTCGAACCAAACGTTAAAAAGCGAGCAAGCTCTATCAGAAGAGATGCACGGACATGAAAGGACAGCTACTGTAAGCTGACTCGGCTGATCCGTCTATGTACGTGGGGATCGCATACCCGTGGCGACCAGCCAGAACCCCATTGTTTCGCTCTCATCTTTTCTGCAGCTTTGGGGAAGTCCTACTGTGGTGGTATGAAGCTTTCTAAAGTATCCATGTGTTGCTTCAATGGCTCAAGTTGCCTTGGTGTGAGTCCAGACTCAAGTATTCTTCCCTCTGACTTAGCATAATCAAAACTAGTTATACAGCTTTGCTGCGCATGTGATTATGGGCTTCAGGCACCACTGTTCTCACTTGCGTATTTGCTTTCTATCCAATAAGCATTTTTTCCAGTCAAGTGTAAGAAGCAAAATCAGAAGAAAGTAAAACTCGGGGAGTTTCTGGGTCAGCTCGGGCTCCGGGTCGAGCTCCCGAAAAGCGCATTGAGCCCTACCACCGCCGGGATAATTAATTCTTTACGGAGGGATACAAAAGAGCACAATGCTATTCTGATTCAGCGCCAGTGAAATTCTCTTTCTCTGCCCAACAACGCAAGCTACCATTAGGCTTCTGAAAAATATATCATGGACAATCTCATCGCTCCCCTGGGTGCCTTTTCCCACCTTGACGAGGCAAACAGACTCCGCCTTCAAGATGGTTTGCATGAAGCAGCCGAGGCTCTTGAGACACCTTATGACATGATGATTCGCTTGCTGAATGCGGTTAGCTACTCTATCCCCTGCATGAGATGGTCGAGATTGTTTAGTGAAGGCATTCTGGCTAACTCCGGATAACAGGGAAGGCAAACGGCCATGCTTAAGATCGGATACGATTTGGAGATCTTCACAACCCTCACTAGCCGTGAAGAGCCATTTTCAGTGGACGAGCTAGCGTCAGGCAAAAGCGTTGACCCCCTCCTTATGTCCCGAGTGCTACGTTTTCTTGCCGCCAACCGTTTCATCACTGAAACAGATAAGAATCTCTTTACTGGGAACAAGTCCACTAGGGGACTCTCGGACCCTCGAATCCAGGGCGGATTACTTCACGCGTAAGTCACCATCGCCAATCTCCTCATTTCATGATAAAACGTATCTTCCACAGAGACCGCCTAGCTAAATATTTCAACTTGACCGAGCGGCAGTTTCCACATTAGTGTCCCAGCTTATCAGGCCCTGCCAGAATATCTGCAGGAAAACAAGTACCAGAACACCACTGGAGGACGATGTGCCTGGCACAAGTCAGCTAATACCGATCTGGAATTCTTCCCATGGGCAAAGCAAAACCCCGAGATCCTAAAATACTTCCAGCAGCTTATGAGTATTCCTCGGGATGGCAGCTGGCTCGACGTCATGCCATTTGAGGACGAGGCCAATGATACCACTGACCGGAAATTGTTTGTTGATATCGGCGGCAACATCGGTCACCAGTGCGCGCGCCTACTTGCTAAACACCCAAAGTTGGCTGGTCGAGTGGTCTTGCAGGATCTTGAGGAGACCATTCGACGGGCACCAGAGGTTAATGGTGTAGATTTCATGGTGCATGACTTCTTTACACAGCAACCAGTGAAAGGTAAAGCTCACATTTGTCTTTTATGAAAGTTGATGACCGTTTGCTGAACATCTTCAGGGGCCAAATTTTACTACCTGCGCGCGATTCTCCATGACTGGGAGGATGATAAGTCAGTGGAAATTCTGAAACAGATTATTCCAGCCATGTCGGAGGATTCCCAGATCTTGATCGATGATCTGGCTCTTCCAAACACCGGTGTTCACTGGTGGAGTACCTGTATCGATATGCAGATGTATATCATGCATGGAGCGATGGAGAGGACGGTTGACCAGTGGTATGCTCTTTTGGACAAGGCGGGCTTGAAGGTGAAGGAAATCAAGACCTACAGTCCTGTGATGCGGAACTCGGTTATTGTGGCCGTCCCGAAATAATAGTAGCATTTACTGGAAATTTCATGTTCATCAATCCAATTTTCTTTCATCTCTCAATAGAATGAGCATAACAAGTACTTCGTGCCATTATTACCGTTCCAATTTGCTGAAAATCTTGAAACCCCGGATCACCTTTAATACATTGCACAGAGCGGGTGTAAAGAGCGGTTATCGCGCCAGGCATCAAGGCTCCAAATAGCTCGGTGATGTGAACCCCGCTAGGCAGCTTCGTAGGAGTTTCCTACAGCAAATGTTTCCATTAGGACGGATCGCGGATGGCCCAATTTTCCAAGGTAATAGTCTAGAGTCCTTTACTGTTAATAATCAGAAACTAGGATTTCTTTCTAAATTCCTTCAGATTTCGTGACATTACTGTCAACCTGGAAAGGCGCACAGCGAAAGATAGATTATGGCGACCCAAAATATCGCGATCAAATTATAATGTAGTGCATGATTTACCCGGCGACGTTCTCGCCCCCTATGCTCAAGCTTCACCCGTGTAATCTTATAAACCCGCACGCCACCGTTACATTTATTAGAGGTTCGCATCCAAGACGGCTCCACCTGACTCTCTCGTTTATAACGAGTCATATTTTGTGATCAGGGATTTGTGCCCCTTCTCTTCTTTCATGTTGGCCCCATCCGGGGTACCCACGCGAACTTGCGTCCTATTGGCCGTGATTCTCCCAAACTAAGAGCAGTTGCGCCGTTATCATTGGTCTCTTCGGGGGGTTTTCATTTCATATGCCCGAAACGGCTGGACCACGTCTCGGAGTCCGTACCTGGGACTTAAGCAAAAGCCCCCGAAGCACGGGGCAACGAGATTCCCGTTCCCCATGATCGGTTCCACTTAGCCTTCCCGGCTTGCCGCCTAACCACTAGGGTCTATAGAATATTATGACCAGGATGAACAACCTTCCCCTCCTTTGAAACATTCCTATTTAATCCTTCCCCCCGCCACATTTTAATTGAGTCGACTCGCTTCCACTGTTCTCACCATATTTTTCCAATCTTATTTTCTGCTACCTACTGGTATCTCAGCCCTTCCCATCCTACGCCAAGCCTCTGCACGACACACACTACTTTCCAACCAACATAGCGGCAATGGCACCACCGACGCCCTCGTACACCAAGGTCACTCACTCTGCCACGTATGCTGGCATCAATCCAACTCAGCCCGGCCTCTCCACTACGGGCAAGGTTGTGTTGATCACTGGCGCATCTGGCGGCATCGGCCGAGCCACAGCCTCATCCTTCGCTGCATCGGGCCCCCGAGCCCTCATCCTTCTCGGTCGACGCGCCGACGCCCTGACCGAAACCGCCGCCATTGTCCGCGGCAGCCACCCAGAGGTGACGATCCAAACTCACGAGGCTGAGCTGTGCGATGCTTCGAGCGTCCGCGACACTATGAAGAAGGTGGCTGCCGAGTTTGGTGGCATCGACATCCTGATCCACTCTGCCGGCGTCCTGGCCCCCGTTGTTCCGCTCCTGCAAGCCGATCCGGCTACTTTCCTGGACGGCTACAAGACTACCGTTGTCGGTACACTGGTAACGGCACAAGCTGTCGTCCTGGCAAACAAGACTGTCAGCCCCAACGAGGACAAGCCAATCACATTCATCAATCTGACCACGGCCGGTATCATTTTCCCCCCATTCCCCGGCATGGGCGCCTATGTCAGTAGTAAGATGGCCGCCGTCAAGGTCCTGCAGGCCTTCGCCGTCGAGAACCCGCAAGTGCGTCTTCACAATGTGCATCCCGGTTTCCTCGATACAGCTATGTCTGCTAAGCTATCAGAGTCGATTAAATTGCCATTTGGCTTTGACGAAAGTGAGTATCAATTGATCTTGTTCTTTGTGGCTAGTCCGTCTCTGTGTTCAATTAACTAATGGCTATTCTTTTCCAGTCTCTCTTCCCGCCGACTTCCTAGTCTGGATTGTCTCCCCCGAAGCTGAATTCCTTAAGAACAAGATCGTCTTCTCCTGTTGGGACGTTGATGAGCTTAAGGCTCGCAAGAACGAGATTGTCGGTGGCCCGCCAGGAACTGGTGAGCTCTGGCTCGGCTACCAAGGATTCCCACGATTCGTCGGTGGTCAGGCTTTGCCAGGCACCCAGTAAACAATCGATCCCGATATGAGAAGTCATCATCCCAGGCTGCACGGTGTACATGCGTGCGTTAATTAAACAAGTACATGAGCTATTTACACAAAATGCTAGCACGAAGACCTCAATAAAAAAAAAGAATCTACAGTTATGTTGCTGAACTCAAATAATAAGGAAAAGAAGAAGAACAAACAGTAGTCCTCGTCGATTTGCAACAATAGGGGGGGTGAACTTTCTCAAGCCCGTTTTACATTATCCGACATCGAGGCCTCGGACTCATCCTCCACGGGCGAGTATTATTTTTCTATGTTCAGACCACGCTCTGAAAATACAAGATACGTGACTATGTTCTAGATATGGTCCTACATGAAAATGCAACAAGGCTCAAAGGAACAAGCATTTTTTCACTTCCGAGTGAAGATAGCTGCAGCGGCGACCCCATGGATATATGTTGTTTATACCAGCTTTGGCTATGGATGTGCCTTCGCTAGACGATATAGTCCCGCGCAGGTTCACCTTCTATGCCAGAGACAGAGATGTCCTTTCGAACCCTAATCATATGATACGGGAAAATAACACGTTTTGTACCTACCTGTAATAATACCAGTCACTTAATATTTGAGATCGTAATTTACTTGAAACGAGATACATTCATCCCATTAATTAAGTCAGGCTAGAAGGCAAGAAGAATATTCACTTACGTGCTAATAGTAATGTAATTGAATTCTTATCAAGTATTGTGGTTATTCTATCATGTTATGGTGCTTCACCTTCAACCTAATAGAGATGTAATAAAAAGGTACCGATCTGAACCAAAAAAAAGGAGCTTCGACCCGTACCCTAGCTAATGCTAAAAAAAACAATATTCAAAGACAGTTAAAAATCCAATTCCTAACATTCTGACATAGCAAAAATATAGAGTTCATGAAGGAAATTGGATTTACATAGCGAATAAGGCAACAAAGCAACTCAGTCCAAGGGAAACAAGGAGAGCTCCGGCACTGGGTGCTCCAGAACTGATTGATGAGCCAGAACTGTCTAATGGGCCAGAACTGTCTGATGAGCCAGAACTGTCTAATGGGCCAGAACTGTCTGATGAGTCAGAACTGTCTGATGAGCCCGAGGATGATGTGCTACTCGTATGAGATGGCGCTGCGCCGGTGCTTGTGCCAGATGCAGGATCCACAATACTACCAGATCCAGACGTGAGTCCCGAGCTTGATGTTGAGCTAGAGGGGCTGTCGGTGGTGGTGGCAGTTGATTCAGAGCTAGAGTCAGAGCTAGAGCCAGAAGAGCCAGAGCTAGAGCCAGAAGAGCCAGAGCTAGAGCCAGAAGAGCCAGAGCTAGAGCCAGAAGAGCCAGAGCATGTACTGGCTGGATCGCTGGGGTCGTAGCATGTAAAACCATCAGAACATTCAATGTATCCAGATCCAAAACAACTGACGCAGGTGCCACTGGGGCAATAATCAAAGCCAGAGCCAGAGCCAGAGCCAGAGCTAGAGCTAGAGCTAGAGCCAGAGCCAGAGCTAGAGCCAGAGCTAGAGCCAGAGCTAGAGCCAGAGCTAGAGCCAGAAGAGATAGAGCATGTACTGGTTGGATCGCTGGGGTCGTAGCAATTAAAACCATCAGAACATTCAATGTATCCAGATCCAAAACAACTGACGCAAGTGGCACCAACACCGGAGCAATAGTTAGAGTCGCCAGCAGAGCCCTGACGGGCCATCAGTTGGTTGTTGGAAGTCAAGCCCTTGTACAAGGTTTTGACGTTGCTCGTCGCAGGAAAAGGTGAGCTCTGCGAAGCCAACTTCTGGTAGGCTTTTTCACCGGAAACGATCGTCACAGCGGAGAGTGAAAAGAGAAGATAAAATTCGGTGAAACGCATTTTGGCTGTCGAATGGAGTTTGATGGAGGAAAAGTTGTTATAAACGATTGACGATATGAGCAAATCTGCTCGATATATACTGGCACACAATAGACGGTTAACACGTGTGCCAAAGAAACGATAAGAAGAAGGACCGATCAGTCAATATCTCCCGGAGACAGAGGTCGTGGGACCTTATATATAACATTTTCCCTGCTGCTTGTTTCTTTTTTTATTCGCCCCTCTCGTCAATACGGGTTACCTAACTACCTAAAGATATACGAACCGCCAAGACGCGTAGCTGCATATTTGGACACTCGTAGTGGTTCTTGAACCCCTAAATGGAAAGGATCATTCCATATTAAGTAAAGTCACCTCGTGTTGAGGAACTTAGATTTACGATCTGCGTTTTATCTTTACCGCTTCCAGTTAAGCGATTGGAGGGCACGGATAGCGGGTGTCCTTGGGGGAAATTATTGCTCAGGTTGAGCCGCTTCTGTTCGGACAAGGACAGGGCGTGGTGAATTTTAAAAGTAGATCAGTGATAATACACATCACAGTTCCTGTGTATTCGTAATTATACCGTACAGCAATTGAACATAGTTTAAAATACGGAATACGGGAGTAACCCAATCTAGATAAAGGGTTTATGTAATCAGGAGTTGAAAGAGCACCAGGGCATCTCCATGGTACCAACATGGACGGCGATCCTGGGCAAGACTGTATGTCGAGGGTTATCGACCGTTCATAATCTGCGCTAGCGGACCGATAAACCACGTGGTGTTGACGTATATGTGTGCTGGGAAACCAGCCATTGTCGTAGCTCGTCTTGCTTCCGGTTCCTCTGCAGGAATGGGTTCCCCTGCAGGAATGGAAACTCAGCCTCGTGGAGTCCCGCAATGCCGGAATCCGAGAATAGAGAGAAGCTTGTTAGCGCCGTCTTACGGTATTCGGTAAAGGTCGGACTCCGAGAATCCGTGTTGCTGCCAGGCACAGCCGCGCTTATACGGATATCTAGAAAAACTATTATATTTAGTGTGCTAACCGTAGATGTATTGCCAAATTATCCAGAGCCTGTCCGCTTCGATCTCTATCAGTCGATCCAGAATCATTAGATAAAACGTCTCTGATATCCTCTCTTTTCTTGTGTTTCTTTTTTCCGGTTGGAAACCGACGACGATCTTCGGCAGTGATTCTCTCAAGCACATCTAAGCACCATCATGCATTGGTATACTTTGTACCTCCTTGCAGTGACGGGACTCGCCACCGCTTTCACTATACATGATCCATGCAAGTCCCTCGAGTCCAAGATCCCAGGGCGCGTCTCATACCCCGGTTCAACAACCTATAATGCCTCCGTTTCATCCTACTTTAGCGGTCAGGAGCGCGCCATGAGTCCCAGTTGTATCTTCAGGCCTACCGATACTTCTGAAGTATCCCAGTTTGTCAAGTTAGTGACTTCAGACGATTACAAGACCAACTTCGCCGTTAGGGGTGGTGGACACACCCTCTGGACTGGCGCGGCAAACATTGACTCTGGCATCACCGTTGACATGCGCCTCATCAACCAAGTAGAGCTGAGTGAGGATCACAAAATTGCCCGCATTGGAGGTGGCGCTGTATGGGATCATGCTTACGAGCAGCTCGTGCCGTATAATCTGACTGTTATGGGAGGCCGTATTCCCGGGATCGGAGTTGGTGGCTTCGCCACTGGGGGTCAGTACTCGCATCGAAGGCGGTTTTGAATAACTATAGCTAATTTGTCATCAGGTGGAATTACCTTCCACTCACGCGAGCGCGGTTTTAGTTGCGACAATATCTACGGTTATGAAGTTGTTCTCGGAAGTGGTGAAGTCATTTATGTCGACCAGGCCTCTCACCCCGATCTTTGGGTTGCTTTGAAAGGCGGCTCCAACAACTTTGGCATTATCACACGCTTTGATGTAGCTACAATTGTTCAGGGCAACCTGTGGTACAGTCTCCTGGGTTACAATTATACAGACGCCACGTTGTGGGCTCACGCCAAAGCCTTCAGCGACTTTATGAAGCCAAAGAATTTCGACAGCGCAGCCATGATGGGAGTCTTCTTGGACTATGCAGGCGGTAAATTCCTTCTCTCTGATTCCATGTGGTACACAGAAGATGTTAAGAAACCCGCCGTGTACGACGCTTTCACCGAGATCCCAAACTTGGGAGGTGTGGCGGAGCTCACCACTACTGACAAGGTCGTGGAGCTGTTCGGACAGAATATCCCTGATTACGAGCCACGGTTAGCAACAACAATAAACACCCTACCATTTCATGCTCCACAAATCTAACTACTTCTCTAGTGCCTTCCAACTCACCTTTTCGTTCCATAACCCGGATCCCCATGTCTACATGGAGCTTTTCAAGATCTGGGAGAAAGGCGTGAGCAAAATCGCGGATGTGGACAGCATATTCGTCGAATTCTTGGTTCAGCCTCATCCCGTTACCAACGGCACCAACATGTTCGGCCTGACGCCCGAAAAGACAGACGACGTTATGATCGACATGACTGCTGGGTACGCAAACAAAGCCGACGATGTGAGAGTTCAGCGAGTCATTGAAGACGTTGTGAACAAGCAACGCGCACTCCTAAGGTCTCATGGGCATCTGATGGACTTCATCTACCTCAATTACGCCGACATCTCACAGAAGGTCCTCCAGAGCTGGGGTAAGCATAACGTTGCTAAGCTCAGAGCTGCTAGCAAGAAATACGACCCCAATGGCGTGTTTCAGGAACGGGTCCCTGGTGGTTACAAAATCCCAGCATAGGTCTTCCGAACCGGTTTATTGCTCTGCAGCGAATACAAAAAGATGGGCGCGTTGTATCGCACACGAGCCAAGTTCGGGACCAAGAACGTACTTACATATGACTTAGTCAGGGCTAAAGGTATAATAAAAGCCTTTACTTATCGTGGTACTGCGGGTGTATTGGTCAAATTCAATGACGGTAAATTCTCTGACTAACTAAATAACAATGGTCCGAATTTGACAATCTGGCAGGGCATAACGATGATATAAATGATCGGTTTGGAAGCGATATATGAAGGGAATTTATTTCGAAGGAGATATGTTCTGATGGATTCATAGCATGTTGTTGAATTGGCAGATTCCGGGCTGCATGCTATGTTTCCAAAGATGGATGAGATTCACAAAGTGAGATGTACTGGCATCATGGTCCTGGCGCTTGGTGGAATGCTGAGAACATTTCCACAACGCGAGAGTCAATATGTGTTTGTTTCGTGTCAAAGATCGGTTATGCATTTATGTCAAATGTTCTTATCATTGAAGGTTCCAAGTTTCTGGTGTTCACGCCAAGCCGTAGTTAAATCATTCCGAGCGGCTTCGACCTCTTTCGACAGATGTGCCACTAGTCGGTCATGTGCGATTGCGGGAAATCCAGTAGAGGGGACATTGGTATTGGAATCCGGCCCCATTGAGTTTGACGTACCAGCCTGCTTGATACGAGCCGAAAGAGTATCGACCAGACGTTGCAGGTGTCCGAGCTCCTTGAGTATCACTTGGGCCTGGATATCCCAATCCAAGGAAGAATTGTCGATAATGTGATCTCCAATAGTGGCAGCCTGATGTATCACTTTCTCTGGCGAAGATCTGTGCTCATCGAGATAATCCTTGCCACCGGTGGAGCTGCTAGGGCGTCGGGAAAAGCACGCGCGGATCATCGCTCGATACCACACCGCGAGCCGAGAACAGAGAAGTGCCAACAGAACCTGATTCTGAGGACGAAGAGCGCATCCACATTGTAGCATGCGGCAAACTGACATGCCAGCATCTTTGTTGTCTTTGAGGACAGACCCCGACATGCGTGCTGGTTCAGGACCATTGGCATCCTGGCTTCCGCTGCTGCTGCGACGATTTCTAAGAGAAAGGCAACTGTTTTGGCGAATGTGGAGGAAGCGAAGATTCTGGGTCGCAGTAATAATGCAAGGAGGGCGGCATTCAGCGAGACAAGTAGATGTCGTCGTTGTAGGGGGCGCTGTTGTTGGAACAGGGGTCGTTAGTGAGCCATCGGAGCCAAAAGGCAGAGTAGAGAGAGACGAAGAGTGAGTATGGTTGTGGGCGGGCAGATGATTCGGAAGCGTAGAGTAATCCAACATCGGCTCATCAGAATTATCAGAGCCAAGGGCATAGTCCATGCAAAAATCCGAGTTCGTATCGGGACCAGATTCTGCACTAGATTCAAGGGGCGGGCTTGCAAGAAGAGAATGCAGATATGCAGTAGAACTAAGATCAACGTTCAAGTGAACATCAGGAGCCTCGAATGGTGGCTCTCCGAATAGACTGTTTGCGCCGAACCCCGCGGGTGGGTTTAGCTGATCGGCAGGTCCCGTACATCGGGGTATTGTTGAAAACCGATCATCGTCACTGCTGGGAAGCAGCGTCGAAAAAGGCCCCGAATCCTTGGCCAAGTGTAGATCAAAAGCATCCAGCGGTTCCAAAGAAGTGTGATCAAAATCGCAAGCCTTATCCGTGGGCGGCGTGACTTGACCTAGATGCCAGAATAGGCCATCAAGTTGGGCATTTAGTTGGGCATTACTCGAATGTTTAATGGAACGCCCTGGACGATACCGATGACGAGGACATGTGCACGGTGACCTGTCTATGCAGAAATCTCCATCACCAATGACAGGGGTGCACATATTAGTGAAAGGCTAAGAGGTATATCAAGATGTCTGTACGGAGCCTAGAAGCTGGGGAATAGAATGAAGAAAGGGAGAAAGATGGCAATGGACCAGCTAAAGGTCACCTAATCTTGCCACATTCCTTTTACGGGGCGCGATCTATTCATCTCTCAAAGTGCAACCCCCTGCAATGAGAACAACCCCAGGTTCCAGCTGAGACCGACCTAAAAAGCTAAGGAAAGACCCTGGGGCCAAAACCTTAACTTACTAATCTGGTATAAGGCCCACCCAGTCAGCAAGACATTGTATTTTCACCTCTACAGCGCCATATCCTCTATAAGGGTCCTTCATTTTGAGATATCTTTATTAGGGCCCTATTAGGTTTAGAGATTTAGGGGACTTGAGGACTCTCGTTTCTATTTAATGGTGTTGAATTTTTGGGTCTCTCTCAGCTTTGAGGGCCAGCTGGTAGCCCTTTTTTTGATCCCTTTATTAGTTGGGACGGTCCGCCTTAATTAACGTGTTCCTATCGCATCGCCCCCTAACTACTCTTACGGTTCCGTTACAGGGCGCATTTCCATGCTTATGTTACATCGCTTAGGTAGCCGCTAAATTAGTCCCCATGTAGCTAGGTCAGCTAACCAAGAATGGACTATTTTTAACGATTGGTGAACGAGGCAAATCGGTCACGGGAGATTTACCAATTGCGGACCAGGCTAGACGGGCCGCTCGGCTATGATGCCCACATGGATATCTCGATTCGGCGCCTCGTGGACATTTGAAATCTCTCGGCGTTTCTTGGATAGCTTTCTTGCTAGTGAGCGGATGAAAGCTTAGTCTTTTGTCACAGTTTGCAATAACAAACCATTCAACTTCTATCACCCGCAGGGTGGCCGTCTATAAAAATAAATCGCTGAAACCTACAATACGAGGTACGAGATTACCCGCTCCGCAAAACTTAGTCCCACAGTGATTTATTTCCGTAATAGGACTAGCTAGGCTTATTATACGTGTAACGAATTACATACATTTTATATTTCAACTTCTTATGCACTTCTTATTACACACGCAACTACTTCGTATAAAGGAATTATAGTCCACCTGTTCCCTACCGGCAGGAAATATAGCTGGTTTTATTTGGCTAATCCTTAGTTTACACGTGTAAATAATCAGAGGTAATTTCACACACACGATACGAGTTTACCCGATTAGTACTAGTTTTACTGTGGGGCGCTGAGTCGAGGCTGAGAGGTATGTACATGTTTTAGTATGCAGGAAAGCCCACTAGTATACCAAACGAGGCCACCTTGTGTTCCGTGCCCGGATGAATAGAGGGGCATGAAGATTTAGACTAGTTCTTCAGCGGGGGAGCCGCTTACCTTCACAGAATCCTTCATTTGAACATACGAGATAAACAGTGACTCCAGAAAAATATGGAACCCACAGAAACTCAGTCGCCAACCACGGACGCCCCATCTCCCGCATCTTCACAATCTCAAAAGCTCAAGGATTCTTGTGACAATTGCTCCTCCTCCAAAGTGCGCTGTACGAAAGAAAAGCCCTCGTGTGCACGATGCAAAAAGTGGGGATATACATGTTTGTATAGCCCTGCACGAAGAGTTGGACGACCACACCGATCTAAAGAACCTTCGCCGACAAAAAAGGATGGTGAGGAACCAGAACGGCCACATTCTACCAAGGCCATAAGGACAACCCGATTTGTAGATAAGGCAGACAGATCATCTTCTCGGTTCAAAACATTGCCTTCCCGTGTGGATAGGGGCCGCAATAGCTCCATTGTCAATCGCAGACTCAGTCGAAATGAGACATCCTTCAAAGCGCAACAACCAAAGGCCAATGTGGCTGAAATCCATAGGCACAGGGTCAGCCCGGATTGCGTGTTGGTCGTCATGGACCTGTTCTCCGAATTGGAAGTTCCGACCGAGCAGCTCAGGCGCTCATCGTTGGTAGATTCCTGCCTAGCGAACTCGACGGCACAGACCATCGTCGCCGTACTTCGCCGCCTCTTCACTATTTTGATATGTCCTTGTTCTGAGCGCGCTGAGGTTGGCATGTTGATATATGCTATCTGCATGACCATCATCGATATGCACGCCATGACAATCACCAAGTCCGTTCGCCACAACACACAGCCACCGGTACTGGGTCAGACGGGTCTTTGGGATGATCATGGAGCGTCTGCTCAGGAGCCGCTGGAAAACGAAGCCGTGGCTATGCTGGTATTAGGAGAGCTATCCAAGATGGCCAAGTTAGTTTTGCAATTCACCGCGCGGTACAGTGGAGATGTGGAGGGCAAACAGCCCCTTCCGGAAGGCCACAAGATCCCATTCGACTTTTTGCCGGCTTTGGGCAACCTCATGCAGGAGAGGCTGCAGCAAATTACAAACGATGCAACATATTGGCTCGGATAGCCTGCAGTTTATGTATTTTTATATTTATTCGGCGTAGTTTGGATTAGGAGGTTCATCGTGTGATTGGCAACAATACAATCTGTTCTCATTCTGTCTTTACATCTAACAATACTGCTTGATCCAGTCCTTGAACTCCTTCACGGTAGGGCATTCTAAGAACAAAGAACTTCTAATCTCCAATCTCAACTCATTTCGGAATTTCTCAGCCAGCACAAGAGACATGAGAGAATCGACACCCAGTTCGGGGAACGTGGCCTCATCGGTGAGGTCTGAGGGCGGATAGCCAGTTTCCTGTCCAATCAACCGAAGACAGTCGATGACCACAGCAGGTTCGTTGACAACGGTAGAGGATGAAGACTCGACAACTTGTGGCTTTGACGGTAGAGTTATTTCAGCGGGAACAAGAGGCTTAGGGAGCAGTACCTGGGTAGGCTGTGTTGTTGATGTATTTTCAGCCGCTGCAGGGGTCGCGAACATGGCCCCCAGAAGAGCTCTCGGTATGCGTCGGAATTTGATTTCGCCCAACAAGCCCACAATCTCATCCCCTCGTAACACGTAAAGATCGCCCAGGAACGTATTCGGGTCGTCCTTTTCTGGAATCATACGCACATAGCTCGTATACTTGATGCCAGGCTCAAAACTCTCTATCCAACGCAGATCCTTCCATCCAGGCGTGATGTAAGCAAACTGCTTTGTATTCGTCACATCACTTCCATTCATGACAAACCCAGCCAATTGAAACAAACTGTCGGTCCAATGAGGAGGAATGTGCCACTTCCCGTGTCTATCTCCTGGAAGGCAAATTTCCGCACAGGCCTCGAATTGATTCAGCACGACTGATTGCATGCCTTGGTAAAGGGGACTGTAATCAACGATGTTTCGGAAGAGTTCGTACACCATGCTCCTTGAAAGACGACTTGCTTCTCCTGTAGAGGCCATTGCCATGAGCGTGTCGATGCGCGACTTCAGCAGATGACTTTGTCGCCCCCATTCCTTTATCCATGCGGTTGGGTTCTCATAGGTGATTGTCGCTGTAGCAAAAGAGTCTTTCGAGCGCTGACCAGTAACTGATTGGGTGTACCATGTAATGCTGGCAGTGGATGTGGCTTGGTCCAGTTTTGCTTCAATCTGGAGCAGCTGAGACCCTAAACCGCTCTGGTCAAGTTTTTGAGAACTTTGGACGAGCATATCGGTAAGATTCATTGATGGTTGCTTATCAGTGGAGGCAATAAGCTTGTACAGATATGAACCCAGAATGAGAGCCATATCTGTCCAGATTGACTAATTTCAAATGGTGAGCAGGGAAGAAATACACAAGAGAGTGGAGGACTCACAGCAGACACTACGCCGATTCCGTTAATAGTATGCCCCAGAACTGCATTCATGAAGTCAGACCGTTTCATATCGGTCACAGCGGTGACCTCAACAGTCGAGTCGGTTATTTTCTGGGAAACAATCTGTTGCACAGAGGTACTGTCGATAGACTGTCCAGACGGTATGGCCTGCTTTCCTCCTCTCTGTACATTGCCCTTGTCTAGAGCCCATGTGCCCTCATACTGAATCCAGTGGTTTTTGTTATTCCATCGGTAAGCGCCTAGCCTCAAAACATTGTATGAATGTTCTTCTGGCTTGAAGTATTCATTCCAGCATACCGGTAGCCCTTCAGAATGCATTGCTGCCATTGATTTGGTCAAGGTAACATGGTTATCTTCGCCCTTCCGCAAAGATTGAACAACAAGCGCGCCAGAGACATGACTCTTAACAAATGAAGAGCAAAGCGCATGGTGTCCGACCTCGAGCCAGACTGTTTCTTCTGTAATCCCTAGTTCCCTGGCAGTGTTCATCGCGCCGAGGAAGTTGACTGGTTCTCTGGACGCACGGCGAAGATATTTCGCGTCCACGGTATTACCATCAAAGATGCATTTTCCAAGAAGAGTAGATATGATGGGGATCTGAGGAGGGTGGAACGTGATATGTCTCGCTGTTTGCTCGAATTCATCCAGAATAGGATCGAGTTGAGCAGTGTGGAATGCAAAAGGGAGATCCAACTCCGTACACTTTATGCCACTTGCTCCCAGAGTTGAGCGCACAACTTCGATCTCCTCGCGAGCTCCGCTAATTACTGTCGACTTCAGATCGTTCATGCATGAGATTTCGTAGACGTGGGATTCGGAAATGTTGCGGATTTCTTCAACACTCGCGCGCACGGATAGCATGACATGGCTGCCCACGGTACAAGAAGCCATGACAAGCTCTGCCCGTCGGCCAACGAGATATATTGCATCCGCAGGCGAAAGAACCTTAGCAGCTACCAAGGCAACATACTCACCAAGACTGTGGCCCATAACAAAACTGGGCCGAATGCCCAGAAGCTCCCACAATTTCAAAAGTGCAATCTCAAGAACCAGAATTGCCAACTGAGAGAGGATTGGTGAAACATTGTTGGCTTCTTCAGTCTTTTCCAATGTTGCAAAAACAGACGGAAATCCCAAATTTTGGGATAACTTATCCAACTGGGCAACCTGATCACGGAAGAAGGGGAAACTGCGCAGAAGCTGTGATGCTGCTCCACGGTAGAAACCACCCTGTCCCGTGAAAACGAACGCAACGCCTGGGGCTGTAGCTGGCACTGGTCGCAAGCTTGCCACTTTTTCAATTGAAGACTCGAGGAAACTTCTGAGTTGAGCTTTATTTGTGGCAGAGGTTGCAATACGTGTATGATGGTGCATCCGTCGGGCACAGGTGGTGTAGGAAAGATCGGCGAGAGTCACGTCGGGATTCGCATCAATGAAATGGATTAAAGCCTTGATGTTCTCCTTGAGGGATCCCTTGCTTTTTGCAGAAATGGTGATTGGGTACGCATCCCGCAACTCTGGTGTCACCTTAGGCTTGCGCGGAGCATCTTCCAAGAGCAGCGTAGTGTTTCCGCCATGGGCTCCAAAGCTGTTGACTATAGCATATCGTCCTCGCTTTTCAGGCCTGGGCCACTTGGTATGCTCTACAACAAGACCAGTGTTGCGGTTCTGCGTATTTTGCATCACGATTGGGTTCATCTCTGTCGTGATACCAATGTGCCGGGGTATTTCTTCATTTTCAAAGGCAAGGAGGACTTTTATCAAAGACGTCACCCCGGCTGCTGCCTCTCCGTGGCCAATATTGGCCTTGACGGCCCCCAGATGAAGTCGTTGCTGTCGGGCCTGAGTGAGGGGGGCGAAGACACTAGCGACAGACTCGGATTCGACACCGTCGCCTGCTTGGGTTCCAGTTCCATGCAGCTCGACATAACTCACATCCAAGGGACTTACTCCAGCGGTGTGCATCACCTGTCGATAGTTGTCTTTCTGTGCCTCGGCATGGGGGTGAGTAATGGATACTGCTTCACACGAGTGGTTCGTAGCACCGGAGACGATTGTGGCAATGATGGGATCATTGTCTGCCTGTGCATCTTCCAGCCTCTTGATCACTACGGACCCTACCCCGTCTGATCGACAGTAGCCATCTGCGCTCTTGTCCCAAACCTTGCATTGGCCTGTCTTGGACAGAAAGTGGCCCTTGGAGAGCATGCAGTAAATGTCGGAGTTAGTAATGACGTTCAACCCTCCAGCAATCACCATATCCGTTTCACCGGCCCATAGAGATGAGCAGGCCGCATTGACTGCCGCCAAACCGCTTGAGCAAGCAGTATCAATGTTGAAGCTTGGACCACCGAAGTTGAAAAAGTAATTGATGCGGCCGTTTCCAAAGGCACGTTCCCCTCCAGGAATACCGTACGTGCCGATTTGTTGCCCAGCGTTTGTCTCACGATAGTCATCGCTGGCCTGGCCATAGAAAGTACCAACACGCTTCCTGCACGTGGACGCAGTCCGATCTGGAGCGTATCCAGACATCTCCAGGGCCTCATATGCTGTGACTAGGGCAAGACGCTGCATCGGATCGGTTTGATCTGCCTATTTAGGTTTTTGTTAGTAATCCGGCATGAAGTGTCGTTGGGAGATGATGATAATTGGAGAAGACGACCTACTTCACGTGGGGACATATTGAAGAATCCGCTGTCGAATAGACCCGGATGGTCAATGAAATTTCCAAATGGAGACTCTGTTGCATTTATTGTCTTTCCAGTCGGGTCAAAGTGAGTCTCCAAGTCGAATCTGTCTTGTGGGACCGTAGTGCAGGTGTTGCGACCCTCCATCAATAGCCTCCAAAACAACTCTGGATCGTTTGCTCCTCCTGGCAGACGACAGGACATGCCCACGATGGCAAGCTTTTGGCAAGGGTTCGAATTTGGAAGGTTCGTTTCTTTGTGGATCCATTCCATCAAATTCTGCGGTTTCAACTTGATGCATGGAAGACTAGCTCCAATGTTTGCGAGAATCTGGTCTAAGGCCACGGAGCGATGAAACTGATAAACCTCGCATTCTTTGAACCCAACGCTCGAAAGACTCAATGCAATGCCCGAGCTGAGCTTGTCAGGGAACAGAGGCATAGTCAATGCCTCCACGCAGATGGCCTCGTACAGCTGTGCGGCATCATCGGCGATAAATGGCATTCCCGAGTTAGGAGACAGTAACGGGATACACACCGGACGGCGGTTTTCGGTCCCAGTTTCAAAGCCTCTCATGATTTCATGGACATCTTCATGGTTGTAAATATGTGAGACATGGCAGAGACCGCCATAGATGGGGAGTGGAGATCGTTTGGCGTTTCTCAGCACGGGTGAATGGCGGAAGAGACTTTCAAGACGAGATGGAGGTCCCGTAATTCCAACCGAAACTGAGTCTGCATGGCTGATACATACCCGACAAATATCCGAGTTTTTCTTCCAGAGGTTAGTCTCAGACAAACTAAAGTTTAGGATGACCTCTTCACATACTGTGTCCGTATTATAGGCATCCAGTGCATCTTGCACCTCTGCCACACTCAGTCCAGCTACGACGTATGCCCAACTTTTGCGAACCTCGCCCTGAGGCTCAAGCATATGTGATACCTGGCCGACGTGCAATCCAAAGCGGAAGGCCACCCGTACACTGGTAGGACCAGTGTGGGCAAGCTCAAACAGGGATGAAGATGTGGCTACAGCTGCCGCTGAAAATAGCCCTATGCTCATTCCTGCAAGGACCATTCCATCGGACACAGGGAGGTTATAGGGGATGCCTTGGGACTCATAATTCCTATGGGTTGTTGTTACTACTCGTCTTCGTCGAAAGAAAGCATGTGTTTCATGATGACATACCCAATAAGCATTCCAAGCTCCAGCACACAAAGCAATGCTCCTTCTAGTGCTCCTCCGGCGGGGGATTTTTGCAAATTTTCTAGGTTTTCAACCCAGGATATGATGGATTGGGAGGCAGGGAAGGCATCTTGCATGTGTCGAGGCATAGCAAGTATCTCTTCCTTCAATCCAAATGTACATTCCTTCAAAAATGTGGCTAACAAGGGTAGCCTCCTTTCACGACTCCATCTTTGCAAAGACTCAAAAAGGTCTGAAAGCCTGTCATGAGGGAAAGTATGACTGAACAAAAGAAATCGAGATGAGACCCCTTCTTCAGAAGATGTAGATGGGGTGTACATTTTTCTCAAAATCATGAGATCGAATACCCGGAACGATCAATAGAGTGAGATGTAGCATACTTTAAATGTTTAGCTCTATATCATGTGGACAAACATATTGTACGTGGTGTCTCATTGAGATCTCACGCTAGCCTGTGCCCCTCCGCGTGGCTCTACAGTCAGGGACCCTGTGATGTTACATCAAGCCCGGGGTCCGGTCATGATCATGGGATTCTAGAGCTGATAACAGTCGGAAATTTTGCCCACGGCCTACGAAGTTGTCGGGGTAATATCATAGCTTATGGTGGCTGAGTTCTTCTCGTCTTAAGTGGAGCTAGCTGATAGTAAGCGGCAGTGACTTTGCCGCCAGACTAGATTGAATACGAAGGGTGTATTCTGACTTTAGTTGCAGTTGGGTCCACATTTTTTTCAATGACTTTAATTGTCCGCACATGTTTGTGGTATATTTCGCCGAGTCTAGCTAGCCCGAGTTAACCATACAGACAAAGCCTTTCAATCTATCTTCGAAGCACAAACCACTTCTTCTCTGGGCCACCTACCACCGTAAAGCCCAGTTCTCCCTGCTCAGCTAGTTTATACAGGACTTGTGTTATGAACGGCCCCACCATCATTTCTAGTGCCGTTCCGTAAATATGGGAGGTGACTTCCCGAGCTGTCAACAATACCCTCTCCTTCAATCTATCTGCCATAAATGTAGAATAAACAGCCTTTTCAAGCATCTCCCAATGCTTGGCGTAGACTATGAGCTTGGCGGTTAGATCTTCAATCACGGCGCCATGCCCGGGGTATCCAACTCTTATATTCTCGCTATGCACTCTTTGTCCCATCTTCTGAATGCTCTTGAGATATAGTCCTAAGTTTTCCACGACAACACTGGTTCCATGACCTAGGATATTATCACCTGTAAACATAGCACCGGTTTCCTCCAAAAGAAAACACATATGGTCTGTAGAGTGTCCAGGCGTGAAGAACGCTTGGATTGTGGCCCCATCAGTCGCAAAGCTTTGGCCATCATGTATTGGATTTTGGCAACGGTCAGGATCTGCTTTGTAGATGGCTCCTTCAAGGTGCGGATAATGACAGAGCAGTTCGCGCAGACCTCCAGTGTGATCGGAATGCCAATGGGTGAGGAGCACTAGTGAGATGCTGAGATGATGTTGTTTTAAGAAGTTGACCAATGTGTCGATCCAAAGTTGACAACCCTTCGGATTCAGTCAGCCTTTTATTCTAACTGTTTGAGAATTGGCATTCAAGTTCACTGACCTGTCCTGTATCTATCAAAATTCTTGTCTGGCCGCTCCCGACCAAATATGTATTCGTGCCTTGTAGTTGCATGTCACCTGGATTTCCACCCAGTATTCTCACCACCACCGCACTGAGCTCGGTCACTACAGGCAGAGATGGTAGTTTGGAGTTTCGAATAACTAGGTAGTCGTGCCATTCCGGCTGGGTCCATACTTTTGGAGTGAACATGGTGTTGGCAAGTGTACTGAATCGTAAAGCACCCCGCGGCAGCATTATTGGAATATCGATATACAACTATCTAGATACCTAGCTATCTCGGTGGAAAACCTAAACGTGGCATTATTGCCTACCTATTCAGATCTGAGACTCTAGGGCGATTATTTATGGTCGGAGTCCGAGGTCTGCACAGCTCCCGCACGGGCCCCATGGCCCCAAACAGCCTCCGGGGAATCAAGAACAGCCCGATTGGCAGGACTCCGGCTTCGCGAGGTTCAACTCCGAGAAGTTACATGCCGGATTCTTTCGATGGATAGTTTTCGATGGATGGCTCAATTATAAAGTCAGAGGTTGTCGACAGAAGATCAAGTCTTTCATCCAACACAACCAAGCAGTAACACACACAATACAAGCGAAGCAGTTTCGTTTTTCAGACTGCAGTGGACTATCCAATAAAATGGCTGCTACACAAACTGTTCCTGAACAGTGCACCGTACTGGTGGTGGGAGGTGGCCCAGCCGGCTCTTATGCCTCTTCGGCTTTGGCTCGAGAGGGCATCAGTGTTGTTTTGCTTGAGGCCGACAACTTCCCACGGTTAGTCTCCTTGTGCTCAAACCGCCTTCGGCTACCTATTTTCATGATTTTCATGGTCGCTAACCCTGACCGTAGATACCATATTGGAGAGAGCATGCTCCCTTCTATGCGCCACTTCTTGAAGTTCATTGACTGCTATGAGAAGTTCAATGCGCACGGATTCCGTATCAAGGTAAGTTATCAGTCCTGAAATATTAGGAATCAGCATGTAAATCATGACAATGCTGATCTGTTCGTTCCAGAACGGTGGTGCTTTCCGTCTCAATTGGTCCCGTCCTGAGACATGTAAGTTTATCCAAGCTGAGCATATCTTCATCATCGTTCAAACTTAACTTTCTCAACTATAGATACTGATTTCGTTGCTGCCGGTGGACCTGACGGGTACTCATGGAACGTTATCCGTTCTGAAGCGGATGAAATTCTCTTCCGTCATGCTGGTGAGAGTGGTGCTAGTATCTTCGACGGTACAAAGGTTACCGGCATTGAATTCGAGGAAACCTCCGAGGACGCTGTTGATTCCGCGAACCCCAACCCGGGAAAACCAGTTTCCGCAACTTGGTCCCGCAAGGATGGCAGCACCGGCGTGGTGAAGTTTGATTATCTCATTGATGCCAGCGGTAGGGCTGGTCTTGTTAGCACCAAGTATCTGAAGAACCGTCGGTACAACCAAGGTCTGAAGAATATCGCCACATGGGGCTATTGGACTGGCGGTGGTACTTATGGCGTGGGAACCCACAAGGTCGGCGCACCGTACTTTGAAGCATTAAAAGGCAAGGAGCTCCTTGCAAATACTTCTCAGCACTTTGTTAACTAATGTCATACGTGCAGATGCCAGCGGCTGGGTTTGGTTTATCCCTCTTCACAATGGTACCCACTCAGTGGGTATTGTTATGAACCAAGCCAAGGCAACTGAAAGGAAAAAGGCTATGGATTCACCTTCCAGCAAGGAATTCTATCTCGAAAATCTGAACCTAGTTCCAGGCATCCAGGCATTGCTTGAGAAGGGTGAGCTTGTCAGTGAGGTCAAGTCGGCATCCGACTGGTCTTACAGTGCATCATCCTACGCCTTCCCCCATGTTCGTATTGCTGGAGATGCGGGGTGCTTCATTGACCCTTTCTTCTCTTCCGGGGTTCACCTTGCCCTGTCCAGTGGGTTGACTGCTGCAGTTACCATTTCTGCTGCTATCCGTGGGGATGTGACGGAGAAGGAGGCAGCACAATGGCACACCAGCAAGGTTGCCGAGGGATACACCCGCTTCCTTCTTGTTGTTCTCAGTGCCCTCAAGCAGATTCGGGGTGGTGACGATCCGGTCTTGAATGACTGGGATGAGGAGAGCTTTGACCGTGCCTTTGATCACTTCCGCCCTAGTAAGTGACTTTCACGCGCTTTCTTGGCAACGAATAGTTTGACTAATAAAACAAACAGTCATTCAGGGTACTGCGGATGCAGACTCCGAGAAGAAATTGAGCACTGAAGAGATTTCTAAGACCATTGACTTCTGCTTCCGAGCTTTCGCTCATGTTCCCGTTGAGCGGAAGGATGCTCTGATTGAGAAAATGAAGAACCATGGTGTTTCTGACCCAACCGCCACAGATCTCAAGACCCGTGAAGCCCTTGAGGAACTGAAGAATACTCTCTCGTCCGAAGAGTTGGACATCATGAACACTATTCGCGGGCGCCGCATGATCCGTGCAGAGGATTCATTGAACATCGACAATTACAGGCTGGATTCCATCAATGGCATGGCACCTAACCTTGAGCGAGGAAATTTGACCCTTCGTAAGGCGGAAATCAATAAGATTGATGTCTCAAAGAAGGACCTGCTTTCCTTCCTTAATGGTGAAGCCGCAGAAGAAAAGCACCACGAGACCGAGGAGATCAAGGCCCCAGTGGCAGCTGTGGCGGAAGTTGCGCAGTTGGCAACTTGAAAGCATCTGGAGAAAGATTCCAATGGCCATAGAATGACAGTTACATTTTTTATTTTACCAGCAATTGCTTGTGTATTGAAATATATCAATCAACGAATTTTTGAATTTATCCAAGTTAACTTGAAAGACCTTGAAAAATTTCGGCTGCCTTGAAACGGAATAGAGACATCAGCATCGAGGGCAGTGCAATGGGCTGGTAGATCAACGATTATTGTCCTGTTAGTGATATAGGGGTTCACGTGCTCGTACCTTAAACTTGATATATTAGGGCATTCATATTCAAGTTAGCGAGTTGCTCACCGAAGAAGAGAAATTTTAGTCATGCGGTATCAACCTAGGTTCCTTTCGGCAAGTTTAGGTTGATGTTCAGAAGCTTCAGTTAAATATTTCGTTTCACCTTGTTTCTTGCTTTAGCTATGGCTATCTTCCTATGAAGGTTCTTAGGTTCGTTCGAATTCGAAGCCTCGGTGTATTTCCAGAGATTGAAATCGCAATATAGAGCGGGTTTTTATCCTCCCGTGTAACTATACATTTTCTTTTTAGTGTGGGATAAACAACTAATTTTTTTATCGTCCAGTTGCATATTTGAGGACCGCTCTCATACAAATCAGGCGTTTTATGTGGCGAGGAGCTGACAGAACTTTGATCCTCTGGTCGGCTACGTTCAGAATAAAGTTATTATAAGCGGCTCTTACAATAAACCAGTTCAATTGAATGGCTCTCAGGCTACCAAGGAAAGGATCGGCTCCTCTCCCCTAAAGCAAAATAATTATCAGATGACAGATGGGGCCTCCACCAAATATTCTTAAGCTTCATATTTGGTCAAATGGTCATACAATAAATGCCAATAAAAACCGAGGATACATCTACTTTAAGGAGGTATGGGATGCATAGTCCGCATAATATGGCTATCTTGAGAGATTGTTCTCGTTTTTGGGCTATATAGAGCTGCAAAGTTTTATGCAGAGGGAACTTCAAAAGAAGACAGCTAGACCTTCAATTTCAAAATTTGGGTTAAAATAGGACAAATTCCGAACTAGCCTATCTTATAGAAATTTTGGAGGACTTATTTTTCGGACTCTAAGCTGAAAAACGACGTGTAATGCTAGAAGACGGAGACTCTAACCCTGCAGATGAAGTCTATCATTAAGGGGGGGGGATGACTTCTTAGCTCCTTTCTGGGGCGCAAGACTACATTGGAGATGGAATATATGTAGCGATATTCCTGTTTAAATGAGAGCGAAGAGCTTCCAGTGGCAAAAGGGGACCTATCCAAAATGTATTAACCACGGCCGCTAAACTTTCACCCCGCCTGTGGTGGAGTCATCATCACTTTCAGCCTCTTCGCTACCCTCACTAGAAATTGAGGGAATACCCCAAAGGTTAACCCTCGAGTCTATATGAGGCTCTTGGAAAGCTCGGACGGCTTCATGTTGATGGGCGAGCTTTTTTCTCAATCCATCAAGGGAAAGAGCAGCCATAGAAGGACCGAGGTCAGAATCAATTTCAAAAATGGTTGAAGATCCCCCTGCTGTCGAGTCCGGGAACGCCATTCTCTTACCGACACCGGTAGCGATATCATTCTTCAAATCTCTCCGAACAGTTTCAGTCATGCGAGGAAGAACGTCCTGTTGACGCTGAAAGCGCATCCCGGCATTCTGCTCGTTTGCACGGATATCGGGAAGTCGCCAGTTCATATAGAGCTTCTGATGAGAGGGAGGAGTTGCGTAGCGTCCTGGGTGGCAGGAAATAAACAGATGACAGAGGTAGCATGCTGGCTTGCTGCATCCAATATACCTGTCCCGCTCATCCAGAAACCTACCTCCCGTCTGCTCAAAGTGATCAAGTACCAGGAGTTCAGCATGTACGCGGGTTTTTCCTTTGCAGACATCCTTAGACAGCACTCTGTCCAATTCTTTCCCCGTGTATATTCGTTGTAGCTGCTGCAAGAACACATTCCGCTTTGCTGGGTCAGAAAACATACGGTTGCTAATCTTCTGTATGGTACAAGTACGCTCCATAAGTATGATCGGGTTCTCCGGCGACGCGCCAATTGTTTCAATGCGCAAGCCTCGGGATAGTGTCAATCGGAGTCCGATGGTGGATTCAACCAGACGTTTACACCGGGCCACATGCTTCCCCAGCTTGTAGAGCAACTTATGGAGTCGCTCAAATTTCCGACATTGCTCAAGGCTCTCGGAGGTTTGATGCAAGGCCGTGAACAACTTCCGGTCCTTGTAGCTGGAGAGGGCTAAAGCTGGCATGTCGCACTCTTGAAGCTGGACACCTTCCTTCGATAAGTGTGCTGAAAACCAGTTTCGGAGCTTTATGATGCTACTGTGATCTGCTCGGGGTAGTAAAGCATCGTCAGTCTTCGTGTCCATCCAGAGCTGCTCTCTTCAAAGGCAGAGCTTCGTACCTTTTAATCCAGGCTCAGTGTTCAGTCCGCCCATCACAGATGAGACCGATTTATTCACTTGCTGATAGTATTCAAAGATCTTCGGGGCGTTGAGAGGCAGCACATAGTCAGTCAAGATCTTCATAACCCCTTGGCCTTCCTCTGTGTTCAGTTGAAGGGTAGAATTCTCGACTATCCACAAGATAATCAGGCAAACGTCCTCTAAAAGAGTTCGGACTGCCCTATCAATCCCACCATTGGCAGCTATCAGGATCACTATCGCATCTGGGGTTTCTTCAAGAGCTACCGCGGTAACATAGCCAGGTTTCTTCTGATACGCACATATGTAGGCAATGGCATCCACAAAGTTTCGATAGTACTTGGGTTGAGTCGATCCCATGCTTTCTTCGCCGGGCTTGATCCGATCCCCTCGGACTTCGCTCAAAGTGTGGAGCAAACAGAGGGGCTCATATAACAATCGCAGTTTTCTAGGCTGATGGGCTATCAGCAAATTCGGGTCTTCTTGGTCCATCGAGCACAATTGGAGAAGTGTTTCAGAAAATTGATGAGAGAAAATTCCGGAAACATTTGTCTGGGATCTCCCCGCAGCACGCCTGGATTATATCCCTCAGCCTCCTCACTCTGCGTCTCTTCTTTGTTTCTTTTTTTTTTTTTCTCGATTCCTCCCACTTGTCCTTTCACGAATGTCTATCTCTGCATGTTGATTTTCTCTCCATCACGTTGTGACAACTCATATCAGTGCCATGTCATAACTGCATCGATTATCATGCACCTCTACTACTGCGCACATACCACTCCTTGCTGCAGTCTGTTAATAGATCGATCATATTCCCTGTGCATTGCTTACCATTATTCTCCATTCACAGCGTGAACCATATTCGTGGCTGCTATTAGAGATGATTGATGGGATGCCTGATCTTGCCCCGGATGAACAGCACATTTGCAGAAGGATGGCACGTCAATGACACGTCACGCTTTAGACCTCTCTAATGCATTTCAGTCTGGAAATTAGGCGAGATTTTTCCAAGGCAGAGCCTCACGGTGAGTCACAGCCGTTCCATCCTATTGTAAAAATGATTCAAATAGGAAGGACGATCTAGAGAGTATGACTTCTTCAATTTCAAAGAACTGAAACACTGCTTTTTATCAAACCAAAGCATCATTATGGCTGTCTTTCAAGCTCACCATCAACCCACTGGCCTCGATGGTGAGTTTAGTGGCAGCCTATCTCGCAGCCACCTCCAATCTAACAATACAAAATTTGTAGATATCCTCATCGGCACACTTCTCTTTCGCGCATCAGTGATATCGAGCCTCACAGGCACTGGAATGTCCCGCAACGAGACAGAGGTCAGCCCTTATATTCCGCTGTCTCTCATCGGGTATCGGACTCATGAAAATACAGGCTTATTGCAACCATGCTTTCCAAAATTTCAACTGGAGGGGGCTAATTGGGTCCGCCGAGTCCTCCGACGAAGTCCCTCAGACGGCCATCGAAGAAGGTAGTGTCCGAGACCACGGGGTCGCGCTGCTAGGGCAGAGCTATAGAGTGTATCCTGAGTCGCAATTTTCGCTTATATGGACCCTCGCCGACACATTCTCCCATGCTTCCGGATTGAGTCGAGATAGCAGTCATAGAATGACGATGGATGAAATATCCAACTCAAGCCTTCCTGGTCCAGATCACTCAACATCTGGAGGTACCATCAATCCCACTGCGGATCTGCCTCGTTATACTTCTGCGCTGAATGAGAGAGGACAGAGGGAGAATAAAAAGGTTGTTCGAACTGAGGATCGGATAATCACACTCGATCCTCCTAGATTTCAGGTGACATTACGGTATGGAAACATTACTTGCTCTGGTATTGGTCGGACAAAAAAAGAGGCGGCACATTTAGGTGCCAAAAAGATTTGCCACCAATTGAATGAAGCTATATGAATATGTTAGAGATCAGACTGCCCTGACGATTGTTTGTCAGACTGAGCGTTTGTTCGTTTGTTTGCTAGCAGGGTATAAAAACCCTGTTCTTGATAGATTGAATAGCAGAGTTTTCCTTCTCTCTTCCTTCGTAGCCTAACAGAACAGTTTGAGTACGCAGTTGGAAGGTAGAGCTTTCCCGGAACCCAATAGTTAATCTAACAAAGTACGTGATCTGATTTGCGATAATGTAGGTAGGCTTCAAATGAGAATTTTATGAGCATTTGGTAGGTTCATCAGAAAATGCTCTAGTAATAGCCAGCATCTCTGACCTAGCATGTGACTTGTCAAAAATAAATTAAGCGACTTAAATACGCTACTTCGTCCTCAGCAAATGTATCTTGAATTTCTTCCTCCTTCTTTCCTCCTTTCGAATTCCCTATAATCATATTTAGATTCCACTGATCCATCACCCAACAATATGGCCTTGGTCAATATGGAGAAGCGGCCAATACAGGAGCGAGCCTATCAATTAGAAATGTTTCGAAGTAGTCTTCAGCAAAACATCATTGTCGCAGTGAGTTGTTTACAGTGGCCCCACAAGCTCGTCGGAACTAAATGCTGACTAGAGCGACCCAGATGGGCACCGGGACAGGAAAAACGCTCGTGTTTGTATTTCCATACGGGTTGACCTTCTTTGACGGCACTGATACATGTCCTAGAGCGGTTCTTCGGATCCAAGAGGCACTGAATATGAATCCAGATAAGGTATTACCTCATATCACCCCCTAGGTGCCTTTGCCCCTAATGAGCGGGTGGGGACTCATGGGGTCTACATAGCTTGTGTGGTTCCTCTGTCCTACTATCGCGCTGTGTGAACAACAAGTCGAGGTTCTCCGGTCCCATCTGCCTTTCAGCCGCCCTCGATCATTCACCGGTAGGGATCAAGTGGACCATTGGGGAGAAAAGTCCGTCTGGGATGCCGCTCTGAATGGCGTTCGAGTCGGAGTCTCGACCCATCAGGTCCTGTTGGACGCCTTGACTCACGGGTTCCTAATAATGAATCGGCTTTCATTGCTGGTATTTGACGAAGGTACGAGGGATTGAATAACACTAGGGCTGTTTAGAAGCTGACGGTGATTGAAACTAGCTCACCATTGTACAAATAACAGTCCGGCAAACAGAATCATGAAAATTTTCTATCACCCCTACAAAAAAGCGATGCCAGCCTGCTTGCCTCGGATACTGGGTCTGTCTGCCTCTCCAGTCCATACAGATATACTTAGCATCCAGTAAGTTCAAAAGTGAGATAAAGAGGGATAACTGCTGATATTTATGTGCCAGGAAGCTGGAGAGCGATCTCGATAGCAGATGCATGGCGCCACACCGACATTACAAGGAGCTTTTAGATTTCACGAATCGCCCTAAAGTGAGCATCTATCGTTTCTTGGAAAATGATAGACTCAACCGGACAGCCGAGCCCCATATATTAAGTCAGCTGCGTGAACTTACTAATCACGCAGGTAAGTATCATCATCCGTCGATGACTTCGCAGCTTCGCCGGTTTGTCCAAACATCGGAGGCTTTAAATAACGAGTTGGGCAGCTGGGCAGCGGCCGAGTACATCTTCAATTCCATCAAGAAATTCAAAGAGCACAAACGCTCTCATGCTGAGATAGACTGGTCCCTTAGTACAGTTCAAGACTTCACCATGCAGACACTTTGCGAACTTGGCCCGCTGGAGCAGCCCCAACCACCTACCGCTTCCCATGGTTTCTCTCCCAAATGCCGGGGACTGCTCGAGATCCTGTCGCGGGCAGTGGATCGTGATATCCAAGGGCTAATCTTTGTGTCTCGGCGGGCCACAGCAATAGCTCTCATTTCATTGATCGAGCACCATACTACCATCAGAGATCACTTCCGCTGTGGGACTTTTGTCGGCATGTCTAATATGAGGGGCATGACAGGCCTTGGAGAGTGGCGCGATGATACCCGCTGTCAGGATGAGACGCTGAAAATGTTCCGTATGGGAGCGCTGAACCTGATAATAACTACTAGTGCCTTAGAAGAAGGAATTGATATCCCGGCATGTGATACTGTCATAAGCTTCAATCGACCTCTTAGTCTGAGGTCCTTTGTCCAGAGACGTGGACGAGCTCGCAAACCTCAATCTACCTTCATTGTCTTTGCAGATGACGAGCAGGAAGAGGAGCAGTTGGGGGTCATGATAGATAGAGAAGACGAGCTGGCACGGGTGTGCCAAGATGTGACACGAGCTTTACCCAAGTCACCGCCCGAGGAACGCTGTAATTTGTCAATGAAAGTGAAGAGCACAGGGTATGTATGACTCCACGAAAGACAAAAAAAAAAAGAGAGAAGACAATGTTTTCCAACTAATCCCTGATAGCGCTGAGCTGAGTATGTCGGATGCTGTAATTCATCTAGACATCTTTTGTGCAAAGCTGTTACGACAACCATATGTCACCAACCAACCTCTTTACAACTATCGAGAGAGTCCCGATGGCCAGGTTCAAGCCACAGTCCTCCTACCCAGTGCCCTCTATCCCTCCCTCCAAGAAACAGACGGCTTACACTGGTGGGCCAGTAAGAAACATGCCAAGGCCGACGCTGCACTGCAAGCGTACAAGGCCCTTCGGGGAGCAGGTCTTGTAAATGACCATCTACTACCCACCAAGCCCGCCGACCTCATCGACCCAGCATTCTCAACTTGCAAACGAGTTCATCTTCTACCGGAGCAAATCCACCCTTGGTCAGAGGCGGCTGCTCAATGGAATTCTGGCGGGAGAAACCTCTACGCTCATCGTCTACAAATTGAACGCCCGGGAATCAACACCCTCGAGCTGATGATGATAATTCCTCTACAGATTCAGAGACGGATTTCCTTTCCCTTATTCTCAGATGGCGAGACCATAGTGATGGTACACCTGTGGCCGGGCTCACTTGTTGCCGCTGACGATGAAACTATTATACTCTACCATCGAGTCACCCGTCTGATTCTCCAGTCCATACATGGACATCTGCTACAACCCCAGCATCAGATGGATTTTATTATGAGCTTTGTTCCCGATGCCACACCAGCTGCGATGCAACAGTTCTTGGAGACATACTCTGGCAGCATCCGCTTAGATGAGGCTTTGGAGAATGCAAATCGCACCGGGCTACCGGGACTTATCCGTAGTACCACGCGGTATTTCCATCCATATATCATGAACTCCTGGCCCTTGGAGTCCCACGACAGTCTTGATTACCTTCAGACATACATACATGCCCTACCTCGGAGGCGAAATTTTCTGTCTCGTTTCCCGCTCGAAGGTTCAAGGCCCCTTCGCCCGGTGACGGACCATGAGGCCCGAAACACGCTCCCAGAACTTCAGGGGCTAACAATGGACCGACTACCCCTCTCATGGGCAAATCTTTCTCTCTACATTCCCAGCATCACCTATGAGCTCGGTGTATATTTGGTGACCGAACAACTGCGGGAGCAAGTCTTATCAGACATGACCTTTCGCCGGATAGGTCTCCTTTCCCGGGCAATCCGGCCCACCTGCTCTGAGAGACCGGGTCAGTTCCGGCGGTTGGCCTTTGTAGGTGCTACTTTTCTCAAATATATTACCAGCGAGCAGATCTTCCTGCATCACCCCACTTGGCACCAAGGGCTACTATCTAAGCTCAAGGATACTGTTATATCGGACCGGGGACTGGCTCAAGCAGCCAAGATGTGTGGACTTGGGAAATTCCTCATCACAAAACAGTTTAACGGCAAGAAATGGAAGCCTGAGTTGATTTCCAGCCTTTTGTCGCTGCCACGCTCTGGAGAATCGCGGAAGGTCAGCGCCAGGACGCTAGCCGAGATGGTCAGAGCGATCGTTGGCGCGGCATATATGGATGGCGGCAACAAACAAGCAGCAGGCTGTGCCATTGCTATTGTACCAGCAATCAAAACCTGGCATGCTGCAGTACTGAGTGATGGAAGCTATAAGCAGACTAGGCCAAGTCCCGTGATCTCGTACTCTTCGCCCATGCACGAGATGGAACAACTGATTGGGTACACTTTTACAGACCGCAGCTTGCTGGTGGAGGCCGTAACACATCCTTCTCACTACGCGTCTGGGCTACCTCGAACCAGTGCCTATGGACGATTGTCCTTCTTGGGCAATGCGGTGCTCGAGCAAGTGGTGACTGAGACTCTGATTCATTCTTCGAACCGGAATCTGAGAGTGGAACGTTTGCAAAGCCTGCGAGCTGCCGTCACTAATCACCTCTTCTTGACATTCCTATGCCTGGAGTTCAATATGGAAGTTGACCACCGCGCCAGAGACGTCACTCGGCCGAATCACAGCCGGACGGTGGAGACCCCGGATGAGTTCTATCTTTGGACATATCTGCGGTCACACAGCCTCGAACTTACCACTGCCCTCGGTAAATTTCGATCAGCATCCCGGCGCGACTGCTGGAAGATTCAACGAGCCTTCCTAAAGAAATCCCAATATCCTTGGGCTGAGCTGTCCGCGATGGAAGGCCATGCTGTCCTGGGAGATATTGTTCAAAGTGTGTTGGGGGCGGTATTCGTGGATTCTGGAGCGAGCTTGCCGGACTGCCAGCGTCTGACTGACAGAATGGGGATTCTCCCCCGTGTGAAGCAATTTCTTCACGATGATATCGTAACGGATCATCCCAGGATCCTCGTACAGAAGCTATATCCGGGGACAAAGATCTCTTATCAAGGCTATACCATGCCCGCCTCAGACAACCCTTTCTGCTGTGCGATCTGGGTGGACGACAAGAAAAGTGTTGATCTCCAGGGATTCACCAACACAGGTGCTGCCATGATTTCTGCCTTTCTAGCTGTGAATCGGCTTTTACAAGAGAGACCCTAGGCCCAGCGAGGATGGTACTAGATCTTGCTTTTCTTTCTTGTCCTGTTCGAAACTACGCCAAGGTACATTACACTATATACAGGAAAATATAGGAAGATTATCAATTCATTTTAATTAACGACCCGTTCTCCACATACCGCAGTGAGGAGGAAGCGATTAGGTATAGATACGATGTGCTCTAGTCGAGGTAGGAATGGTTAGTTTTCTAGTTATATGGAACATACTACTTCTTAAGAAAGAAAAAGAATGTCGGAAGAGGGTTGTTATCCAAGCATAAAGCCAAGTCCCTCTTTCTTATCCACCCTCTTCTTTCACCACGTATCTAGGTTAGGCAAGTAAAATCTGTGTTCGATTCCATTGTTAATAATCTGGATGGAGTCAACTTTGACTGGAAATATCCTGAAGTGGTTGCCCTAATATCTTTAAAGTCTGAGTAAGGGCCTGATCGACATTGGCTGATGGCGTTTGTCTTTTCAAAATGAGTTAGACCGGAATTGAACTGATCTCCTTCACCACATGCTCCAGAGCAACAGACATAGTGCATGTTGGCAAAGTGGCTAGCTTTGTAAGTTGACGGACTGTTATTGTTGCCAAGGTAACATGTGTTCTTGGTCTGGTCAGAGTCAACACTGCTGCATGAAGTAGAGGTACCGCAGAGATTCCTGCAGTCTTCAAGGGTTGAAACTGACTCGATGTTGAGCTAAGGCGTGCCGTGGCGCATTCCATAGCTCATGTAGAAAGGCTGGTTATCTTTTAAACAACTGACTCGATGGAAAGGTATTAGAGATACTGTCTTACCTCGTCGTATGGGCTGACATAGACTTCACAATTGGCCTCGGGACAGGTCGTGCTACAGCGGCCAGTTTTCATACTGGGCTACTTGCCGGAGGGGCAGTCGAGAAGGTATATAGCTGGCTTCCGTGGGAGGTTGTTTGGAAAGACCCGTGGTCGCAGATTACAGTCGGTGGAGGTCTCTAATGAGACACCAGAACCCGTCAAACAAACAGTACACATCGCTGGGAAAAAGTTTGATGTGGGAAAGAACCGGAGAAATTGAACTCTTTCTTGCTCAACATGCGATTACCATCAAGTTACTCTTCTACCCTCACATTTCTTTTACCCTTTATCCCCATCTCCAAGCTAGGCAGAGAACCACAAAGGGGCAAGAGAGGTCTGTCAAACCCACATCGGTATGTATCAATTGATCCGCTTTATGGGTAAATATAGTAGAGAAAATCATTCTGTGAAGCAAAAAAAAATAAAAATAAATCTCGCGACAAGAGGGAGAGAGAAATAAGTAAAGGAAACCAGCAAGAAGTTCGACAATATCCCATGCTTCGATCTTTCAACATTACATTTTGATCATCGACTCCTGGGACCTGATGTACCGGTCATACTGCACAGTGAAGTCAGTCTTGAACATTCGCACATTCTGAACAACAGGCTTGATATGCTTCTTGCTAAGTCTTCCTCTGCCCTTTCCGCGGTCGAACTCCGCTCGTGCCAATCCTAGGGCAGTTGTGACAATATTGCGGATCTGACGACCGTCAAATCCCAAATTGTACACATCTTCCTGGAGCCAATCAAGGATCTCATCCAAGTCATCCACCAAGCCTTTATCCTCAAGAGGCTGAAGAAACCCTTTGAAAATAGCCTTCATCTGTTCCGGTTTCAGGCTCTTGTATTGAATGGCAAGATGGATACGTGAAGGGATGGCAATGTCAAACTGAGCGATTTGGTTCGTCGTGAGGAACACAATACCCTGGTAGTACTCAAGAACCCGCAGAAACACTTTGATTGTCAGTAAACGGATATTCAATTTGTGCAATACTTTCTTACCTGAAACTAGTGCATTTTTATCTGTTGATGACGACGCACCCCTTCCACGGGCCTCGAGGAAAACATCAGCCTCATCACTAGAACAAGTTAGTAGGACGACTACAGCAAGGAAGACAACCCGCCACTTCTTACATCAACAAAATTGCTTGCCATGTAGTAGCTAGACTGAATATTCTAGACAGATTGGATTCTACATGTTTGGCTTGGGTGCCCACGTCGGCGACGCTGACAGAGAATAGAGGCTTTCGAGTCGCAACAGCAATCGTTTCGGCCGTCGATGTTTTTCCCACGCCAGGAGGGCCTCCATAGATAGTCAGTACAACAAGGATGCCATGTGGCGGAGAAGAGGGTAACGTCGTACCGTAGAGAAGAATCACAAGACCTTTTCCTTTTCCTGGTATGATGTCATCAACTTCAAGACCATGTTCTTCAGTCCGCGATGCCGATGAGGTGTGGCTTTGCACAAGATCAAAAAGCAGATCTTTGGTCATACCATCAGCAAGTTGCAGGCGAGAGGACCAGGCGTCCTCGGGGTCAACCTTCGGAATATCTTTGATAAGAGTAACCTGCAACTGCGCCCATTGCTTTTCCTTGAGAATATATCCTAATACGCGGGGCGGGCAGAGCAAGTACTGCTCGTCATCCAATTTGTTCTGCTCCTCGATATGGTCAAAATAATCTCTATAGTTCGTTGCCAACTCTTGATTGTTTCGACAATCGAAGCACACGCAAGGCGGATCCATTGAGCTTCGTTCAAGCCCCCCATTGCGCGCATTCGAATTTCCGTATTCGAAATAGGACAGGTAATCAACCATAACCCTACCATTTGCCTATCATATTTTTTTTTAGATCCGGTAAGGGCTTGTGTGGTGACAAAACTCACATCGGAAGCTTTAGCTGAGAAAAGAGGTGTTTCTTCTGCGGAGCTAGATCTCATCGATTTACGAAGTCCCCAAATTGCAGCGAAAGATTTGATATCGCTGTCATCCTATTGAAATGTTAAAGGCTTGTCCTTCGACCTCTGTGCGAGAGCTCACATACCTCATCACCTTGGGTCATCCCACTAAAGCCCTTTCTTCCAAAAATGGCATCACCTTTGTAGTCGAACAGACATGGGGAATTTTGAGCAGAGCACAGTTTCTCAAACTCTTTGCCGCGTGAAATCAGTTCTTCTTTCACACGGTCGTGTTCAGGGTGGTGCTTGAATGGATAGTAAGGCAAAGCCGGCAAGGGTTTATATCCCTCGTACGGTTCGAACACGATCACGTATGCTGTTCGTTCAAATTTAACTCCAGTGAAGTCGTATGTCCAACAGCTCAGTCTCCACGGCTGCAATTGTTTCGGATTGCTTGTCTCCTCTGGCCATGTTCCCATGTTGTCCTGGACGATAAAAACTTGATGCTGGTTCTGAAAAGGTCTGCCGTAAACCAAGGTTCCTGGAGGGAATATTGTCCACAGGTCATCAAACTGGATCTTAGGGTATTCTATGGTCGTGTTCCGTTCTTTGAAGTACTTGTCCAGTTTACTATCGCCAGATGAACTGTTTGATATGTGATCAAGAAGAAGCTTTAAGTCCTCTCTAGCCTGCTTGTCCTGTTCATTCTTCGGTTCTTCGATGGAAGCAATCTGGAGAGCATCCCATTTAAAGATAATAGCCTCATAAGGCGAAAAAAGAGTAACAGGTGATCCTCTAAAGACGTGATAAGGATAGCCTCCCAGGTGCTCCTTCAAGAGCTCCCACAAGTTCAGATTGATGATGTCTATTTCAGATGTGTCATCTGCGCCAGAAAACTTTTCTGGTATTGTTTTCTTCAAAACGAAGGCAATATTAGGGTTACCTTCCGTGTTGGATTGCGGGCTGTCGCTCTCTAGCTCCTCGCGTTCACCGGTAGCAGGGTTATTGACCCTCTTGAGCAATTTGACTCGAGATTTTGGGCTACTCTTCTCCTGCACAGACTAATTAGCTCCGAGCGGCTTTCTCGTAGGATATCAAGGCACCTCATTGCTTGATTTTGCATTATCCAAAGTAACTGGGGGCTTTTAGATGTCAGCTTAGACCTTCCGGAACATTAGAGGTCAAACTGTTCATACATTGGCTTCCGTTGTCTCAGAAGGCTTGCTCTTGATTTCATTCGAGCTTTCTTTAACATCCGATAGCAGATTATACTTCTGCTGAAGCTCCGAGAACTGCTTTTCAAGAAACAGCAGCCTTTCCCCCAGAGCCTGGGACAGAAATCAGTTTAAAACCACTTCTTGGCCAGCGTATCAGTGTGACACCGGTTTTCTTACAGATGCCAAAGAAGCTTCAGTCGAAACCGTCATATCGAGGGAAATTTGCGAGCCTCTTCTGATAGCTGCCTTCACTGTAGGATAAAATTGCTGTTCGGGACCAATATCGGTCCTGCTGTGAGATTTTATAAGAATCCCCCTGGCGCCAATACCAGAGTATCAGAGGCTCTTCGGAGAATCTAAAATTCGTCGAGATAAATGCACGGACAATTCGTCTCAAACGCGACATAATGCAGCAACAGCAGCCGATTGACAGGAGCCACGTCACCCATGGCTTTGCATGGGGCGCATGAAGTGTGGTGGACTTGGCTTTTGCTACTGGCCCCCGACACCATCGATATTATATTACAACAAGGCACCCAATTAGAAAAGACGAGTCAATGAGGCAGCATCTCACTGCATAGCTTACTAACTGTATATATTGCAGATGCATGTGCCCATCACACTGCATGCGCTCATCACATTGCATGTGCTCATTACACTGCGCCCGCCGCGTTATATGCACCTATCATAGATCGAGGCTGCATGCCGATGCTAGCTACGGAGCACATGGTTTTGTTGGGTCCTGTACAACATATGCTGCGGCCCGAACCGATACCAAACAATAGAGGTCGCATTTCCTTTGAAGTTGAAAATGTACGTCACTTCTGAAGAGTATCCCCTTATCTAAACCAGTGTTGTTTTTTATAAAATTCCCTATTCAAACCACCCGATGCAGCTGACATGATATCTCACGACAGATCCAATTACAACTGTATTCTTAACCCTGGTCACATTTTTGCTATATATAGCTCAGTGGCTGGCTCCCCACGTTAGCATTAAATATATATGCTATATGTACTTATTTTAGGAAGCTAGGTTCAGATAGCGGTTTAGTTAAAAGGAGAGATCCCCAAAACTGAGTATAAGCACGTTCCTTTTTTCTTCGCATATTCTGAGTAGCCCCTCAGACCTAGCTATATTCTTACTTAGTTATTACACATCTCGCCATGCCTATGGAGAGCCCCTCGATGAACAGTAAAGTTTGCTTTAGTGCTCAGGATCTGTGAGTCCGTAATTTCCTCTCCAATATTTTCCACATTGACCGCTTATCGGCAGTTCAGGGCTGTAATAAAAAAATCAGATGAGGCTCAGTATGCGCTTCGTGGATATGTTCACGAACATGGCAAATTTTCTGAGAAAGAGAAAATCGCTTTAAAGCTGGAGAGCGTGGAATCTTTTGGGCGATTCTGGACCTCAACCCAGGACGCGAAGCAAAAATTCGACGCCGGTCACCACAACGGTATCAGATCTGAAATGCAGAGCTTTGCGAGCTCGGCATGCGATATCTTACAAAACCTGGAGCCGATCTTGACACTCATCAAGGACTTTGGGGCTCCTTACGGTAGCATGGCTATCGGGACAATCTCCTTTATTTTCACGGTAGGGCTTCGGAACCGCCGTCGCCGATTAAGCTAAATGGTCACTCCCAGGTTGTGAATCAGAGAGCCCAAACGGAGAGTCTGATATCAAATACGCTTCTTGAGATCAGAGATAGGATTCCAGGTCTAAATCTCTACCGTCACATCTATTCCGAGGATCACGATCTTGACCGAGCTTTGCAGTCCAAGATTGTGGAAGCTTACGATCGCTTCATTAGCTTTTGTATAGAAGCCACAAAGTACTATATGAAGAGAGGAATCAGTGAGTTTCTGTCCCCTGCGGGGTTTGTTTGCACTCACATGGTATGGTAGGACGATGGCTCAATGCTATATTCGGGTCGATGACGTTAAAAGATCAATCAAGCGAGACTCAGAGGGCTATCGTTGAAGTCAGGCGCAGCAGTGAAGAGCTGCTCAGCAAGAATGTTGATACTATCAAGCAGTTGAACAAAGGTTAATATCTGCCAAAGCCCTAAAACGCTGCACATATTGACAATCTGAATGACAGATCAATCACAAAAAATTGAAGGTCGGCAGCCATTAGACAAGGCATCTATGAGCACACGCTAACGGCATATAGATCTAAAGAGGCAAATCAAACGTAGGTCAAGTAGCTCTATTTTGGCGGATGCAGCAGCTGACATGCTTCTTCAGAGCTGCAGGATGGGCACAACAGCAACACTTTGAGCATGATACAGTCTCTACTAAACCTGGAAACATATTCAGCGGAATCTGAACAAGATCTGTTGAGGAAGTACCAAGATGAAATCAAAGTGTATCCTGACTTGCACTGGCCAGATTCTCTGGAGAGAATGCAAGAACCTGAACTACAGGCATTCCAGCAGGGCCAGGAATTCCATAGTTGGCGACATTCTAACCAGTCGTCGATTCTGATGTTAGTAGGTTATAATAATGAATCCATTTACAGGGATGGGATGTGCTGGATGTCCCCAGCCGCCTTACACATGATTGAAAGCATGAGCAAGGATCGGCAAAAAGATCCTTATGCGTTCTATCTTCTTGGACAACGACAAATGGATCTTTTACCGCAGGTTTTGTCCTCCATTGTCATTCAGTTGTTGAGACAAAACCGGGAGGCTTTGCAGAACCAGAAGCAGTACGACGAGCTGTATGCGGCAGTGCAACAATACCATCAAATATCTTACAACCAACCCTCGAGTCAGAAAGAACTAGTCCGTCATGAAGAGGCTCTTCTAAAGGTGGCGCTACGGGCTCTGGACATGTTTGACTTGCGCAAAACGGTGTGGATTATTCTTGATCGCGTGGACCAGTGCAAACACGGAGGGTGGGAAGCCAATCATCGAAAAATGCTGGTCAGAGCAATGGTCCGTTTGGTTGAGGGTGCCAAGGTCAAAGTGAAAGTACTGGCTGTCGTTAATGGGTACGACTGGAACGCGGATAATGAGTCTGATGAGTTCGGGCAGAGTAAAAAGCTGAGTGTGGTTGTTCATTCAGTTCGTCAATCACTAAAGTACTAGCTAAATAGCGAAGTGAGGAGATGCGATGCTGTTATACTTAAAAGACCACTAAACCGACATCACCAGGCCGCATATGTTGTACGCGGCCGTCTACTCTTGTCATATTGATTCAGGTACAGTATACATACTTTCATTTTCTAAGCTAAGCCTAATTATGTCATATACCCTCAAAATCAGGCATGCGACGTTTGGCCGCTATACCCCGTCGCAATGGACTTTTATCGGCAGTATAGAGACCAAGCCTCCCCCCTTCTACCCACAGGCCTGATTCGTCCACCTATGAGTTGTCATGTGGTGTCAGCTACAGTGCTGATGGTATTGATTGGTCAGTCAAAACTGGTGCCGCTGCAGAGGCCCTTATTTAGGATTTTAAGGCGCTTGTCCAAACACGTTTGCTTACGGCTAACTTCGGCTGAGGGGTATCTATTTCGATCTGCTAAGGCGCTTAACGAAAATTACTCTGCTTCACCTAAGCTAGAATATTATCTTGGACCCAGCACATCAACTAGCTATTTTTTGGGTCTCTCGGACGTTTCAAGTGAGAGTGCAATCCCAAGTGACAGTGGATGGTCACGGGGGAAACCCGACCGACATCAACACCGAAGGCTTGTGTCTCTTGTCACTAAACGGTAGTAGTGTGCGGGGCTTGTCGAGTCTCTACATCCTCAAGCAAATCATGAACAGAGTGAACCATGAACGTCGAGAATCGAGACTGGATGCGGTGAAGTCATGCGAGATCTTAGATCTGATCGGTGGAACAAGCACAGGCGGTTGCGTGCAGTTATGTCTTTCTTCCCATCCTTGGCTCTACCTAACGTGAGCAGGCTTATTGCCATAATACTTAACCGTCTTGGAATGGACGTGGATGAATGCATCTCTGCATACACAGAACTGATGCGGACCGTCTTCGAATACCCGATTAAACGGATAAAAGTCAATTGGCGGGGAAGTATTCAGTCCAAATTTGACTCTGATAAGCTAAAGGAGGCGATCGTGAGAGTCATCAATAATTGTGGTTTCAAGGATAACGATCTCTTTTGTGACAAAAAAGAACGCGGATGTAAAGTGTGAGTAAAACAATCAATCAAATATTTGACCTAGTAGCATTAGAAAAGCTTTTTAAGTGTTATGGCCCACGAAACAACTGGGATTACACATTGCAAAGTTATCCACACCCTGAAGAACCTCCTATCACTGCGACGATTTGCCAAGCCGCTCTCGTGCCATCAGCCGCCACAACCTTCTTCGCCCCTGTGTCAATTGGAGCACGTACCGTCGTGGATGGGACTTTAGGTGCAAATAACCCAGTCGTCGAAGTGTAGAGTGAGGCATCGAACCTCTGAAACCCTCGTGATAAAGACTTAAACCTCTCGTGAAGTGCTTCATTTCAATCCGAACGGGAAACCCCAGTAAAAAGCCGATTCAAGACAAAGTATGCAATTTCATCTCTAAAGCACATGTCGGTATCACTATCAAACAGAAGAAACTGAAAAACAATTCGTAGACTAGTTGGCTAGACATTTCGAAGGGAATCTTTACTTTCGCTTCAATGTGCAACAAGGACTACAGGGGATTGACCTCACCGAATATTTGGTACAAAGTCCAATCGAGACAACCACAGAGGAACACATTGTGCATCAGAAATAGAAGTCTTTAATGCGGTCTTGTGTGGAAAATTTGAGACAGAAACAAAGTGCGTACTTACTGGACGAGGACTTCTCATAAAGCTGACACAAATTCAGAACATACAAAGACAATATCTAGGCTTACATGTACCTAAGCTCATTCAGATTAGAAATCCGAACATGAAGCCCTAATAAGCAAGCTACGAAACTGTGAGCAACTTTCTAACTATAGAATGGGAGATAGACTAATGGGTGAAGAGCTTCTCTTTCCCATCTCAAGTATATCTCCTTCGCATCGAAAAATGGCTTTATTGGGCGAAAAACGGAGCTTTCTCGGCTTGAGAAATTGCTGCTTCCCACCAAAGGCCGACCATACAGGGTTACTATTTGCGGATTTGACGGTGTTGGCAAAAGACTCGCAATGCAAATCGTCCACCGAGCAGAAGATACACGACAACAACGCTCTATTTTTTGGATCCCAGCTACTGACTTGGAAACTTTGAACGAGCACACACTCTAATCGCCCAAGAACTCAAATTTCAGGATCGGAAGACCCCAAAGCGGATGCTAAGAAGCTTCTTCAGAATCATCGAAGCTGGAGGGGGCGGGTCAGTGGTTGCTGATATTTGATAACGCTGATGATGAAAATATATGGTTTGGCGAAACGGCAAGATTGAAGAGCTGTATTCCATACAGCAAAACGGGCAGCGTGCTTTTTACCACACGTTTCGAGCAGATCGTCTTGAAACTCGCGATGCCAGATCATGTTGTCATTTCCCAAACGAGGATAAGGTGTTGGCGAGGCAGCTACTGGAGAAACGCCTGGAGTTAGGTATCTTGAGGAGAGAAAACCATTAGTTGCATCCAGCGAGGAGAGAGAGGGAATGGAAGATCAAGATGGGAAGCAAGGTCCTATCAACCTGAGGCAGAAACGGGTCTAAAATTCCCTATAGGACCGGATCCAACCTGTCTCTAACTGACTAGTCCCTGAGCTTATGGACCCGATTTTGGGCCTTGGTGTCACTTCCTAATCGTCTTACATTATCCTCTACAAATCTAAGCGCGCCTCGCTGTCGCCACCGCAATTCTAAGACAAAACCAGCATGCTGCTCAGCTATCCCTCCCCTTCCCGAGCTTCAACCGATTATCATCGACAGGGCATACCGCGTCTTCCGACGAGGCTAACCTACGTTCGTTCTCGAGCGCACCTACGATCTTCAACCACCTCCATTTTAGCGCTTCTTCTTCACTCTCGCCACAATGCCTCCCTCCAGTTTCAAGGTCTCCGAGCTCGTCCCGACTCTCACCGGTACCAATAAATCTGATTTATGGTCAATCAGCCTTCAGCAGGCTCCCAACACTTAGGACACTCAGTTTTAACCGATTATCATTGATGGAGCATATTGCACTTCCTAGCTCGGCCCAAAAACGGCATTCCCACGCGAACCTTTCTCAACACCCGCGACAAACCTAAGCACATACGTACCCCAGCCTACGACACCATACAGGAGGTCTACAACAGGGGGGTCTCGCTCACAAAAATTACGCTATGCTTGTGGTGTTTGGTACAAATGCCTCTGCCATAGCTCCGTTTCTTCCGCTCTCTCTTCTATAGCTTCCATAGCTATCAATTAACTCTATATTCATGTTCTATAGTCCCTGGGTTCCCCCAAAAAGATTACATGTGGGTTTCTCGTCTCTCTCTTTCCTTCCATGCTTTATTATGAATTAACTGGTAACCCTCATTCTCGTGTTCTTATGGCATTTAGCTGTACAGAGCCAATCTAGCTGAACTTGCCTTCGTCGGATAGACCTGGTTAGAGTAGGGTTATATTGGTTTCGCCGTCCCCAGATTCTCTCCACAGCCCACATTCTGGCATATACATTGCTCAATTGCCCGCATCTCTCCATCTACAATTTCCCAACCGTCCGTCCACCGGAGTTGTCACCCCCGTCGACCTTGTATTACCAGACCCCGCCGTCTCCCCGCATTCCCACGAGTTTCGTGGAGTCCACCGGCGAACAGCTTCTCTTCGTGTATCTACTATGGCTTGCCCCATACCTCACCTTCCTCTTCGTCCTCGTCCTCGATGTCGACGTCGCATGCGGAACTGGTCTCTTGGGTAGGTAAACTTGGTGCTGATGGGGATAATGCAGACCCCTCAGTTATGCCTTATGTGGTGCTCCCTGGGTTTCCCGACATATCTGTGCTCTGGTTTGGTTGATTTTTCGGTGTTGCTGTTGTTGTTATTTGTGATCGTGTACCCCGCTAACTAGCGGTCGGGATTGTATCCTCTTGCGCTATACCCGGGGCGATAGAGCCCAGTAATTGAAAATGTCCTAAGAGACCCCGTCCTCATCATGAAATCCGCGACGAATAGAACTGCGAACGTCTTAGTAACCTTTTATCTCCCTCTTGTCAAGACTTGCTGGTATTCTGGGGCCATCTAGTTCGCTGACCAGATCTGTCTGCAGCTCTTCGAACGCTGGGAAATCAACAATATATATCGCACATTCTGGTATTCAGTTTCAAATGAACACCGAAGAGTCCACCCTCTTGATTCTTAACAGATACGAACGCAATACAATGATACCCGTCCGCGTCTCTATCATGACCGAAGATGTGACTTTTCTCTGACCTTTCCAGTACTATAGACTATAGTGTCTCCCTGCTTGATAATTCGATCAGTTTTCTCGATTTTCTCCTTGTTTTCCTCGACGCCGTCTTCGTCCATTCGTCCTCTCTGGTGTGCGATGCCAGCCTTCCTGGATCGGCTCCAGGGCCATTTCAACGCCTCGGGTCTCGGTTACGTCCACGGTTTACATCTGGTCGTCGCCCATCTGACACCCCCTTTCAACAATCTATAGCGCCGACGCCCCCGGATCCCCCATTTCGGCCAGTAAATATTTTGGGGGTGCCAGATCTCTCACTCGCCGTGCGTTGCCCTTCTCGCGGTCTTCGATGAACACTTGTATGGTGCAGACCATAGTGCCTGGACGAATGCTTGGGGGTCTTCCCACTCGCCTAATGGACTAAAATCCCGTGAAATCTATAGGCATCAACAATTCCTTTATACCTGCGCCTCCATTGGTATCATACTCCCCTTTTCCAGTCGGCTGTGCTTCAAGCGATAATCAGGAGAAATACGTATTATCAAAATGCAGATACAAGTTGTAGACAGCCTTATTGTGTTATATCCTAAGTTTTCTCAGCACCTACCGAAGATCAAAAGATTCGTAATCTATCTAGATCGCTTTCCCTTGTAGACTGCCCTTGATTACTCCTCGGGTGCATCGGACTTCGAGGCGACAGCACCGTCTAGCCCTTTGTATTACCCTGCCGCAAAGGTCCTGGAAAGAGCCCAAACGGTATCCGCATAATGTCCTCGACACTTGTTGTTCCTGTACTCGATACTGGGTCCCTCGGTGATGTGCATGGTGTCATGGAGGACCGTATTCATTACCTGACCCACCTGGTATAATCAAGTCTTCCACACGATTCAACTTGTCAGCGAAGCGGTTCGAGGAGAGGGGATTTGGCTCTGTATCCAATGGTTAGACGGGTCAAGACATTGTTGTGCACCTTCCAGAGATCGAGACTGGTGGCTTCGGGTCGGAGCGCCAACAGATCACACCTCAGAACGTTGATCAAAGAGATCCACAGGCGGATAAAGCGAAGCTAAAGATGAGATAATCATAGTGACTAGAAACTCTGTACCGAGGTGGGCATCAAATGCCAAGACTGTAGCAGTGGACACTGCATAGCAGGACCGTGCACGTACCCGTGGACGCCATACCAGGCATAGTCTAGCGTGTAACCTTAATGATCTATAGATCTTACCACATCTTAATGGCATAGATCTTCAATCGACAATGTGGTGCGTTTCTATGAGACATACAGAGCTGAAATACAATTGAGATACTTGGGTCGATTCGTGAGACCGGCAATGATATTATCTAGTGGTGTAATCCTATATAGTGTACACACCCTCTCATCTTCTCTTTACGACTCTTGAGACTATTGGGGACTACGCTACTACCTTGATGATCATGAGAAGTGGGGTGGACCTACAGGGCAAATAGTTGAAGAGGGGAAGTTACAAAATGGGGAGCCACCTGAAGGACCCTCCGTTACCTACACAGGTAACTGCTTCAACCGTGTCCAGATCCCTGGGGTATAAATACCCCCCCTCCCCCTCTTTCTCTCTTTTTTATTTCTTCCCTTTTCATTTCCCCACATTTCCATGGATCCCATCACAAAATTTTATCAAATATTTTATCCACCCTGTATCTTCCATCGGGTCTTCCATCATCCACTGATGTCTTCCATCATCAGCTTAAGCCTCATCACTTCTTCTATCTTTTTACATCCACATCTGATGATATGAGACCTGCTGTCTGTATGCCCTTGACGCGTTGGTCTTAATCACGTCCACATTCATCATATGTCTGGTCAGTTATGCCATCCACTTCCGACTTACTTGTTCCTTCCTTACTTACATTCATCCTTCAGACACCTCAACCACATAACAATATATCCATTCAACGTGCCTGGCACCTGTCATGTTTATCATTCATCACATGACTTGTATGTTCTTCCTGTCTCTTCTCTTTACTTTTTTGCTCCTTCCGTCTACTTACATTTATCCTTCAGGCAAATAAAAGAAGAAAGGAAAAAAGAAAAAGAAAAAGAAAAACATTCCATCCATCCAACCATCCAACACTTCAATCAACCAACCATTCAGTCAACACTTCAATCAAACCATCAATCAACCATCCAGTCAACACCTCAATCAAATCGGCCATCCATCCATCCATCCATCCATCCATCCATCCATCCATCCATCCATCCATCCATCCATCCATCCATCCATCCATCCATCCATCCATCCATCCATCCATCCAACACTTCAATCAACCTCAACCAGTCTGATCGTGGCGGGCTTCACGGCTTCAGGACAATCGACAGACTGGTCAACCACCTGCGTTAATGATCCATGTCAATCACCCACCCGAACCAATCAATTCCAGTCTGACCGTGGCGGCCTTCGGGTTCAGGACAATCGGCAGGCTGGTTACAACCACTTCGATCATCCACTTCCATCACCCACTTCCATCACCCACTTCCAGTCTGACCGTGGCGGGCTTCACGGCTTCAGGACAATCGGCAGGCTGGTCAACCAACCTTCAATCAATTATCCACTTCCATCATCCACTTCCATCAACCCCCGAAACAACCACTTCCAGTCTGACCGTGGCGAGCTTCACAGCTTCAGGACAATCGGCAGGCTGGTCACATTTCAAATAACCACCCCTCGAATTGGTCAAAACTACTTGAACCATCCACTTCAATCAACCATCCAATCCCACCAAACATCCACTTCAAACATCCACACTTGACCACTCTAATGCTTTGACCTTGAAGAGGGGGGATGAAAAGAGACACTCTTCAATGCCAAAACCTCCGCAAGATAGTCTCTGGACGAGGATGCTCATCAGGAAGATGTTACATTATGTACCGAGTGAAGAAGACTCAAGACAGTTTGCTTTGGTGGTAAAAGGCTTTTTTCTTTGAGGTTAGCGCTTGCTCGCCTCCACCCAGCCATTTCAATCGGCCGCTTCAATCAATCATCCACATCCGACTATCCATATTCAGCCATGGACAATCATTAAGAGGAGGAATGAAAAGAGGTGGCCCTGAACGACAAGAGTCTCTACAGAAGAGTCTCCCTGTCATATACTATGTTATCGCTATGGTAGCCTTACTCAATTCATGACATTTCATACAGCAGCCTATTTTTTAGCATACGCGGCCTTTTCTGTAGGCATAAACCCGGGCTGAAAAGTAAACCGAGGTAGAATCAATCGAAAACAAATTTATCCAAGTCGAGTAAAACCAGACATCGTTATGTACGCTACGTAAGATTTCACGTTAAGCCTTGCTTGCAAACATGTTGTAATTTATACACGTATACAGAAACACCACCATTCTACCCTGAAAGCCACGCATAAGGTATTAGAGGTCAGCTTCTGGTACCTAGGTACCTATGGTCTTTTGATCATCTAACAAATGGGAGAAGTTCTTAGAATTTATAGGTCACCTTCCCATACTTCCTATTACTATATATCTTTTGCCACACTTCTATACATATAAATCTATTGTCTTAGTCTCTGATAAATACGAAGCAAGGGTGGTGGCATAGATGGTCTTAAGACTGCAAGATGGAATCAATCCTTGAACCCCTATAGGAAGCATGACAGTAACATATTTTCCCGGAAGGCTGAAATATGTAAAAGACGAGGAAGCCAAGAGCGTGGCCAAGGACCAGAGAGCGTATTACCATTTCTGCGGGGATTTCGAGACTTCAGATCATCGATGCTTTCCAACCGGCCGAAAATGCGGTACACAATTTGCTACCGGGACTGGATGCGGTCGTATGGCCTTTTGTGGTTCCCTCCCTTGGTGCGGTTGCTGTAACGCACAATCTCCCTCTCCTGGTCTAGATACCCTTGATAGGGTGGATTATCCAGTTCTCGGGGTAACAAGATAATACAGCTGCTTAACTACACATGCTAATAAAAAACCATGATCCTAGATCACATTCCTTAACTTGAAGACTATCATGGCCCCCCTTTATGATTCCCTTACCCGAACATCCTCTGGAGATTGACCTCAATCGCAAGCCCTATCATGCCATCTTCAAAGCATTCCATGATCGAGACTCTTTCATTGACATGGTATACAGCACTGTTTCCGGAGATCAGAGATCTACAAGGCAAAGTGGTCACTGTGGATGTTCTCCTTATGATTCAGCGAGAACAAATCAAGCAACCAGGGATCTGGGATACCCTCCATGGTGGATACCTGGGTTTTGTTACAAATCTACTTGTTCGACACTACTGGCGGCCTTATATAAGACAAGCTAGTATTACGAAGTACTGAGTTACTACACACCACAAAAATATCCGAGGGGGTCATCAGGGTACCCTAGACTACTGGATCATTGCCAAAGGGGAACAGAGACAAGCGGATTTTATTCGCTTATGGGCAATCCCATCTCCCCCAAACGTTGAGACATTCTGGTGAAGCAAGTATTCAAGAACTTTCTGGAGACATAATGTGCCGGGCTTTCCATTCCCTTCTACCGTCAACTCTGGGGGAGCTCTTTGGGTCTTGTCTAGAAGGTGAATATGCAGGGATGGGTCTAGATGCGGTATCCCTGTTATACCAGGTATACCCCTGGGGACAATAACCCGCCATAGCATGTATCAGAAATGGAACAGTTCACCAGACCCTACATCTGTAGATGGTCAATTGTTCGAAAAGCGAATCGTGAAGATCAGTCAAAATGGTCTCCATCGACAATACCCTCTTTCACAAGAAGGAATTACTGCAGCATCCTCCAGGGGGCGATATTGAAGAGTTCCATTTCAGAGAACTCTGCTCTGGGTACGAATCAAGCTCTTCCGGTAGGTAATGACCAAATACCCTGGGGAATCTTGGGGGAAGAAGACCTTGAGGACCCAGGATCCTGGTGGAAGACAACAATTTCCAGCCTTCAGGGGGACGAAAAATCGACAGACAACTTTACACCAGATGACTTAATTCGCCCAGTGGAGACTTCAAACGCTTCTATTTACCTGGTATTTAGATCTGTGCCATCACATATGTATAAGGCCGATGATGGCTCTGGGGCTCTTGAGTAGTCTTTTCGGCGGTCTTTTTAGTGGGCTTCTCAGATTTTCTGTTTAGATCTCTTTTTAAACTATTTTCTCCGCCTTTCTGGTTTTATAGGTAGGGGAGGAAAGAAAGCAGTAGGAGGCTTTATAAAATAATCTTTTTAATTTAAGCTTCTTTCTGTTTTCATGGAACAAGACATGTATAATTTATTATCTTTGTATTATATTATAACCAGCAGCGGTAATTCAGTGGTAGAATGCAAGATTGCAAATCTTGTTGTCCCGCGTTCGATCCGCGGTCGCTGCTCACTTTTTTTTTTCACAACCCTAAAACTCCCGAGGTCCACCGCCCAAACATAAATATCACCCATATGAGTGTACCCTTTACTAGACAGGCCATACAAAAAAATACACGTGCTTTTTCTCGACAATATGATAACAGAACCTTTTACTTTTAAATATAATACTAATATCCTAAATTTCGAGGGCAAGTTTCGGGGGCGCCATTGTGGTTATATATCTTAGTTAATTAACTATGTTAACTAACGTATTTCACCACCGAGCTGCGCACCCCAAAACACATAGTAAAAGCGATAAATTACAACATGATATTTCAACAACGGTTATCTATATAAGCTTTCCCTTGTAGCCTAATGCTTTTTATGTGATATCTAGCCACTTGTTGGGGTTTAGGGGAATTTAATAAATTAGTGATTGAGATATAACTATAAATTTCTGGAGTTCACCCAGGTATTTTTCGATACCATAATAATGCAAGTTCTCGATTTATTCAAAGTTGATATAGATACCAAAAATGCTTATCAATTGTTACCAGCGAGTAATGAAATTAAATAAAAGCGTTAGTTGTTGAAATATCATGTTGTAATTTATCGCTTTTACTATGTATTTTGGGGTGCGCAGCTCGGTGAAATACGTTAACTAACGTATTCGGTAACTAAGCGGGTGGTCCATGTAAGCCAGTGGTCCACCCCAAAACACATAGTAAATGCGATAAATTACAATTTGATATCTCAAACAACGATGGTCTGTGTGGGCTTTTCCTTGTAGCTGAATGCTTTTTATATGCTATCTCTACACTCTAGGGAGTTTAAAGAAATTTAGTAAACTTGTGTGAGGTTTATATACACTCTAGAGTTTTTGCCGTGTAATTTTCGATACCGCAATAATGCAAGTTTTCGATTTATTCGAAATTGATATATAATACTAAGAATGCTTATCGGTAGCTATCGGCAAGTAATTAAATAAAACAAAGACGTTGGTTGTTGAGATATAAGTGTAGTAAATATCGCATTTACTATGTGTTTCGGGGTGGACCACTGGCTTACATGGACCACCCGCTTACTGAATACGTTAGTTAAAGTTTTAAATCGTAACACAATAAGGGAGCTCCCTAAAATCTAGGCTAAAATTCGAATAACTATAGGACTTCAACAGATAAGATTAGTAAATACATGTTAACTAGATTATACATAACTAACTAATAAGAACCTAAAGAAAATTGGAGTACTAAAATTATGCTTTCTACCTTCCAATGCCGTCGGAGTCGACCGTTAGGAACTGCAAATTTATTGTAGTTCTTATAATATCGTCCTCTATTTAGTGGGATTTTAAATCTATACCTTTCTAACCTAAGCTTCCACATATTTTAAATTGATTTTAGGCATGGTTGGTGGTGGTAGTTAAATGCAAGTTGTAAATTGACGAAAAAAAGTTACATGTATTTGTACATATGGGTGATATCTTACGTTTGGATGACGGACGAGAGTTTGAAGTTCTATGATTTTTATAGAAAAGAAAATGTATGAGCTGGTTAGTGAGGAAGTGTGCCCTGCCATAGAATCTATACTAATACAATACTGTACCCCAGGTATAAAGGAAGCTTAACTAATACGTAACTAACCTTAATAACCTTTTTTTTGGGGGAAAGACTTGTATAGTTTATTATCCAGGCATTACCACATAAGTAGCAGTGGTAATTCAGTGGTAGAATGCAAGATTGCAAATCTTGTTGTCCCGCGTTCAATCCGCGGTCATTGCTTCTTTTTTCTTTTTTTCCTTCCCAAGGAATAAACCTTGACGCCGAGGATTGGCCTTCACGTTCACCCGATCTAAGCGCTTTTATCAACATAGTAGTACTTAGGCGAGCCTCCGGGTCACCCTCGCACTACCAAGAAAAGCATCAGAAAGTGTCAGTCTGTTATACCAAGACACTAAACACTAATATAACATAAAATTGAGAAGCCATCCGCTACCTGCGCTGCTATAGAGCCCTGCTAGCGCTAGTTATATAATTAGTTAGATATTTTTGATGAGGGAAAATATATTGGCAGAAAAAGGCTACCCGTAAGCGGTCAGGCATATTGAGATCCACACAATAACAAACCTTGAAACGTACAAAACAAGATCTCGGGACAACCTTCCCACATAGATATCGCTTCTTTGCATTATATCTCAACTGGCAGTGGTAATTCAGTGGTAGAATGCAAGATTGCAAATCTTGTTGTCCCGCGTTCAATCCGCGGTCATTGCTTTTCTTTTCTTTTTTTTTTCTTTTTCCCCCTAGGAATAAACCTTATATGCTGAGGATTAGCCTCCACGTTTACCCTATAGGCCCTATTAAGTCATCATATATTAAAGGTTAATTGAAGATACACCCTTACTTGTTCAAAGTGGGCCGAAGTGAAGCGGACTAGGCGTATTTTAAGCGTTGTAGAAGCGTTGTATAGATGCACTTGATTACACTCAATTTGATCCGGTCTGTACGTAGGATTGCTTGCTACGCGTAAGGCGGAGTGTTATTGCACTGGGTACTGATTTAATCAAATTTCCTGGTCAGTTACCTATTTATTGATACTGATTATATGCAAAACAGTGTAATGTTAATGGCGATGTATATATTTGAAAGTGTTTGGTGATATATATTTGACGAGGGTAAAACCCGACTCTGTCGCAGGACTTAATTAGGGCTCATAGGGTGTACTTGCTCAAAATCGATTCAGCTCCGAATGTCTCTCGTATCTACATGTAGTTCAATGTACTTTATGATTGGTCTCGCATTAGTTTGCATCAATTGATTTATTCCAACAATTATTCCATTGTCCTTGCTATGCCCTTTAGCCCTACCTGTAATGCCAATGCTAGCGGCACAAGATATACAAACCAGATCCCGGATCCCTAATACATGCCTTGAGATCCCCCGAAAAGCAGACAGATATTCATTCGTCATTCATAGATATAAATCCGTATAAAAAAACCGTATGATCTTACTATGCCCCCGCTCAACAGCGCTCAAACACCCGATACAGACCCTTCAGATCTGCAACCTCAACCACACCCCGCAGCAGTCGTGACGTGGCAACCAGTCGCGCACGCAGAGCTGGGAATACAGCATACTCCAACATGCGAACCATCTGCGCACGACGGGCTCTAACAAACGCATCGTCGTCCTCGACCCCAGAGCCATCGGCTACAACTGTCTGCGAAAGAATTGGAAGCTGCTCAGGCGTGTAAAAAGCAGCTAGCTCACACAGAAACGTACGGAAACAACCCTCCTCACTACTCCAATCCACATACGGCCCAAGTCTCAGCAGGAAACGAGGTAGTTTAGCCAGCGCAGGCAGATAACCCTTCAGCAACAGCGGGATGGCTAGCAAATCTCCGTCGGGACTGATCTGCAGCGAAAAGTATTCATTCAGCATCTCGCGACGCTCGATCAGTGTGCGAGCTATCATCTCAGGTGCATTGGCGAAGATGGAAGCGGCTTCTTCCCCGTTGGAGTCCGGGTGCTCATGCCGTTCCGATTCGGCAGCGATTTTCAGTAGATCTACCAACTTTGGCGCTGGGTCGAGTCGGATTATGCCGAAGTTCCCGAAGTCGGTTAGGCCCACCTGGTAGAAAAACTCGTGGCAGGCGAGTCCGTAGTCGATTAGGTATAGCTTCACGCCAGATTGGATTGCTGCGAGTCGGCGTCGCTCGTCGACCAGCCCGACGTAGGTGTGTGATGCAAACATCTCTGTTAGTGTGTTGTGCATTTCAGAGCGAACAGAGGCGCGGAGACTTTTGACGGAAGTGAGGGCGATCTTTAGGGGTTGGCGATCTGTTGTTTCGTATTGGAGGCCGTCGTCTAGGGTTGATGTTGCTGGGGTGTCGGTTTCTGTGGGTGCAGCTGGGTTGGATGGGTCGCGAAGTGACGCTGCGGTTGGGCCTAACATTGCTGTGATTTTGCGGACTTTGGAATCTGTTCGGATGAGGTTGTTTTCGTAGGGTTTCTTTGTTGTTGCGGGTGTTGCGGGTGTCGCTCCAGCTTTTGCTGACTCTGCTGATCCCTCGTGGGCTGGAGCGCCTTGATCGCGTTGTAGGGACTCGATGGTCTGCACACCAGGTAGGAGGCTTTGTGTTAGGAATGTTCGACTCGAGTCCACTTCAGCTAGCTTGGATCGGATTTCAATGCAAACAAGCTCGATAATCTCGTCTTCATTTAGGAAATTCACTTCGCGCTTGGTTGGGTGTACATTGACATCGACGCGGTTAGGCTCGATTTCGAGATCAAGATAGATGAAAGGGTGGCCGCCCTTGGGCAAAAAGGCAGAGTAAGTTTGTTCAACTGCACGTTTAACAGCAGTTGACTCCACTGCACGGTGGTTAATGAAAAGCAGAATCACTGTCTTCTTAACATGATAATTGGCATTAGTAGTGAAGCCGGATGCACGAAAACCGAACTTTGTATCTTCGGCTTTGAATTCAACAAGCTCATTCGCCACGGCACTGCCGTGAATCTGGCGGATCCGGTCGACAGTATTTGCGCTGACTGGAGTCGAGATGCTCACACCGGAGTCTCCGTGCTTGCGGCATGAGAAAGCGACCCCTGAGCAATGCACTGCGTACCGGCCAACGACATCGAGAATTTTGGCATATTCCTCGCTTGCTGAGCGGAAAGCTCTCCGTCGTGTGGGGACGTTATAGAAGAGATCCTCGACCTTGGATTTTGTTAACTTGAAAACATGCCAGATATCAATTTGTTTCACTTACGGTGATCTGAGTTCCTCCTCGACCGGCTGTTGCCTTGGGTGTAGAGTTCTGGCCTGGCTTTGCCGGTATCAACTTGCCATCTCCGTAATGTGCTCGCCAGGCGCAGCTGGATCCAGCAGTCTTTGTTGTAACTGTCAGATGTGCGATGTGACTGATACTAGCTAGAGCTTCACCGCGGAATCCATATGTTCCAATGGAGGTCAGATCTTCAAACTCTTTGAGCTTGGATGTAGTGAACCTCTCGCAGAGGATAGGGAGATCGTCTCGCTAGATAGTGTCAGAGACAGCTGCTGTAACATAAAAAATTCACTTACATCAATGCCATGGCCATTATCAGTAATCTGGAGTAGCTTCAGACCACCTTCCTTAATCAGGACTTCAATTGAGGTGGAGCCAGCATCGACGGCGTTTTCGATGAGTTCCTTCAGTGCGTGCATTGGTGCAACGATAATCTCCCCAGCAGCAATTTTATTTACGACATCGGGATCCAAAGCCTGAATGGAATTTAGTATTTGTTCTATGTGATAGTATACGATGGGACTCATGCGCACGCGTTACCTTACCTTAATTTTCTTTGGTTTAGGGGGTTCCAGAGGCTCATTTTCCTCTGCTGCGCGCTTGGTACCGCGTTTATCAATAGACTCAATATCCATATCGTCTTCCATGATGATTTCCAGATATCAAGAAGGTGTTTGGGGGACAATGGATTGCACGAAGCGCGTGCAGTTGGAGAAAAGGCGAAGTTTTGATAAGGCGATAAGAGAGCCTAGGCGTCATTGTTTGTGGAGATCGTTTGCTCCGATGCATTCCAACTTCCTCTCGCAATGAATAAGCAGCAGTTCGGTCGCATTTGTCCTCTGTATTTATTCGTCGCTTCGATGTCATAGAGGGGTCCATAGAGCTCACGGAGCTTGCCCTTCATAATTCTGTGCGCACATTATGACCCCCCCAAAGATGCCCCTTCGGGCTGATGAAGAGATGGGCAAGAAAGATGACGACCATCGACCATCCGATCAAGCGCGCTTCCTACCTCTGCGCCACCGAGCAATGCCTCGGCCTCGCCGAATACTGTTCGCTATCATTGCTCTTGTTCTCGTCTATGAGTTCTTCAAGCACATGCCGACGGACCTGGGACCGGCCGTCGATCGGTATAACCCTGCGATTGCGAAACTACGAGAAGAAAGCCTTGCCAAATGGACTGGCTCAGATAAGCCACCGGTTGTTCTCAAGCCAGACACTGTGCTACCAGACAATTTGCCTCCAGTCAAGGTGTTGGAATCGAATCAAAAAGAGGAAGCTTACGATGGGATGATAAAGTTCTACGAGTTGCCCCACTCTCTTCCTCGCTATAAGTATTCACAGAAAGCTCCCAGCCGCGCAGTTGTGTTTGCAGCTTCAAGTCTCCGCAGTGTGTCGGATCTTTTGCCCTTAGCTTGTCGGATGGCTGGTGAGCGGTTGAACCACGTGCATTTCGCACTTATGGGAAAGGATGAGGTTTCGATTGAAGGTATCAAGGAAGTCAACGGAATCAGAGATAGTGAATGCCTGATGACATGGCACGGTATGATATCCGGACTATGATAACCCAACGCGTTTTGCTGACTTGGCGACGACTACAGATGCTCGGCCTGACCATGCACTCAAATCTACCGATGACCGTATGAAGCGGTCTGTGATGGGGGGACTGCAAAACATACAAACCTACATCAGCCCGGAGGTTATCATTACACAAGGTCAGGGCTGGGAGGATTCCTTTTTCTGGGACGGGGTCGAGGTCTATTCTCGAGAAGACGGCATCCCTCACGTTGCTTTCTCCACTGCATCGAGAGACCTTATGTGGATAGCCTCGCTGGATAGCGAAGCTCTTCAATGTAAGTTATATCCCCCTATTTGGTATGTCGTGTCTAGAAATACTGACCGTACGTGCAATAGCGTGGAACAAGATACAAATCGAAATGGTGGTACATGCACCATCCGAGTCTTCTGGGTCTTTGATCCGGCTTATGCAATCATTGGATGCAGCCGACTATTTGGGATCGGTTCCAAGCTTGACAATAGAGCTCCCTCAGCGGGTAGATCCACATTTGCTTCAGTTTCTACAACATTTGGACGGGTTGACCCAGCTTCCTGGCCGACTCACTATTCGGCGGCGCATCCAACCAAACATGGACACAGCAGAATCATCGCTTCGAACCGTCGAGTCATTCTATCCACGGGACCCTGAGGTGACACATTTGCTTCTGTTATCTCCACAGACCGAGCTCGCACCATCGTTCTACCACTACCTGAAGTTTGCTGTGCTGAACTACAAACAATCTGCCCGGGCCAAGCGCATATTTTCCAATATGATCGGTATCTCACTCGAACTGCCATCATCCAAACCCACGGCTGACAGCCCGTCTTTCAACCCACCGCCCATGAATGTTGAAGGCAAAGAACAGTTCCTTCCCTCGTTCCTGTGGCAGGCCCCCAATAGTAATGCAGCTTTGTATTTTGGAGATGCATGGGCGGAATTCCATTCCTTTGTGGCCAACCGCCTGTCGACTCCAGAATCCGCGACGGCCTCCCAAACAAAGTTGATCTCAGAGAAGTATCCTGCCTTTATGGAACACATGCTCGAGATGATCCGTGCAAAAGGGTATTATCTCCTGTATCCATCATTCCCGGGTATCAAATCTTCGTCAATTGCCACAGTACACAACGAGCTATATCAACACCCAGAAGAATTCGGAGGCACCAATCTCGCCACCTCGGGTGAAGAAGCCACTCAAGCCATCAATGATCCTACTCAGCCACTTACAGGTGGAGATTCTACCGACTTGGGATCTATTGAAAAACCACTGAACCACGCATCAACTATCATGCCACTGCTTGACTTGTTCTCTTCCGGTCTTCCCGATCTTGATGCTTTGCCTCTGCTTTCATATGACGGAGAGGGGTTAACGGCCGCGGCATACACCAAACAGAAGGAAGAATATGCCAAGCAGTTTCGAACTAATTACGGAGGATGTACCAGAGATAGCAAGATTGATGATCCCTCGGCAGACCTATTATTTTGTATTCAAGACTGAATTCCTGGCAAAATTTCCAGGATCTGAATTGTCATTTCACTGGCATGATGTTTACCAGATTCAGAAATATATGTAAGAATTTAAATTTCAGTCTGAAACACATCCAAGTCTTTCTCTCCCTCATAAACCATACCTATAAGAATTTGAGTGATATAATTGAAGTCGTAGTATTGCAAATCCAAAACAATGACGAGCGCCTCCAGGGCTTGGCACCTTATGTAATCTAATTCCGGAGCTGCACCAGACCGAGCTCTGCTTCTCCATCACCAGCTTACAATCCACTTGCATTACTCTTTACTTGCAGAATTCCATCTATTTCTGCTTTGTAACACTATCTTCTGCTCATCTGCTTGATACATACCCCTCCCACGCCGGTTCGATTTCCCCCCGACTTGGTCCCCAGCTACCATCAGAAATGGCCAACGAGGGCGAACGGCCAACCTCCGCCGACAAGGGCAAGGGCAAGGTTGATGATGTTCGCGATCTGAACGGCAAGAATACCGAAAATGGCGAGAAGCCAGCAGACGAAAAGAAGAAAGATGAGAAGTCTGAAGATGGTACGTTGCGATAAGGCATTTCCAAGGATCTCGCAACGGAGCATGTGGATTCTCTTAAGGGTCCATGGTGGTACTTGGAGCAACACGCTGACGGGAATTCTCTATAGAGGAACTCAGTGAAGAAGATCAGCAATTGAAAAGCGAACTTGAGATGCTCGTTGAGCGGTTAAAGGTAAAGTCACCCTCCTGTCCCGTGCGCATAGCACAATGACGTTAATCATCTTCTTTGATCTCAATAGGAACCCGATACCTCGCTCTATGAGCCTGCTTTGGACGCAATCAAGAACTTTATCAAGACTTCTACATCCTCCATGACAGCTGTTCCTAAGCCTCTGAAGTTCCTCCGACCGCATTATGATGGCCTGGCAGAGCTATACGAGAAATGGGTCCCAGGTCCTGTGCAGGTTAGTTCTGCAGTACTTCCATCGCTCTGTGATGATCTAACGATATTATGCTTTCTAGAACTCGTTGGCTGATATGTTGTCGGTGCTTGGAATGACCTATGGAGACGAAGAGAAGCTGGAGACCATCAAATACCGTCTGTTGGCCAAATCGGAGGACCTTGGCTCCTGGGGTCACGAATATGTCCGACATCTCGCACTGGAAATCGGACAAGAATATCAGAACCGCTTGAACGCAGACCAGGATACCCAGGATCTAGTGGATCTTGCATTGTCTTTGGTGCCCTATTTCCTGAGTCATAATGCCGAAGCCGATGCGGTTGATCTCATGAGCGAACTGGAAATCATCGAAGATATCCCTCAATTCGTTGACGAGAACACTTACGCACGAGTCTGCTTGTATATGGTCAGCATGGTCAATCTCCTCACTTACCCTGAAGATCAGCAATTCCTCCGAACCGCCCACGGGATCTACGTCCGCTACAACAAACTTTCGCAAGCGATCGTGCTCGCTATCCGGTTGAACGACACTGAGCTTATCAAGAGTGACATCCACGCTACGACCGACAAGTCTTTGAAGAAACAGATGGCCTTCCTTGTCGCCCGGCAGCAGATCTGGCTTGACCTTCCGGCTGAGGACGAGGAGGGAGAGGCCTTGGCTGATTGTCTCAACAACACTTCCATTCCGAAGCACTTCAAATCTCTGGCTAAGGAGCTCAACATTCTGGACCCCAAGATGCCGGAGGATATCTACAAGACACATCTTGAGAGCAGTCGTGGAGCCGGCCTCACTAATCTTGATTCGGCACGACACAACTTGGCTAGCGCATTTGTCAACTCATTTGCTAACGCCGGCTTTGGTAACGATAAGATGATGTTAGTGGAGGGTGATAAGGGCCCGTGGGTGTGGAAGACCAAGGATGATGGCATGCTTTCCACAACTGCGTCGCTGGGTATGCTGCTACACCGTGATGTCGAGGATGGATTGGATAAGATCGACAAGTTCACCTATGCACAAGAAGACCAGGTCAAAGCTGGTGCACTGCTCGCTATTGGTATCCTGAACTCCGGCGTCCGACTTGACTCCGACCCCGCCCTTGCCCTCTTGAGTGACCCTGACAATCTTGAGGCGAAGAACGTCCCGATGAGAGTTGCATCCATCATGGGTCTTGGTCTGGCATACGCCGGTTCCAACAAGGAAGAACTGCTTGAGGTTCTCCTCCCGATTGTGGAGGACGCCTCCCTAGATATGCAACTGTCTGCCATGGCAGCAGTTTCTCTCGGTCTCATCTTTGTTGGTTCATCAAACCACCAGGTCAGCGAGGCAATTGCGACCACCTTGATGGATGAAGAGCGTCAGAAGCAGCTCAAGGACAAGTGGACAAGGTTCATGGCTCTTGGTCTGGCACTTCTGTACTTCGGCCGCCAAGAGGAGGTTGATGTCATCCTTGACATCCTCAAGGCAGTTGACCACCCCATGGCTAAGCCCACTTCAGTCCTTGCCTCAGTATGCGCTTGGGCAGGTACTGGTACAGTGCTTAAGCTACAAGAGCTTCTCCACATCTGCAATGACATCATTGAAGAGAAGGAGGAGAACAAGGGTGATGAGCTTGTTCAGTCGTACGCTGTTCTCGGTTTATCTCTCATTGCCATGGGCGAGGATGTCGGACAAGATATGATTCTCCGCCAGTTCGGACACCTCATGCACTATGGATCTCCCAACATTCGCCGGGCAGTTCCCTTGGCTATGGGTTTGATCAGCCCCAGCAACCCACAGATGAAGGTTTACGATACACTGTCCCGGTATAGTCACGACAATGACAACGAAGTTGCCATTAATGCTATCTTTGCCATGGGTCTCTGTGGCGCTGGTACCAACAATGCCCGTCTTGCACAGCTTCTCCGGCAATTGGCCAGCTACTACCACCGCGACCAGAACTCACTGTTCATGGTTCGCATCGCCCAGGGTCTTCTACACATGGGCAAGGGTACTATGACGCTTAATCCTTTCCACACCGACCGACAGGTCCTTTCCCGTGTCTCAGCAGCGGGTTTGCTTACTGTGCTTGTATCACTCATCGATGCCAAGCAATTTATCCTCGCTGAACACCATTACCTGCTCTACTTCCTCATTACCGCCATGTTCCCCCGCTTCCTTATTACCCTCGACGAGGACCTTCAGCCACTCACCGTCAATGTCCGCGTCGGCCAGGCTGTGGACGTGGTTGGCCAGGCAGGTCGCCCGAAGACCATCACTGGATGGCAGACTCAGAGCACGCCAGTTCTCCTGGCACACGGTGAGAGAGCCGAGCTTGAGGATGAGCAGTACATTCCTCTGAGCAGCACTCTCGAAGGCTTGGTTATCTTGCGCAAAGTACGTTATCTTCTCTGCAGTCCAAATAGCCAGTACTAACCTATCTTCCAGAACCCGGACTACGAAAGCCCTGAATAAGCAAGCTAGACTAGATATTCCCCGATTTACATCCATTGCTCGCAACCAGCGGGACTCGTATAGTGGTCGGGTTATCGTTGGATCTAATGTATTCAGAACGAATGAAGAATAGCATGGATTTATTTTACAAGTTTTATATCTGTTTGGCTTCTACTACAACCAAAACTGCCTGGATCTATGAGTAGACTACATATGTGAGCCTGTATAAGTAGACACACCCAGCTTGAACCAGATGCTTTTCATCTGCATTTGAAAGGTAATCAGTATAAAATTGTAATTATCGCATGATGCTATCCAAACAAAGACCAAGCTATCCAGGTTCTCAGCCCGGATAGGAAACAGGGCTTAGGGCTAGGTTCTTATCAACTTTTTTCCTCCGCTGTATCGTTGACTGGTCCAACTTGTCTTGAAGTTCTGGTCTCCAACGAATCAATTTAGGGAAATTCGAAGAAAGTGAAAAGCTCCTTCATTCCCTCGCAATCATGAAACTCGACGCTAAAGCTATTCGCTACCTCACCTCCGAAGATTTCCGAGTTCTCGCAGCGGTACTTATCGGCCCCTCTTGAGTTTACCCCGCGATGTTCTTTTGAGGATATATGTCGCGCATTCTTCATTAACTAACATGGGTGGTTTGTTCTAGTGTGAGGCTGGTAGCCGAAACCATGAGGTCGTTCCAACGCCGTTGATCTCGCAGCTTTCGGGCCTCCGAGGCGGCAGCGGTGTCAACCGCGCAATCTCAAACCTCGCGAAAATCAACTTGATTGCAAAGGTCAAGAATGCCAAGTGTATGCATTCCACCTATTTCTGCATCTGATCTTACCACTAATACAAGTGTTCTGCATATAGATGACGGCTACCGACTCGCATACGGAGGATTGGATTATCTTGCACTGAACGCGCACCAAAAGTCAAAAGTCATCTATTCGGTCGGCAACCAAATCGGCGTGGGAAAGGAATCAGATATCATCGTGGTGGCAGAAGCCAGCGGAGCCCAGCGCATTATGAAAATACACCGTCTCGGCCGTATCTCGTTCCGAACAGTCAAGACAAACCGTGATTACCTACGACACCGCAGCTCAGCCTCATGGATGTACATGTCTCGATTGGCAGCAATGAAGGAGTTTGCTTTCATGAAGGCTCTGCACGAGAACGGATTCTCCGTCCCCGATCCTATTGCCCAGAACCGACACACCATCGTCATGAGTCTAATCGATGCCTTCCCTCTGCGTCAAATCGCAAAAGTCGCCAACCCCGCTGGGCTATACTCCGAGCTTATGAATATTATCTTGGATCTTGCGCGATATGGTCTTATCCACGGTGATTTCAACGAGTTCAATATCCTTATTAAGGAAGAGCTTGCCCCTGAAATGAAAGGAAAAGAGCTCACCGAGGAAGAGGAAGATGAGCACATCCGGCTGGTCCCGGTTCTCATTGATTTCCCGCAGATGTTGTCCATTGACCACGCTAACGCTGAAATGTACTTTGATCGTGATGTGGAATGTATCAAGCGGTACTTCAAGCGAAAGTTCCACTTCGTGAGCGATTCAAAGGGCCCTACTTTCGCCGAGGCTAGAAAAATGCTCCTCAAGAACCCCGGCAAACGTCTGGATGTTGAAGTTGAAGCCACAGGTTTCTCGCGCAAGATGGCCCGTGAGCTTGAGGCTTACATGGCAGATGTGGGAGTCAAAGGAGATGGAGAAGCTTCTAAGGATAGCGATGATGAGGATGACGATGATGAGGCAGAGTCTGGATCTGAAGACGAGGAGGGTGGTGCTCTTGATACCAAGTACTCCGAAGATGTCGATGACAGCACCAAGCGGTTAGAAGACCTTCGAGTCTCGGGATCATCGGAGCAGTAAAAGGAGATGATTCTGGGCTTTTTAATGACCATTTACGATGAATAAAGCATGTAATATAGGTTTCAAATTATCCTATCAATGGATGTCTTTTAGAATACCCCAAATCTTCCTAGAAAAGAAATATCAAAAACATCACACTTTACACTTTTTACAACAGACCACCACAATAGACATGACAAGGACACATAAATGACCGACTACTTCTGTATCTAATATACCAAAGACACAATGTAATCAATTCCGACTCTTGACTGAACCTCCAACAGCGAGTGTTTTGTTGTTCACTATTGGCGTATACTTGAAAGTCATGTGACCAGATCGGCCAACGCAGTTTTGATGGATCCGCAAGCACATCCAACCCCCAGATTCCTCCACTCAACACAACACGATGGTGCGTCTCAGCAGTGTCCAAGCGAAAGCGCTGCGCCGCCTGCAGAACCAGGCAGGAGTCCAGGCACCCCCGAAAACCAAATGGCCCAGCGTCGTCGGCAAGCCCGTGTACCTGTACGTTGCCCAAAATTTCCAGGAACCCGAACTCGGCTCGACCAAAACAGCATCTCAACAGTCTTGATCGCTCAATCGGACATTCGCCACGAAACAGAAAAGTACCAGAACTAATTCCTCGCCTCCTTAGACCTCAATTCCGCGTCGCTCTAGTCCGAACCCCCAACCTCACCCCCCGATATGCTCAATTCCGCGTCCCCCTCAACTTCAACAAGTTCGATCTCCGCAGCTACCTATGGCACTTGTACGGAGTCGGATCTCTCAGCATCCGCAGTTACGTCCAGGCACAACCAATCACACGAATTTCGCGCGATAACAAGGGTTTCGGCCCGTGGCGTCGACCTAAGTCGCAGAAGCGCATGACCGTTGAATTGAAGGAGCCCTTCGTGTACCCAACGCAGCCGAAGGATCTGAGCCCGTATGTGACGCCCACTCTTAACTCGCTTGTTCCTTTAAAGCTCAATTCCTTTGTCTTCCCTCTCTATATTTCCAATACTACACATGCACCAACCAAGCTGAACATCGTAACTAACCAATTTTCGCCTATAGATGGGAGAACGAAAGCTGGGCAAAGGCCGAGAAGTGGCAGATCGAAATGCAAGAAAAGGAGAACCCCAAGCCGAACAAGGGTGAGAAGCCTGATCAAGAGTTGCGCGATGCCTACAAGGAGCAGGCTAAGGCGCTGCTCGAGAAGAAAGAGACTTGGAGACCGACCTGGAAGGCTCTGGGCTTGGAGCCACACCAGGCTGCTAAGAATGGCGGGTTCATCCCTTCTTCTACGCTGCCAGCTTGGTATTCTAAGCATCGGAAGCACGGAGCGCGGTAATCAGGTTTGATGAGATTCCTTGCATTGTTCTTCATGGTTTTTTTCCCCCGACATTGGGGAAAAGTGGTGTTTCTTGCTCTATCTTCTGGTCCATGTTATTTTTTGGCTGGATCTGTGTATTATACTCTTGGGGTAGATTGTATACATCTTGAAAATGGCGTATCATCTTTTCTGATCTGGTCAAGGCTTACATGAATCCTTAAGATAGAATAGATTTTGTAAATTGTGGTGCTGGTGCTGGAACCGAACCCGGTATGTTCAGTGATATAGATACGAAATAACAACTGGCAATAACACATCACGAAAGACAAGCTGATTAAATACAAGTTACTGGGGCCTCGGCCTATTATACGCTATGCAAAAATGAGAGTGGGGGACCGAAATGCCGGACAGAAGATGAAAGTTGCAAAGCGCGTTGAACTTGAGATGTTGAGAACGGCTTACAGTCGACTCTCAACGAAGTTCATCTCGTGTTGGCCCGGCCACTGGGCATCGGGCCAGACTTGGCGCAGTCCTTCCCAAATGTGCCTGCGAACAATTGTTAGTAGTGAACTAAACTAAAGTCGGGAAGAGATGACATACTTGACGTAGATGATTTCCAGACCATCCTTGACTTCCTGTGGGACATCTTTAACGTCTTTGCGGTTGTGGTCCGGGAGAAGCACGGTCTTGACGCCCGCACGCAGAGCACCAATTAGCTTCTCTTTGATACCGCCGACGGGCATGACCCGGCCGCGGAGGGAGATCTCGCCGGTCATGGCAATCTGCGGTGGAACGGGCTTGTTGCTGAACAAAGAGATCAAGGCAACAGTGTGGGCAAGACCAGCAGAGGGACCATCCTTGGGAATAGCACCGGAGGGACAGTGGACGTGCAGGCTACGGCTCTTCATAATATCTTCATTGGGGTCGTGGGTGAGACCGAGCTCGAAGGAGTGTGCCTTCACCCATGTCAGGGCTACTTCGACAGATTCCTTGAGCACGTCGCCCAGCTTACCAGTTAGCTGGACGCGCCCGTTGCCGGGCATGTCTGCAACCTCGATGAACAGGATGCTGCCCTGGCCACCGGTAGAGTAGGCGACAAGGCCTGTGACTACACCAGGACGACTGTGTTTCTCGGCAATCTCTTCCTCAAATCGCTCGGTTCCCAGGATATCCTCCAGATCATCGGCTGATACGACAGGGTTATAATCATTTAGGCGGTCGGAGTCCCCAGCATCAGCATATTGAACGGCCTTGTGGCGACAGATAGAGCCAAGTTCCCGCTCTAGGTTGCGCACACCGGACTCTCGGGTGTACCCGGTGATGGTCTTATCAATCACGTCATCGGACATATTTACCTGGCCCTCAGTGAGACCGTTAGATCGAATCTGCTTCGGGATCAGGTGTTGCTTGGCAATGTGCCTCTTCTCAACAGTGGTGTACCCAGACAGGGAGATGGTCTCCATGCGGTCCAGTAGAGGTGCCGGAATTGTGTCCAGGGAGTTGGCAGTAGCAAGGAAGAGAACCTTGCTCAGATCGATAGGGATGTTGATATAGTGGTCAGTGAAGGTGTGATTCTGCTCAGGGTCAAGAACCTCCAGCATGGCGGCAGACGGATCGCCTTGGAAGTTGGCGCCGCCGACCTTATCAATCTCATCCAGCAGAATAACGGGGTTTGCAACGCCAACCTTCTTCAGCCCATTCACAATCAAACCAGGCATAGCTGCAACGTATGTGCGTCGGTGGCCCCGGATTTCCGCCTCGTCTCTGACACCGCCAAGGGAGATCCGGTGGAACTTTCGGCCAAGCGAGGCGGCAACGGACCTGGCTAGACTGGTCTTACCAGTACCAGGGGGGCCGACTAGAAGCAAGATAGGAGACTTGTCGGTCATACGCTTGGACTTGAGGATCTCAAGGCGGGTCTCCAACGCAACCCGGTCAGACTCGGAGAGCAGGGGGACATCCTTCTCGACATCTCCAACTGCCGATGCGTCCAAGTCCCTAGAGAGTCCTGAGATCTGGCGTTCAACATCCGAGTTTGTGGACTGCTTTAAGCGCAACACAGCCAAATACTCCAGCAGTCGCTTCTTGATTCGCTCCAGGCCGTAGTGGTCCTCGTCCAGCTGCTTCCTGGCGTTCTTCAATGTATCTGGCCCAAGCTGATCCTCTGTGACCTTGGTCCATGGGATTTCTGACAAGTTCTCCAGATAAGTCCGACAAACACCGTACTCGGCGTTGGCAGGGTTCATCTTTCGTAGGCGTTTCAATTCTTTGTCCGCAACCTTCCGAGCTTCGGGACTAAGCTGGGCATCATTCAACTTCTGTTGTAGCTCGTCTACTTCATTAGGCTCCTTCTCCTCATCATTGCCACGCCCACCAGGGGGTGCCATGCCGGAGAGACCCGAAATTGCACGCTTTGCGAGCAGCTCACGTTCACGGGGGTCGATCTGACTAATATCCACCCCGGAGGAGGGGAATGAAGTCGAGCTAACCGAGGTGACCCTGACGCTACTCTTAATATGCTGTGCCTGTCTGGTGAGAATCTCAACAACTCTCTCCAACCGTTCTTTAACATTCAGTGAGCCGAGGATACGTAGCTTTTCCTCAAAGCTTGCGTCAGATACATCTGCCATAAAATCAGCCAGCTTGCCCGCCTGTGTCAATTCTGTCTTTGATATATAGAGCTCGAACTTTCGGGCAACGAGTGGCGAGAGACGAGATGAAGCTGCCGACAGCAATGAGGAGAGGCGTAGGAGAGTGAGAAGCTCTCTAGAGAGCTGTCTCAATTGCTGGAATAGCTCAGCGACTTCTGCGTCACCTTGCCCAGAGTCTAGAAGTATAGGAAATATGATTAGCCATCAGATCCCTATACTTTGTCCGTGGCGTGGGGACTAACTGGATTCATCATGAATGAAGATCTCGGCCTCAAAGTATGGCCGCTCTCGCAGGACCTTCTTAATAGTGAATCTTTGCGAGCCTTGGACAAGCAAAAATGGTTCGGCGTAGGCCCGGCGCTGAACACCGATGACTTTGCCAATAGTTCCGCAGCGGAACAGGTCCTCTTTCCGTGCCTGACCGGCGTCAATCAAGTCATATTCCTCCTTTCGCTCTGAGTCTGAATCCTCGCCATCGAGTAGCTGATTTCCATCCCGGCTCAGGAACGGTGAGTCGAGTGGGATACAGCCGAAAGTGATAGTGTTCGCATCTCGCTTCGAAGGCTTGTCCACGAGTGATGAAAGAAGATTGGCGAGATCGGGGCGGTTGGCGACTGGAATACGTAGAGTCACACCGGGTAGCAGAACCGAGCCCTTGGCAAGAGGTACGAGGGGAATCTTGGTTGTTCTACCGTTAGATCCCATCTTGTACGGGAGCCCTGATGAAATAAGGTGGCAAAGGAGGAGGATCAAGATGTAAAGTATATGAGTGGTAGAATGTGGGGGAATGGGGCAATGGGGGAATCGGAGAATGTGGAGAGGGGAAAGATAAATGGATTATGTGACCTCGGGGAGATGGAGTTTCCAGAATCACGTAGAGCAGAAGTCCGGGGGAGATCAGTCGCATGTCTTGTAATCTCCACGTCCCGAAGCCGAGGTTGACGATCACTGGAGATTTAAGGATTTTACTGTTTAAATTGTATAGTCTACACTTGATTTTATAGATCTACATTTTATTATGAGTTTACTATTCTCTTATTTATATTTCCTAATTTATCCCATGGCTGTATATACCTACGGTTGTAGAGGACTTGGAATTATCGGATCTGCACGTGTCCCGTGATCGGAGCTCTCCAAATCCACTTTTGCCTCTTCGCCTGACTTTCCTCGGCTGTTTAGTATCCTGGCATAGCTTCATACAACGTATACGCCTACCTGCATTATTTCCAATACTGAATGGTTTATTCTTCGACATACGCCTTACCTACCCCTCAAAATGGCTACCCCCGCCCCCCAAAAGACCATCACTATCGGCACCCGCAAGTCTAAATTGGCTCTGCTCCAGACACACATGGTCCTCGACGCGTTGAAGAACGCATTCCCGCAATATGAATATAAGGTCTTTTCCAAGGAGACAGCCGGTGACCTAAACACTACCATCGCACTGCGGGACTTCACCACCAAGAACCTATGGACGGAGGAATTGGAGGAATTGATGATCGGCGGACAAGTCGATGTCATCGTACACTCGCTGAAAGGTTCGATAATGTCTCAATCTCGAACAGCGGAGCTGTTTCAACCGTAGAAATGCTGACGACGCCTTTTTCAAACTTATCAGATGTCCCCACTACTCTCCCCTCTTCCTGCAAGCTTGGCCCGAGCATGCCCCGCGAAGATAGCAGGGATGTCCTTGTGGTGAAACAAGGTTTGCCATACAAGAGCCTGTCCGAAATCCCCGCCGGGTCCGTAGTTGGAACCTCGTCCATTCGCCGCACAGCTCAATTGGCTCGGAAATACCCCCACCTTAAGGTTCAGGATGTCCGTGGCAACATCGGCACTCGCCTGTCAAAGCTGGACGCCGAAGATAGCCCTTACACCTGTGTCATTCTGGCCGCTGCTGGTCTGTTGCGTCTTGATTTGGCGGATCGTATCACCCAATATTTGGACTCTAAGAACAGCGGCATGCTCTATGCTGTCGGACAGGGTGCCCTTGGTATCGAAATTCGCAAAGAAGATACTGTTCTCCAGGATATGTTGGACAAGATTGGTCACCAGGAGACTACGTTCTCGGTTTTGGCTGAGCGGAGTCTTTTGCGGACTCTTGAGGGAGGTTGCAGTGCCCCGCTGGGTGTTGAAACCGAATGGGTCCAAAATGCACAGGGTTCTAAGCAGCTGCGAATGCGGTCTGTTGTTGTCAGTGTCGATGGGAAAGAGTGTGCTCAGGTAGAATTGGAAGGCGACGTCAACTCTGCTGAAAGTGCCGAGGCCTTCGGAATCACCGTCGCCAAGGCCCTGGTGGCTGACGGCGCTGGAGATATTCTCGAGGCTATCCAGCAGAACAAGACCAAGGAGGGTGTTTCTACTGCGGTTTGAACGTTCGGATATATTTTTACTGTAACTAGGCAAATATACCCTGTTGAAAAATGAAGTGAACGAGTTTTATTGTCTGGTATAGTCCTCGCTCAAGATATCAAGAACGTTCGCCAAAACTCCGTCTATCGTGGCTTTTTTGGACTGTAGTAAAGCAGCTCTGTTCATGTCGGACATTTTAGATCATCCACGGTTCAGTGTGTTTCCAGCACCCTTCGGATTAGCTTCCGTGTACTCGTCCCAGTTTCGTGCCTTCATCGTTTCCTGATCGGCAATGTTGTGATCATCCTCGTCGACTTGCGGCTTGATGCCAGACTTTTCACCTCCCCCTTCAATGACATTTCCTCGTCTATGTTCTTCGTCGAGATATTCCTCAATTGTCATAGTAGGAAGGTTATGACCCGGGCGAAAGACTCCTTGTTGCATTTCCGCACGCCGTCCCAACAAGGTAAACGGCTGCATTGGCTTTCCTTTGCTATTCAGGATAGGACCACCCCTTCCTCCCTTCAAAAGTTGCGACATTGAAGGATCCAGGCGCTCTGAGTAATTTAAACCTCCGATATTGCTTCGCTGCCTGGGATCGTCTGTTGGTGGGGGACGGGGCGGCGCGTTGCGCATAGATGAAAGTATCGACAATTCCTGGATCAGAAGGTCCAAGGCCTGAAAGGTCTGATGGGTGTAGAGCTGGAGCTCTGCTAGGTAAAGGGATCGGGTGTCGTCATCGTCGCTTTGCAGTCCAGCTTCGTTGCGAGCAAAGTACTTTGAATACGGTAAGCAAGAACCCCAAACAGTATCTAGGACGAAATTCCACATACCTCTAGTTTCTGCTTGAGCTCTTTTTCTTCCCGGAATCGCGTCACTTTAATTTCCCGTCTAGCGGCAGCATCATTGGCTGGCATAAGGGTAAAAGATGTCGGATTGGCCATGTATTGCTTGAAAAGCTTCTTATCGCCGCCAGAGAGCAGCAAGTACTCATCCAAGCGCATCAGGTATTTCTCGTATTCTTCGAGCGCACGATTGAGGACAGATTCACGGTCTGAGGTAGCAGCTCGCTGCATGAGCTCGGCTAGATGGTATTCCAGTGCCATGTACCTGGACAACAAATTAGTCGAATGGCCAACGCAATACTGGAATCAAGGCAACATACTGGATATCATTGGTTGAAATATCTTCTAACAGCTCATTAGAACTAAACAGGGACAGCATGCTCACTTGACGCTGGCATTCTTGGAATTTGGCAATCGCTGCATTCACCTCATCTCTGTAAGTCTCGGCGTTGGTGTCACCCCGTAATCCCAGTGCACGATATTGCTCCTTTGCTGATGCAAATAAAGAGCGAAGACTCTGTGGCTCCTCCATTTCTGATATGATGTTGCTTGGACTGGGTAGAATATAGGGTATTAGAGATGCTTGGAAAGGGTTGTGTCCCCGCGATTTGGAACTGAGTTTTGGAAATACGATAAGGCCAAGCTTCTATCCGATAAGCCTTTGATAAGGCTCATACATCGATTATTGTCTTGAATCAGAACTATACGCCATTTGGATACTGATTAACAGCTTTACATTGATATTTTCATCCTCTCATCCTCCTCTCCCCTGTTTTAGTCGCTCTTTAGATAATCGTTCTTTTTATATCATTTTAGGAGTCTATCATCTTAGTCTGCTCTCTTTGTCCTGGGACAGGCCTTCTTGTTCTTTGGTTACAGAGGGTCTCTAGAACAGCCTGGATTTATATATGGGTCCCGCAGGCATGTGGTTCTTGGTATATTCCAATTGTGAATGACCTCACTATATGAGAAGAAAATGGAATCTCAAGTATTAAACAAACAACTAAGACAACACATCTAAGAACACTTGTTAAATATATAGTGCCCTTTTGTATAGCACCCCCGATACATTGAGGATATATACATGCGATCTATCACTCTCACTTCACTTATGAGAGATTCATACCTAAGTAGGAAGGAGAAGCACACGGACTCATGTCATTGCTTCTTGCAAACTTAGATACTGCCTTTTCTCTCGTCCCAGGCTTGAGTTTTCTACTTCTGTGGGCTTTAGTTCTTCTTCTTCGACATTTCATCTTCAACATATCCTAGTGCAGGATAGAATCATCAACATGGAGCCAGAAGACACCGCCTCAGATCTATCTGGCGATGAAGTTGCGGCCCCACGGCCAACCGAATCCAACCGACACAGAGTTCAAAATGCTATGTTCACTGCACTGTAAGTTTCTAATGAATCTTACCTTCAAAATCTATTTATGCTGACATCTGGGAAGGCTCGAAGAGCATGTTGTTAATAGGTCAAGCAACAACTCCAATGGCGAACATGTCGAACTATCTGATGCGGAACTTTCAACTGCTCGTTTGCTCGCAAATACAGAGCCTGGGGGTGGAATCCTGGACCCTCGTGAATACCAAATCGAGCTCTTCGAGAGAGCAAGGACTCGCAACACTATCGCAGTTCTCGACACAGGGTCTGGGAAGACTTTAGTGGCTGTGCTTTTGCTCAAGCACATTCTCCAAATTGAACTCAACAAACGTGCCAATGGCGCCAAGCCCCGCGTTGCCTTTTTCCTGGTGGACAGTGTGACGTTGGTCTTCCAACAATCTGCGGTGTTGAGAAACAATCTTGATCAAAAAGTCGCTCATTTTTTCGGCAATCTAGGACCTGATCTTTGGGACAAGCAGACGTGGAACAAGCACCTTGAAAAGTACATGGTGATTGTATGCACGGCAGAGATCCTGAATCAGTCTCTACTGAATGGCCATGTGGGGATTGACCAGATCAACCTTCTGATCTTCGACGAAGCCCATCATGCCAAAAAAGAGCATCCTTATGCTCGGTATGCAGCCAATTGTTCAATTATAATATGATTATAAAAGCTAATATTAATTAGTATCATCCGAGACACATATCTGAAAGCGGACCCTGAAAAGCGTCCCAGGATCTTCGGGATGACTGCTTCCCCGGTTGATGCTAAGTGTGATATAGCGGAAGCAGCAATGTGAGCGGCCCAAAATAACGAAAGGGGAAAACTTATGCTTACACTATATAGCCAGCTTGAGACTCTTTTAGACAGTCGCATTGCAACAACATCGGATCTTGCCCTCCTGCGAAATTTCGTGAACAAGCCAATGGAGGAGGAATGGGTCTATGACAAGCTTCATCCAGTGTTTGAGACTAATCTGCATGGAGTTTTGAAAACAAAGTATGGGGATATGTCAATCCTTGAAGGCGCATTTCGATTTGCATCGGTTGCAAGCTCAGAGTTAGGGGCTTGGTGCGCAGACCAGGTATGGGCTCTTGCCCTGGCGGACGAAGTACTGCCCAAGCTGGAGGGCAGTATCGGCAAAGTCGATTCCGATCCCCAGGATTCTGAAAAGATCTCAGAGGAGATCAAGCGAATCCAGGAAGCCAACCAGTTCGTCAAGGAATACATCTCAAACCAGGCATTTATGCCGAGTGATCTCAGCTCCAAAGTCGAGCTTTTGATAAGAAAGCTGCAAGAACAGTTTGTGCAATCGCCAGATACCAAATGTATTGTATTCACACAACGGCGCAACACAGCTAAAGTATTGTTACAGCTGTGCGAAAAGCTGGAAATTCCGAACCTCCGTCCCGGTGTCTTAATCGGAGTTCGCAAAGGAGATGCCCTAGGAATGAATTCCACATTTCGTCGGCAGTTTCTTGTCTTGGTCAGGTTTCGAAAAAGTGAAGTCAATTGCTTGGTGAGCTTTTATACAAACCAAAAAACTGCTCGTAGAGAAAACCTAACCATTCTCAGTTTGCAACATCGGTCGCAGAGGAAGGCCTTGATATCCCAGACTGTAACCTGGTGGTTAGGTAAATCATCTAGCATTTTAGCCACTGCTGTTGCTTCTACTGACTAACAAAGATTCGATCTGTATGACACGGTTATTCAATACGTCCAAAGCCGAGGCCGTGCCAGACGCACCGACTCAGTGGTTTGTTTCCCCAAACCGTATGAGATGCAATTGATTTACTCACTACTTTGCAGTACGCAACGATGGTGGAAAGTGGTAACCGCAACCACAGCGTGAGACTACAGGAAGTTCGAAGAGCAGAGGTAAGGGTCCTTTCCAAGTGATATTGCACTGAACTCGATTGACATGAACAGCATCTCATGAAAAATTTCTGTAACATGCTGCCGGATGATCGAAAGTTGTACGGAGATGATCGTGATATGGGAGTACTTATTCGCGAGGAAGGTCGGAAGAGAACATACACCATACCGGGCACAGGTGCCATGTTGACCTATCGCCATGCAATTGGTGTTCTGGCACGATTTGCCAGCTCATTGGTAAGAGCCGATTTTCATCTACTGACTTTCATCATCAAAGCTAACCGTGACAAAATCTCAGCAATACGAAAATGAGATCTCGGCCTTGGTCACATACATTGTCATGTCAGAAAACGAATCATTCAGCTGTGAGATAATTTTGCCGGAGAAGTCGCCAGTACGAAGAGTGATTGGATGTTCCGAATCAAAGAAATCACTCGCTAAGCAATCTGCTGCATTTGATGCATGTCTTCTACTTCGAAAAAAGAACCTGTTGGATGGGCACTTCAACTCTGTCTACCACAAGCGTCTACCAGCAATGCGCAATGCCAAATTGGCCCTTACTTCAAAGAGAACTGACCAGTACAGAATGCGTACCAAGCCCTCAATCTGGACTAGGCTGCAGGGAGCCACTCCAATACGTCTCTACGCGATAGTTATTCGTCTCATCCCATCAGAGCCTCTGAATCGGGCTCACGGAAGTATTGTATTGCTAACACGAGAGCGGATCATATTGATACCGACTTTCCCTGTCTTCTTGGATGATGATATCGAGACTACGGTCCAGTCATTGTGTATTGATGGGTGCCTTGAGGTTGCTTCTGAAGAGTTCGAAGTTATGACTGCATTTACACTTGCTGTTTTCCACGACGTGTTTCACAAAACCTACAAGCCTGTCTCGGAACAGTTCCCGTACTGGCTTGCGCCTGCTCGAGAAGATGTGGACATTAAAACGTCAACAAATCTCCTTGACATAATTGACTGGACGGCATTGCACTACGTCCAAGATAACCCCAAGCTTGTGTGGTCCACTGATATGGAACCGGAATCATTGCTAAATCGATTTATTTACGACGACTGGAATGGAAAGTATCGATACTTTCCGCTTGCTATAGACCCCAATCTACGTCCTTCAGATCCACCCCCATCCTATGCACCATCTCGAAAATGGTCAGACGACATCATGAATTGGTCCTTGAGCTTGAGCAAAAACTCACGTCCAAAATTCTTTAACCGATGTATCTGGGCTCAACCAGTCTTACAGGCAGAGTTGGTCTGTCTTCGGCGTAACTTTCTTGATAAAGCAGCTGAGGAAGAGAGGGAATCCAACTCGAGATGCGTTATTTGCCCTCAGCCGCTGGTTTTATCGGCGGTTAGTTTTGTTCCAATATATGTTTCAGCTCACCAAACATGCTAATATATAACTCAGATTTCCATGCCTGTGGCCGCAACATGTTTTGTCTTTCCAGCAATCATTACTCGAATGGAGTCCTACCTGATTGCTCAGGAGGCATGCGAAATGTTAGGTCTTGGTGATATCAAGCTAGAATATGCACTGGAGGCCTTCACCAAGGATTCGGATAACACCGAGGAGCACCGGAGCCTACAGATTCACGTTCAGCGAGGAATGGGAAAAAATTACGAACGCCTTGAATTACTAGGAGACTCTGTCCTCAAGATGGCAACATCGATCTCGCTCTTCGTTCAAAACCCCGACGACGATGAATACGACTATCACGTCAACAGAATGTGTCTTATCTGCAACAAGAACCTGTTCAAGAATGCAACTGAACTGAAGCTGTACGAGTACATACGTAGTCGCGGGTTCTCTCGGTATGTATTTTACATTTTATCATAAAAAGTGAGTATTTAACTGACACTCAACCACAGGCACATGTGGTACCCCCCAGGTCTTTCGCTTGAGTATGGTCGGGACCACGCCAAATTTTTTGCTACTGAAGGCAAGCACTCCTTAGCCGAGAAGACTATAGCAGATGTCTGTGAGGCATTGATAGGCGCCTCGTTGCTCTCGGGAGGTCATGACAATCGCTATGACCTGGCCATCAATGCTGTCACTGTCTTCGTCAACAGTCAGAACCACACCGCAACCTCGTGGAAAGACTACACCTCTGCGTATTCCATTCCTTCGTACCAGAGCAGGGTGACGGATGGTTTTGAGAGGAACTTGGCCCAGCAGATATTCGAGAAGGTAGGTTACAAGTTCAAGTACCCTCGTCTTCTGAGGTCGGCGTTCACGCATCCATCTTATCCTTTGGCATGGGCCAAGGTGCCTTGCTACCAGCGGCTCGAGTTCTTGGGCGATGCACTCCTAGATATGGTGTGTGTAGAACACTTGTTTCATCGGTTCCCCAACCGAGATCCGCAGTGGTTGACGGAACACAAGGTGTGTATCATATTTAGTAAAGCCAATTCACACAATTCCTGGCTAACATCACTCAATAGATGGCTATGGTGTCCAACAAATTTCTCGGTGCTTTGGCTGTAAAGCTAGGGCTTCATCTTCATCTTCAGCATTTCAGCAGTCCCCTCATGATTCAAAACAGCAAATACGCAGAGGAACTTCAGCTTGCAGAGAGTGAAAGCAATGGAGAGGTAGACTATTGGCTTTCAACATCAGATTCCCCAAAGGTAAGTTCTCTATTCAATATTCACATAATCCACATACTCACGGAATCACAGTGTCTTCCCGACATGCTTGAGGCTTATCTCGGTGCCATATTTGTTGATTCTGGCTTTGACTTCACAGTGATTGAAGCCTTCTTCGAAAATCATATTCTGCCATTCTTTCACGACATGTCTATCTACGACACATTTGCAAACAGGCACCCAACGGTAAGGTCATTTTCTTTTATTGAGAATTTACCTTAGTACTAATAGATCGTAGACATTCCTTCATAACCAAATGATTCACAGCTACCATTGCATCGATTACTGCTTGAAATCTGCAGAGATTCCCGCCGTGGAGGGGGAACTCCCAAGGTCTTTGCTGCAGTTATGGTGCACGGCGAATCCATTGCCAGCGCAGTCGCATCTTCTAGTCGGTATGCTAAAGTGAGGGCTAGCACCAGGGCATTGGCCATTATTGATGGAATGTCACTTTCTGAGTTCCAGGGGAAGTATCACTGTTCTTGTCAGGGTGGGCAGGTCACCGTGGACCATGCAAATATCGGGACGGCAGTTTGAAAAGAGAGAAATTGTGGACAGCTGGGAAATTTGTTCTTTTGTTTTATTTTAGTGGTATTTTCAAAATACATTGTTGAGGTCCTATTAGGACCATGGGAATGAGAACTTCGTCCTCAATATAAAATATAAGGTGAAGCTTATAGTTCGAACGGGCCAGAGACAAGAGAGCCATGGATGTGCGTCGCATGGGGGTCGTGTCACGCTTAACCTAATAGGGAATGGTCTGCATCCCCTGAAGTAAAGCAAACACGCCGCGTATCTTTTTGATCTTTAACAGACACCAGATTCAGGACGGCACAGGCCTGGAATTTATCCTCGCAATCATTTTTTAATCTATTAGATTTCTTTCTTCTTTTCAGCCTTTGTCATTATCATTTTGCTCTGTTTTCCCGCTCAACTCCCACTCGACGCGATCTCAACATTCCAAACCCGATCCGCGCTCCTATTATTCCTTATCGCCGATGAACACTTCGAATTCGTCATAATAATATCGGCATAATGGAGGTCGCCTCGTCGGGCGTGCCAAATGGCGCCTTAACACCAGAGACCGCAGCTATTGTTGATTCCGGTGCGGTCATTCAGTACTTGACCGAAGTGCTCCAGGTGACACTGGGAGCCCAGAGATCCGAGCTGGAAAGCGCTGGGAGCTTGCTTTCGGAATCGAAATACAATGAAACACTGCAGCGGTGTACACGATTTGCCTCGGAAGCGCAAGTCGCTCTCTATGTGCAAAAGGATATCGTGACAGTGGAGGAGACCAACGGCGAGACGGAGGACCAAGGTGCGCCCAAGCCAAGCGCTGAGACATTGGAGGATATGATGCTAATAATGTCGTCGAAGAAACAGCAGTGCAATATGTCTACAACCTCTCCTCCGATATTTCGTCCGCTCCTACAACTGTCTCTTCGGTGGCTATCATCAAACGGCCTGCTCCAATCGACATGAGTCTTCCGATAGCGTCGCAAGTCCAAGTTATGAATCTTCCTGGCCCTGCTTCTCTCAGCAATAGCTCCGCCCAGCAGGGGAATTCTATGTCGCCCTACCAGATCCTACACTTGATGATACACCATGGTCTCAGCCCGTACTTCGAATCCTATACGCGCAGTCAGGAGACGGCCGTCGGGACGAAATCGAAAACCGATACGGAGGCGAAGACTGGTATTCCAGGAACCAAGAAGAGATTCGCAGACTTAGAACTGGGGTTGATGCACCTCCAGCAGAATGTGGAGATTCCAGCTTTGAACCTGCCTCTTCATGAAGTGGTACAGGCTGCTCTGAAGGATGCGGAAGCGCGTGGTATCAAACCATCGGTCGAGTTGATCCCATCGACAGTACTGGAGAGCAGCGCTTTCACAAACAGTATTCAGAATGTCGTAAACGGTTGGATTAGGTCCATCCAGACGATCACCAAGATGTCCCGCGACCCGGACAGTGAATCTGCATCTCCTGAGGTCAACTTCTGGCTATCCCTGGAGGCTGCACTGGAGGGAATCGACGCTCAGCTCCAAAGCGAGGGTGTTTTGTTGACTATGAACATTCTCCGCCATGCAAAACGGTACCAGCCGACTCTCAGTTTCACGGCGGACACTGGGTTGAAAGAGGCCACCGAATTGGTCCAGAAGTACAACCAGCTGATGCGTGACTTCCCTCTCGATGAGCTCCTCTCTGCAACTTCACTGCAAAAGGTCCAGGAATCACTAAACTTGATCTTCACTCACCTGAATAAGAAGTTGAAGATTTGCCCCTATCCCATTAAGCGGGCACTTTCACTTGTCGAAGCCATCTCGGGTGATCTTGATAAGAAGATCCATGAGCTTATTACTGGACGTACAATCTTGCATCTGGATTACCGTGAGTTCCGGTCTTTGATGAAGACCACACAAGCGATCTGGCGTACTTGGGACGAGAACCTGAAGGACTTCACAAACGTTGCGCGTGAATCAACACGGCGTCGTAATGAAAAATTCATTCCGATCAAAATCAATGCGAGGCACGACAAAACCCGTGAGCGGGTGAAGTACGTCGACACCTTCAGAATCAACCATGAGCAGCTCCAGAAAACCATTATCAACGTCCTAGGACCCAACAGCTCTTCATCTAATGAGAATGGAGGTGGAGTTGACGCTGATGGCGCTGTGATAGTCGAGGAGATTGGTGATGTTGATGCTGTGGAGGAAGTTGCGCACGCCTACGCTGCTCTCAAGAACGTGGACGTGCTGGATGTTTCACCGGAGGGATCTTTTACCTGGGAGCAGGCCGAAATTGCCTACAGTGAGCGTACTTCCCGTGTTGAGAATTCTATCATTGCTCGTCTACGTGACCGTCTGGCGACTGCCAGGAATGCCAATGAGATGTTCCGGGTGTTCTCGAAGTTCAATGCCCTTCTCGTTCGCCCTAAGATCCGTGGCGCAATTGGCGAGTACCAAACACAACTTATTGATAATGTCAAGCGAGATATCAGTGCTTTGCATGAGCGCTTCAAGCAACAGTACGGTAATTCGGAAGCTCATGCTATGGCCCAACTACGGGACCTGCCTCCCGTGTCCGGCGCTATTATCTGGACTCGCCAGATTGAGCACCAGCTTAATGGCTATATGCGCAAGGTCGAAAATGTCCTGGGCGAGAACTGGCACCTACACGCCGAGGGTCAGAAGTTGCAGAATGAGGGTAACTTGTTCCGCAAGAAGCTCGACACCCGACCTGTCTTCGAGTCATGGCTGTGGGACGTTCAACGGCGCCATTTTACAATCGCTGGACGGCTGTTTAATGTCGTGCGCAACCGATCAGCAGGAAACGTTTTGGAGCTGGCAGTCAACTTCGATGCTCAGATCATTGCTCTCTTTAAGGAGGTCCGCAATCTTATATGGCTCAACTTCCAGGTTCCTCATGCTGTCAGCAACATCTCGAAGGAAGCGAAGCGTGTTTACCCCTACGCCATTAGTCTGATGGAGAGTGTTCGCACTCTGTTGCAGACGAATCGAGCAATTGCGTCGATGACCGGTGTCAATATGCTGCTCAACGGCTACATGAACGATGCGCAGATTATGGTCGCTAAGGGTATTCCTCTCCGGTGGGAGTCCTTTGTCCATTCTTACGAGCTACATGTCAAGCAGTCAGCATTGGCAAATGGTGCCATCGAGTCACCTTTGTCTGGTCGGTCTGAAAGCAAGCATGTTCAATTTGTCCGCGAGTTTGCCATTTCGGCATCCACACTTCAGACGAAAACTACTGTGCTCGACAACATCAACGAGAACATTCAGAAATCGATCCATGAACTCAAGACATGCCCATACGACGCATCAGCTTTCAAGCAACGCTTGGACAGCATCCAAGTTTCTGTTGACAAGCTTAACCTTGAAAACTACGTGAATCTTGGATACTGGGTTGCTGAGCTCAATAGAACCATCGAGGCAATTCTGCGTGAGCGACTTCTTCGCGCTGTGCGCGAGTGGATTATCACCTTCCAAGGCACCAATCTTGAAAACTCGACTTCTCATAATCAGCTTGCAACGGCCGAAACGGATGCCTCAAATTACAAGATCCAGTTCCCTGAACTCTTCCACGAGATTCTGATGAAAAACCAAGTCCTCCACCTGGACCCACCATTGCAATTCGCACGCGCAAGCTGGTTCTCCCACTTTGATTCATGGCTCGGTGTGATTTGCAGCCTCGAAAAGATCAAACCCTCCCGTTACCAGATCTCCATTGGTGTGCAAAATGTTCGCCTGTCCGAAGTCTGCTTCTCCGATCTCCCGCAAAATTGCACCGATGAGCTCAATCAAGTCTACAATGTTGTCGAGTCCAGACTGAAGGACGTTTCGGAGTATGTCGATAAGTGGCTGCAATTCCAATCACTTTGGGATCTTCGGTCTGAGCAGGTCTACGAGATCCTGGGAGATGATCTGTCTCAGTGGCTTCAGCTTCTTCAGGAAATCAGAAAGAGCCGAGCTACATTCGACACCTCCGAAGTCAGCCGCGCGTTCGGAAACATCAGGATTGACTACGAGCAAGTCCAAACCAAGGTGAACGCCAAATACGACCAGTGGCAACATGAGATCCTCGTGAAGTTCGGTTCCAAGCTTGGTGGCCGTATGAGAGAGGTTCATTCTGAGATTGCTGCTGCCCGCAGGGACTTGGAAGGCCAAACACTGGAGGCCTCTTCAACTGCCCATGCCGTGTCTTTCATTACCATTGTTCAGCAGTGTAAACGGAAGACTCGAGTCTGGGAGCCCGAGGTTGATCTCTTCCGCCAAGGTCAAACCACACTGGCCCGCCAACGTTACCAGTTCCCATATGACTGGCTTCACGTTGAGAATGTTGATGGTGAATGGGCAGCCCTCAACGAGCTGCTCAGTCGCAAGAGCAAAATTGTCAACGAGCAAACCGAAGGCCTGCGTGCAAAGATTAGCGCCGAAGACCACGTCATCGCTGGCAAGATTGCTGAAGTTATTGGCCAATGGAATGACGAGAAGCCGGTCTCTGGCACTATTCCACCCGAGGAAGCATCTCGTACCCTAAGCTCTTTCCAGTCTCGCCTTGAGTCTCTCCAGTCGGAGTTTGAGATGGTGTCCAAGGCCAAGGAAGCTCTCGATCTTCCCCCTAGTTCCGAATCTTCACTTCCCCCTATCCTCGAGGAGGTCCAGGACTTCATGTCTGTCTGGGCTGCGCTAGCGACTATTTGGAATAGTCTCAATGACCTTCGCGATGGGCTGTGGACCAGCGTGCAACCCAGGAAGCTCCGACAATCCCTCGACAATTTGATCAAGATGACCAAGGAGATGCCTAGTCGCATGAGACAATATGCTGCCTTTGAACATATTCAGAATGTCCTTCGGCAGTTGCTGAAGGTCAACTCACTTCTGTCGGACATGAAATCCGAAGCCGTCAAGGAAAGACACTGGCACAAGATTTACAAGAGTCTTAAACCCGACAAGCGTTTCTCGCTGGTCTCTTTGACTCTTGGTGATGTTTGGGATTTGCAACTCGCATCAAGTGATTCC